GCTAGTAGGATAATGAAATTTTTTCAACTGGAATAGGTGAACTTTTTCTAATCTTTAAAAATGAATTTTAGTGATGGTGACAACTTGGCGTGGCCGACCGGTATGAACGAACAACGAAAAGGTCAAAATTGTACATAACTCACATCACTAGAAATTGTCATGAGTTTAACGCGCAGTTACATTAATTTGTCCTGCAGTACAGAGATTTATTTTTATGCATATAAAAGGCTCGTTCGCAATGTTCGAAGAACTCGCCAAGAGCACAACAAAGAAAAACAGTATTGCTTCATTAATATTCAGTGCAATACAGCTGTTTTCTGGCCTAAAGTATCAGTACTGTAGGCTACATTGAGTCAACCTATGACTTAGGCCCTGGCAAATACTAATTTTTTTAACCTTTTCAGTCTTCTTTGTAACAGATTTTAGTACTTATTGTTACCTTACGTCGTAATTACCTTACTGATTGTTTTCTTAGGTCCGGGGATCAAAGTTTGGATTATATTTCCAGTTGCCCAGATTGCTAAAGTTGTAAAAATGTATGGCGGACTGTTTGGCTGCAAACCCCATGCTTACTCTTCTGGTAGGTGAAACGGCGCATCAGACCACATTAACATTACCTAAACGCAAACTCTGTGTGTTTCGCATGAAGGAATCACAGGAACTGCCATGTGTTACACTATAGTTACTACCAGACCTGGGCAGTTATGTAAAATGCAACCATCGTTAGAGTTACGAGTTACAAGTAGCGTGTGAGTTACGCTACGAGTTAAGTTATTTATGCAAGTAGAACCGAGTTTTCAGTTATACCGCGAGTTACGCTATCATAGACAATATGTCCAAATTTTGGGCGAGTTACGTTAGAGTTAAGTTTTCTGGGTAGCGAGTTACGCTACACAGTTACTTTAAAACTCGATAACTCGCAAATAACTCGCGTTAAGTTATATAGTTAAGTTACAACAGCCCATGTCTGGTTACTACTGGATTTGAAAATCACTTACCGCGTCGACCGCTCTAGTACTTAATACGAATAATTTAAGCTTTACATTATTAAGTAAAATTGCATGCTGTTTTATTAATAGTAACAACACGCGATAACTCTATTGCAGCCATGGTAGCAGGCTTTTGAATGACCACTGGACCTCACAAATTTGGGTTGTATAAGCCAAAAGGTTACCAGTTAGAAATTACCCGCAGTACTGGAAGAAATCTGCCGCAACTCAAAAATCAAAAACTTGATCGGCACAAGTTGAAATAATAGGAAAATGAGAGGAGAATCCAAAAACCTGCATGAGATGTCTAGTAATTTTCGTATTGCAGGATTGCTGTTCCTTTGCTGCATAAATCCTGTTTATCAAACGTTATTTTTTGTTGGAATGAATAGTGAACGAGAGTGGTTTTGCTGGAATTTATGCAGTGCGATCATTTAATTTTCAGTTATTTATCGCCAGCACTAGTTTAAAAATGGACATAAGTAGACAATGGTACGTAGACAACATAGACATACTTGCGGAAAAAGAACGATTATTGCTACAGGAAATACGAAAAACGGTTTTTTTTATACAGCACATGTTAACATTACTTAACGCTTGATTTGGGTACATTTTAAATAAAGCTTGCGGACATCAATTCTTTTTTAAAAAGATTGCCACCACACCTTCGCTATGGGAAGTTTTTGGCCTGACTCCTATTTGTTATGTGCAGGAGCCGGGCACCGTTATATATCTCGGGCCCGGCGTCCTTCATTCCGTAATTAATATCGGTGGAAATGTGAGCCAAGCACGAAACTTTATTGACGAACGTTGGATTACAGTCATTGACACCGTTGTACTATTTCGTCAAAAGGTTAGTCTATAGCAATTTACCTTGAGTGCCTCCGATTTATTATGTCTTTAATTAATCACAGTGCATCAAGTTGCGCAACAACTCTAATTTGGAAATACTGCATAAGTGGACGCTGCTGCTTAGAGAACGGTTACTCGCCCGCACTGCAGCTGCTATACAGCAAGTCAATCGACGCCGTTTTCCTGTGCGATATAAAAAGAAATATGGAAAATTTTTGGGAGCGACTAATTCATTTTCAAAAAATTTCCCAAATGCTCTGGGTGAAATTGACGTTTTGGACATCAGCTGTCTGCCACCTTCTGTATTCCCGGCAAATTTAATCTTTGACGATGATGCCAACTGCTTCCTTGCCCCACCAACAACTAGCATCTCGTTAAATGCGCCGTTGGTAAACGGTCAATTTCTCGCAGAACGGGCATTACTGAATTCCGGAAAAGCTTTTATGTGCCAGTATGCGAAGTGTACAAGATCTTACAACAGTGCTACTGCACTCAATCTCCACATCCGCGGAAAACATAAAAAGAAATATGTGTGCGATTTATGCAAAGCTGCATACTGCTCTCTACATTGGTTCAAGTTTCACCAATCTACCCACCATGGTAACAATAAATAAACTTAAACAATAAACTTAAACAATACTCGGTTTCTTAAGTTAATAGTTCTGTTACCTATAATAAATTTTCGAAAAACCTGCTGTCATTCAGAATATATCTGTACATATTAAATCTATTTGATCTAAAAGCTTCCGCTTGCAGTCTTAAAAATAATACTGGAATTATTTAGGTAATCAAGATGAATCTTCGCGCAAGAAGTCCAAGTGCGGTCGGCGACCAATGAGTATCACTCCTGATGTTTTCTAGATTTGTGTTCCGTTATTTTAAACTACGCATTAGTAACTTGCAGAGGTTAACAACAAATTTACGTTGGTTGACGTTGGTTCCACTTTGTTGGACATAAACTAATCGGTGTTTTACACAGGTTAACAGCGAATTTACGTTGGATTACGTTGATTGCACTTTGCCGAACATAACCTTAACGGTGACTTACGCAAGTTACCAGCAAATTTATATGATTTACGTTACTTTACGTTGGTTTCACTTTGCCGACACGGACGTAACGTGCGTTTACATACATGGCACGAAAATCTTACATAGCATTTACGTTGATTTACGTATGTTTACTGTAACGAAAACACATGCCCGTTTTTTTCTTTAGAATAAATCGTGCACTATCTGTTAGGTCTAGATCACTGCAAATTCCGTCGGGTTCCATTAGGTTCCGTAGAGTTCCATTAGGTTCCGTTAGGTTCCGTCAAGTTCCATAGAGTTCCCTTAGGTTCCGTCGGGTTCCATTAGGTTGCGTTAGGTTCCGTCAGGTTCCGTACAGTTCCATTGAGTTCCATTAGGTTCCGTTAGGTTCCGTACAGTTCCATTGAGTTCCATTAGGTTCCGTTAGGTTCCATAAGGTTACGTCAGGTTCCGTAAGGTTCCGTACGGTTCCGTAGAGTTCCATTAGGTTCCGTTAGGTTCCATTAGGTTACGTCAGGTTCCATTAGGTTACGTCAGGTTCCGTAAGGTTCCGTCAAGTTCCGTAGAGTTCCATTAGGTTCCGTTAGGTTCCATTAGGTTACGTCAGGTTCCATTAGGTTACGTCAGGTTCCGTAAGGTTCCGTCAAGTTCCGTAGAGTTCCATTACGTTCCGTACAGTTCCGTTAGGTACGTGCTCAGATTAACGTTGCCGTTTTTCCGCCTAAACAATCTGTGCCATATGTGTATATTTTGGCGGATACTGCGGACCATACTTCGAGTATTTTGGGTATCTCAATTTTTTAATACGTTGTTATGAAGGAAACAGCAAAAGCTCACATCAAGCTGTCAAGATTTTGTTTGATTCTTTCTTCACTTTGCCCCCAAGTATGATTTGACCAAAAAAGTGCGGAAAAACAGTACCAGTCGTGCGAGTCTCAAATTTTTAAATTTTTTACAGCTTTTATTTGTACCCTCCTATGTTGTTTTACCAGCGATACTTAACAAATTGTTTAACGTTGCAGAATTAAAATTATAATCATAATGTTTGAAATTACCTGCTTGCAGCAGTTAATAAAGTTAGCCATTGATACAGCACATGCCTACGATAACACAGTAAAGGTGTTTTCGGCAAAAAGATACGCCATATAGCACAGGCTAATCGTTCTTAAGATAGATATTTTTGTTTAGATACTTTTTTTTTGCAATAATATGAATACCGCGCGGCATGTACTAGTACATGTGTGCCTAATGTACAGCCCGTAGTACAGCCCGTAGTACAGCCCGTAGTACAGCCCGTAGTACAGCCCGTGGTACAGCCCGTAGTACAGCCCGTAGTACAGATTGTAGTACAGACTGTAGTAAGCCCGTAGTGCAGGATGTAGTAAAGTAAGTATAGTGTGTATCACAATCTGAATTGTACGGTCTTCGGGTATAACCTAGCGTACAGCTTGTAGTACACCTTCACGTACACACTGTAGTCAAAACTTTGTGTTTTTTTCTGACTGGAATGTATATGTAACTTGTGTAGTAGTACAGAGTGCTGTCAATATTTGTTGTGCAGCATTATAAATTTTTCAAGGATATATTGAACGGAGTTCTTAATACTTCATATGCCTTCTTCAACAAAATTTAATCTAAAGTATTTTGTTTTTTGTATATTACTCTGAAAATTTCAGATCTCGTTCAACCGTAAGCATAATTAGCATAATATGACAGTTTTTTTTCGTCGTTCTTGTAATTTAATGGAAAATGTGAAAAGAGTTGTGGACTTATGGCAGATATTTTATCACTGCTAATGGATTGTTAGATTCTTATCCTAAAAAAAGATGTAATATTCTGGTTTCATATTGCTTAATATCACAAGTAATAAACAATAGAATAAATTGCAGCCAGCGTTTAATAATCTGTAGTCCTGGAGGTGTATAACGTCTTTGCGCAATTCGGATTGGTTGGGCGGGATTGGGTAGACGCTTTATGGGGCGGTTTTTCTTATACCATAGACCCTACGGTGCACCGGGTGCCCAAAAATTTTGTGTTACAGTACTGTATAGTTTAAGGCAACCGCCATAAGGCAGTGGTTACGACAGCTGATCTGATGGATCATTGCAAAATGCAAACTGTAAACATGCCTTGGCAGGAAGAAAACTCGCTGTGATTCGTTTTCAGTCATTTTAAATTGTGCGTTCATGTCGTTTAAATCAGTACGAACTTGACCGATAAAATCTTGCCAGACGTTCGAGTAATGTACAGTAATCCAGAATGCCTCGCTCAGACTGCTTTTACAGCTGATAAGCTCCCCCGTTAGCGGCCTATCTTGGCGTGCAGACGGAAATTCCTTCGCTAAAAATTGCGTGTGTTGTTGTTTGATATTGGAAGTGATCGCATATTTTGGAATTCTGATTTGATCCAGGCCATCGGGGAATTTTTATTATCCACACTGACCATACATCAAATGGCGTCGGCTCCCAGTGTCTCCTCCGAGTCCGACGACCCAGTCGCAGAGCTCAAAGAGTCCATGAAGCGCGCTGATCTTATTCCCGGAACGCGGGAATACCATGAGAACTTCCACGGAGATGGAGCGTTTCGCCCCACAAACTGCCTTGTGCAGCCATTATTAACAGGTTAGAAAATATTTGCGATTAGGGTAACTGGTTACGCTTGCAAACGCAGTCAGACAATTAAGGGGAAGTGTATGTACATGTAGCTTACAAGCTAATTTTGTAGATCTGTACCAAATCACCATGACGTATGCTTATTGGAAATCAGGGAAGAAGGACTGCTACGCCGTTTTTGATTTATTCTTCCGCAAAAACCCATTCGATGGAGAATTTACAATTTTTTGTGGTTTGGAAGAATGTCTGCGATATATATCCAGTTTCCACTTTTCCGTTGAAGGTATGCACTACAATTTTTGAACTGTAATTTTTGCAATGAACATTTTGTAGTTGTTGAACGTGTGTCAAGTGTGTTAAACGTATTAATCAAATTATTACATTAAACAGATTACTGTAAAATTTAAGCGGTACAGGGTTGTTGGTAAAGAAATTAAGAAATTCTGATACTTAATATATATGGTAAGGATTATTTGTGTCACTGCATATCGTATTTATCAAACGGAGAAGACTTTAATAGGTAAGACAGAATGCAAAGGTTTCTATATGCTTTTGAAACTGTTTTTATTGCGGTAGATATTGAGTACATAAAGTCTATCATGCCGGCCACAATCGAACCGGAATTCTTCCACTACCTGTCTGAGATCACAACCAAAGATATAAAGATTTATGCTGTTCCCGAAGGAAGTGTGGTGTTTCCAAGAGAGCCCTTAATTCGCGTGGAGGGGCCACTTCCGGTTGCGCAGCTTCTGGAAACCACCTTGCTCACGCTGGTCAATTATCCAAGGTAGTTTTTTTCGCGCACTGGATGCACGGTATTCTTTTCCTGTGTTATTAATATTACCACTGTGGGATTTACAAATTTGAAATTAACGCTTAACAGTTTTTTAATAATTTTGAATTCTGCACGTCGTTTGTCAAATTTTATAAAAATATTGTCATGGGCAAAAATAGTCAGTGTTTTGTTATGTAAATGTTGTCAAATTTAGTTTGGTGGCAACTTGTGCCGCGAGAATCCGCTTGGCCGCCGGTCCGAAAAAGGAGCTTTTGGAATTTGGACTGCGGCGTGCTCAGGGCCCGGATGGTGGAATTTCGGCGACAAAATACGTTTATATGGGAGGTAATAGCCCGTGAAGCTAACTCCTGTTTTGCACGTCCGCTTAAATTGAATATTGCTTCTACGAAATTAGCCGAATTTACTCCTGATGTTGTAAGCTAATTTTTTACGGTTCTCAGGTTTTGACGGCACGAGTAATGCGCTAGCAGGAAAGCTTTTCAACATTCCGGTTCGCGGCACGCATGCTCATTCGTTCGTGGCGGCCTTCCAAAGCATGAGCGAAGTCAAGAATCGAGTAAGACCGTGCACAAACCAGCTGTTGGATTAACTAAACGAATTAAATGTGGTGTGTTTTAGATGCTAAAACACAAGAAGACTGGGGCGGAAGTGGATTTCATCACGCTATGCCAGAATTATCGCGCTGAAATGGCGCATTTATTTCACGTGATCGATAACGAGGAAGGCAGTACGGCCAATAATGGGGAACTGGCGGCATTTGCTCAATACGCCATTGCTTTTCCTGACAGATTCTTAGCTCTTGTGGATACCTACGATACACTGAGGTAACGCGACGTTGAATTGTTAATTTCTGAATGATTTAATAGTTTTTGGTGAATTTAGAAGCGGAGTTCTGAACTTCTGTGCCGTTGCTAAAGCTTTATGGGATTTGGAATACAAGGCTGTTGGAATACGACTTGACTCCGGTGATTTGGCCTATCTTTCTCGTGAAGCACGGAAGCACTTTCGCCAGATTGCTTCGCGGTAAGACTGGGAACAAAAGGATTAATTATGTATTTGGTGCCATGTTTTGAATTGGCAAAAGAAAACAAATCAGAAAAAAAACAGAAAGATTGTGTCTGCTTTAGATACGAAATGCCTTGGTTCGCCAGTGTTACAATTGTGGCCAGCAATGATCTGAACGAGGAAACGATTTACTCACTAAATGAACAACAACATCAGATTGATTGTTTTGGAGTGGGCACTCATCTTGTAACCTGTCGCAAACAACCAGCACTGGGTTGTGTCTTTAAGGTCAGTTTGGATTGTAACCAAATGTGGAAACTGCTTTTACTGTGCAAATAGACGCCCGCTGTAAGCAGGGAATTTAAAATACGTTCCTGTCAGCAGTTACTGCAGAGGCAGTTTCATAGCGTAATGTTACGCACTTCGATTTTTTGCCTGCATAGTGCATGCACACTTTAACGTTTGACCTTATTGTGCTGTAATCTGAAAAGCTCATTATGGAACAATTATTGGCAGCATACGTATGCAGTATTCTGCGCTGATGGCTAAACGCTTTGAAACAACTCTGGCGCATATTGCGAAGCTGGACCAGTGTTGTCATAATAATCTTCGCATTTATGGTTTGGAAAATAAGTACAGCAGCTGTTTTAAAACTATTCAGTTGGTCGAGCTGGATAACGAACCGCGAATCAAGCTGAGTCAGGATGTCGGTAAGGTGACCATTCCGGGACGGAAGACTTTCTATCGCTTGGTGGGCGGCAGCGGCAATGAAGCTTTGGTGGATATTGTTCAAGGCGTAGACGAAGCCCCACCAGAACCGGGTAAAAGAATTTTGTGTCGCCATCCTTTTGAGGTATGAAATTTGCATCGCTTTATGATATGTGAGTGCCGAAGCAGACAGTTCTTTTGGATTTACAGTAAAGCATTTTTATATGCGTTTCAGGAATCTAAACGGGCCAATGTGTTGCCGGTGAGCGTGGAGTGTATGCACGAACTGTATTTTGATAATGGACAAGTACTGCGTGAAAAATTACCCACGATGCAACAGATTCGGGAGAACGTAAAGCGTCACTTGGAACTGCTGAGAGATGACCATAAGCGTCGACTTAATCCAACCCCGTTTAAGGCACGTGGATGGCTTCGAAATTCTGTTATGATAGGTTTAAACGTTTATGTGATCCTGTAACTAACTTCTAATGAAGGGCCTTGTGTTTCTTTTTTGCGTAAAGTGATATCGTTTTGCAGGTATCTGTATCTCCGGAGCTTTACACATACCTCCATGATTTGTGGATGGCAAATGCGCCAATCGGGGAGTTGTATTAATTATTTTAGTTTGAATCAGTGATGGTTTTTTGTGGCGATTGGGGATTTTATTTGGTTTTAAAATGTTCTGTGGTGGTGGTTTCCTATGAAGCACAATTTGGTGATAACTGGTGAAGAGGCGGTTTAGCGTTGTGAATGTACTGTATTGTATTGTGGTACGTTTTGTCGTTTCTTTTTAATTGCCGCTTTTTTGGTTTGAATTGTTATTATTATAATAATGCTTTAATATCCAGGTTGCTGATGGAAGTATTTAAATTGCGGTAGTGCTGCATCGGTGGTGATTGGTGATTAATTAATCATGGGTGCTATGGACTATGGTCAAGACGCGCTTACGGAATATAGATATGCGTATGCGGGATAGGTAAATCGCACAAATCCTTTAACCGAAGTGACGATCAGTCCGGTCACTTTGCAGAAACGCGCAAAGAGCGAATGCAGTACTCTTTCGACTACAAAACGCATACCGGGAATTTTATGTAAGTAAGTGTCGCAGGAGTTTCATTCTGGAAGAAGAACAGAAGCTTAGGTCCTGATTCATGATCCCATATATCCCGGAAGTTCGCGGGAACGTGTGCATTTCATAACCATGCATAAACTCGTTCAGCAGAAATTCTGCATTTTCGGTCTGGATGCGATACATAGAATAACTTTTTTATCAACAGGGATAGCTATTTTGGTTATTAGTGATTCTAAAAGCTTTCCTGTGGGCAAAAAATTCTCAAACAGAAACATGGATTTTTGACGAAGCCGTGTATAGTGCAATGGTTTGCTACCAAGCAACAACAGGAGTTAGCACAAATTGCGAGCTTTGACAGCGATCTTTCGCGTACTCTCGACTGTTCTGCTTTTGCGATTTCGCACCCGCCGCTGATGCTCGGCTATGGCTGTGCCTGTTCTGCCAATTTTCGACGAAGACGACGATCCGGGAAACAGCTCATCATTTGGGATTTCGGCTGGCAAAATTCTTTTTTTCATTGCGGCTGTCCGAATGTCACGATATGTTAAACAAAAGGTCTGGTCGGATGACCTTTATGCGATACGACGACTCTGGTTGGATTGTCCACACGAGCTGGGCTCATCATCCGTACTAGCTGGGCTATGTTTGGTGGTGAATATTGCTATGGCTGCGTGTATGGGCACACGTTTGGTCTCTACTGGCCAAAAGTATCCCATAAATTTATGCTCAGGGTCATCGCTTTGGATTATAACTGTTTTCTTCGTTGTATCGTAAGTCAGCTGTATTTTTTGTTGAATAAGTTGTCATTTAAATTTTATTATTTTCCAAAGAGTAGTGTGAATTCTTCTGCAAATATATTCCGCATTTCAAATTTGATATAACGAGTCCTACACAATATTTATTGTGCCATAAGTTTACAACGCATACTGTCCATTACAGTTGATTTGGTTTACTGCTTTTTTCGTAGACAGATGACAGCTGCAATTATTCGAATTCCTCCAACAAATTTTAGTAGGATACATTCGTTACTTCCTGTAATGCCGGCATCTTCCACCAAGTTTGTACTGCACTTGGATTTCTTAGCCGTCCTCTGTGTACTTCCGGTGATCGTCACCATGTTGTATTGTGGAGTGCAAGACGTCGCCAGTGTTGGTGCAACGAAGCTTACAATAGCTTTCTTACTGTCGTCACTTTCTGTTATGACACCATCTTTGCAAGCAGACGAAGGCATCGACAACGAGGTATTATTCAATGCGCAAATTAAATCGCGCAGCGACTTACCATTAGGTTAATCGGTTTTATATGGTTATTTATGTACGGCTAGTTCATAGCACACGCGTTTATTCCTGCATTGTGTATTGAATGCGTTTGCTGATGCGATAACTTGTAGGTTATAATGGAACCAGCTAGGAAGCATTTTCTGGGAGCCGGTGACAACATCGATCCCGATGTATGTCGAGCTCAAAGGTTAAGCCAGACGATTACAATTAAGGCAAATGGTTGCAGCCCAAGTCTTCTCCTGCGCATCCAACAAATGCAGGGTCAACAAGAAGAAATTGAGCAACAACTGCACAAGAGAAGGCATAAACGTTCTTAAATCCCATTTTTTGCGTTAATTTACTAGAGCGTTAATTTTTCTGTCGAAAAGCTCTGGTTCTGTAATTGTTTTGGCCAGCAGAGATCAAATGTGTGCCCATACATGCACCCATAATCCTCAAAAAAATGCAACCTTTATTGCGATTTCATCCCTATCCAGGCGTGCATGCCTGACATTTACTTACATAGCAAGGATCCTATAGCCGCTAAAAATGACAGGACAGGGTATTATTACCTATACTTACGTATGTAGATTTCTTTACTTACGGGCGTTTCGTCTCCCGGCATTAAAACCCAAAACCTCCGATACGAGTATACAGTTAAGTTTAGAAAAACCCATCACCCATCACCGGCTCAAACAGTACTTCAAACCGGCTCAAACAGTACAGAAGTATAACTAACACCTAATACAACTCTCTGATCGGCGCACTCGTTATCCATAAACTAAAAACAGGTTTATAAAACTCCGGACATGCAGATGTGCCCTGCAACATGAGATCAATGTACAGTTAATAATAATATATAGATTCTATAATTGAGGATAGCTTAAACCTTTATACGTACAACTGCGACAAACACAAGCCTATACGAGTGTAACTGTACAACTTTTCCGCTTATGCTGTCTTATATGCAAAGGTTTTCGTTTTGCTACAAAACACTCGGTATCTCCACAAGTTACAGTTAATTATAAATCAGTCAACAAACATTTTACGAGGGCTCTGAGTTTATCCTTTCTCATGAAGAAATGCTTACAATTAAGTACCTTAGTTGTTGCCCGTGTTGGTGTGAATTGTAGCAAGGGCGCGGTGGCTACTCACGTAAGGTACATGGTCCACATCTTCGAAATACACTTGCAACAGACCATTCATATTTTGATGAGCAATTTCACTAAAAAAAACATAAGTCAGAAGAGGATATCATGACAAAATGTTGATCTATACGTAGTCTAAAGTAGCGGAATGTATCACGGAATGTAGCATTGTGCTCAAAAAAACGTCCTGCAATGTGTGTGTCTCCCGGCAATCTTCCCGGAAGACGCGACTTGCTAAATGACTAGATATGCCGAAAACGATGATGTTTGCCAGATGTTCCTAGTAAGGACATTTACTATCCTTCTGACTGATCCCAGAAACAGCTCTTCTTGTTCCAGTGCCTTAACTGGAACAGTAATCGTATCGAATTACATTAACAAATTGTCTGTTCTGCCTACGGACGAATCCTTCCAGGATGCTATCTGTAATCTAATATTTACGGGCACGGCCCTCAAGTCTGGTTTTGTGGAAAGCAGCAAAACTATTGTACATGCAGACGTGCACTTTACATGATGCAGCGCACTTTAATAACCGTAATTTAAGGCTCTACAACCATGGCATGCCGTGTTTGTTAATCATGAGTGTTACGAATTTATTGTGTATCGACCAAGTACGTTATGCCGCAAGCTGAACTATGACCCACTTGTACTGTAACTAAAACACATTTGGCGTAATTTGAGTGTACAGCGCACGGGCTGTGTCAGTGAAAAACAGAAGTAGTAGTACTCATATTATTATAAAAAATTTTAATATGTCCGCATTTGCACTACGGATTTGCATTTATGGATTTGGATGGCTGTTGCCTTTAAACTTTGCTTACTCAATTTGATCGAGCTCTTCTTCCAGTACCAACAGATGATCATGATTCAATGGAGTTAACTTGGTGGTAAAATTTTCTTGATAATAATCATAATCGGTTTTAAAGCGATTCTCGTATCCCTCCAGATGAAGAGCCTGCAAAAACTGGAGGGTCTGCGTCTGCCCTGCTTGGCCTTGGTTGTGGAGGGCGCCAATGCTTTGTTTCCATGCTTCTGTAAACGCAGTGCGTTAAACAAGGGATACGCTGTACAAGTCCTGATAAGAACTACGCTGTATATTTAGCAACAACAACGAATAAGTGTTGTTCCGTAAGAACTTTCATTTACACTTTGCATCGAGTTACAGTTTTCTTGGGATCGTGGTATAATTATCGCGCTTGGGATCGTGATATGGTTATGTTAATAAAGAAGGCATTAAAAACAAAAGCTCGAAATACCAGTGCTGCATCGAGCATTCGTTCGTTCATGTATACGTACGTGGCCCGGTACAAGTACCAAATTCTTGTATCTGCGCGAAAATTTTCACTTTCGCGTACTCCCACATACTTTTTGACTTTGTTTTATGACATTCTCTAGCCAGATAATTTCTATACATAGGCGTGAAAACCGTTTGTACCAGGGCGGTATCATTTTTTTCAAATTTTTAGCATGCATTTACGGGGTACGTAGCGTAATAACAATAAGAAAACGTGGGCTTTTTTCGTTTTGTCGCCATCATAACATCACAAGTACAGTATGGTTAACCACCCAGAGGAGGCAGTAAACAACAAGCTAACTTAAATTAAAGCCGGTGCACTACAAAACACGAAAGCCGAAATTTTTTGCTGTTTTAGTTTAATGACAAGAATCTATTATCGGGGAGAAGGTTTTATACGGTTTGTTCGTTTTTGTATGCAAATGATGATTACGATTACTTTACCCAGGTATTGATTATGCCATCATTATGGGATCATACGAGTAACGCAATGGCAGAAAAGCTTTTCAACATTCCGGTTCTCAGCAAGCATGCTTATTCGCTGTAATTTTAGTTGGACCATGTAATTTTAAACAGTTTGAGTTCTAGGAAAGTTTACAGTCCGAGAGTTGCTCCTACGGTATGATAGGATCATATGACTTCAGGTAAGTTGTAAACGACTAAATTAGAACAAGCGTTCGTTCTACCTTCCGAAAACTCGAAGACCAATCGTGGAATATGATGTTCCATGATGCTGGGAATAAGACGTTGAATAAAGTTAAACAAAAGCTTGCGTTTATTGTAGCTATCCCAGTGAAGCCAAAGTGGTTGTATAACGAAGAGCAACTGGTATTTAAGAAGTTAAATTTGTGCAAACAGCAATTAGCCATTGCCCGTTATTGAATGGTTGATTACGTGGCATATCACAATAATATGCACTGATAAACCGGAAGCGTCCTACAAAGTACAAACTATAACACCTTCAATTTTCCTCGATCTCGGGTGGTGCAGGTTACTTACGGTCTTTTAACTTGAATTACATATATCACAGCAATATTAATTAGTTTATCTTTTGGTGTATAATGTCCAGTTTAGTTTAATTTGATTACACGTTGCGTAGCGAGGATTCCCTTGCCTGTTGTTGCCTGTTGCCTATTTGAAAGAGTTTTTTCTAACTGGACTGCAGCGCGCGAAAACCAGGAGGTTTGTCAACATGCTAAAGCGTTGTGGGATCTGGCTTACAAGGCTGTTGGGATACGACTTGATTCAGGTGATTTGACATATCTTTTACGTGAAGCACGCAACCAACTTTGCCAGACTGCTTCTTGCGGCAAGAGTGCGACGAAAAGGACTGATGATTTTAATTTTTCTGTTAAATTGTTAGTGCCATGTTCTGGATTGAACAAGCATAAATCAAAAGTTCAGTGGCGCTGTGTAAATTTGTATTTTCAGTTCTTCGTTAATTGCATAAAACAACACTTTAACGTTTTGCTTTATAGTTTTTTCACTATTCACTAAAGGACCGTCAGTTAGACTGAGCCAAGACGTCGGTAAGGTGACCATTCCTGGACGGAAGACATTCTATCGCCTTGTGGGTGACAGTGGAAATGAAACTTTGGTGGATATTGTCCGAGGCGTAGACGAAGCCCAACCAGAACCGGGAAAAGAATTACATGTCGCCTTCCTTTGGAGCAGGAATTTGTCTGTTTACTACATTTTATATCAGCATATATTGTTTTATCAGGCTGCAGTAATTATTTAATCAGAGATTCGTTCGTAGGTGAAAGCTTCACTCATCAGACCGGTAGCAATGCCATGTAGGTAAACTGCATCCAAATGATCGGGAATTCTCAGAATTAATGCTGGAGATTGGGACCAACCGCCTGGAAGCTATGTTTTGCATTCACCGGATCTCCTTCCTTGTGGTTACCTCAACGTACTTGTATGCAGCCTGACCTACTGCTGCTACTCGAACGACGACAACATAACAATAACGCGTGTACGACTACGAGTATCGGATATGTGCTTGCTCTTCATACTGATGTATTTGTCCTTTTTCCGTGTTCTGAATCGAGCGGATGTCATCGCACCAGCAGGACGATTTTTCCTTCAATTCTAGTTTTAAGACAAGCGATATTCGTTTCTTCGTGTTTTAGTTACGGTTTATCATGTGCACGTGAGTTTGGGTAATCGTGCTTACAAATATTTCTTCCATGAAATGTGGAGCCCAATCTAATGGTAAGCAAACCGTCCGTTGTGATTTTGAGTTGCATTAATGGTCATCTATCCTGTATTTAACCTGTAATCAGCTAGGTATTGTAGCGATAGTATTTGTACGAACGATAAGACCGCCCAGTTATGATTCATTCCATCGCGTTATGAATTAATGTGTCCACTTTACCGGCTAGTTTCCCTTCTCATGAATTTCTAGAATTCAGTCTTGACACTCGCTTGCTACAGCTTGCATCTACTTGATTGTGCCTCTTGCTGAAACCCTTGCTTACAACCTTGCTCCGTTTCTTGAACGCCTTGTCATTAAACATGCCTTGAGTTACGTTGTCGTGTTTGACCGCTTGGGATGAACCTGTGTCATCCCAATCGGAGCCACCTGTGTAATTGCGTTACATCTGTAAGAGGCCAGCATCGTTGCCGGCCGTGCCACCTTTCACACCAACAGCCGTTTAATCGTGGTAAAGGCTGATCGCCACCCCACTAGAACAGTAGCCAGATAGGCCACTGTTACAGTATTATACATACGCAAGACTTGCGTCTGGTGCTGTCTTCATAAAATACTTCGTGAATTGATTTTCGTTTTTTGTAATGCTGTACATTCTACTGATCATAAAATAAAAAAAACCGACTCTGGAATCTGTAGTGTTACTACTGTTTATACAGACCAAATGCAATTAACGATGTTATACATTTAATAAATCCACTACAAAGTTGCGAACCTCCGTTGCCGCCGATGTGTAGGAAACCGTTATCGTTATCGAAATGTATTACCAGAGTAACCAGACACAGTGTTTATAATTGACATTTTGCATCCAACATTTTCAGGTTTCGCTGGCTGCTGGAGCACAAGCACGGAATGACTTCACATTCGCCAATTTCTTAGCTTCGGACAGATGCATTTTCCCAGTGTTTGGTTTAGGTTTCATCGGCGTTCCCATAATGTCAAATGTTATCAACCTCACAGCACCTGCAGGCCTGGTCCGACTCACTGCGGAAACTGAAATAGCGGAAACAAAAGAATCAAAATGATAGCAATGGCAATGCGCACAGTCGGGACTCGGAACAGATCCAAACAGAGACAAAAAAGTCGATAGTTTCTGATAAGTACAAATAAAAAAATCTGTAAAAAGAGATCTGTAAAAAATACTCGTATTTCTGATTTGTAAAACTTCATGCAAACTCCCAAGTGGTTACTAATGTCTACTTAAAATGCACACGAACCGCAAAACAGTTTAGAATAATCTGTAAATTAAAAACATAAAATATCATGCATTAAGAAAAGAAGTCGTAACCTGTAAGAAGTTAAACTGACTCAAACAAAAAGTTTTTTCGCCAAAACTGCAAAGGTGCAAACGCACGCAATGAAATGATTACTGCTCGCGGTGACGTAACAGCGGCTCCGCCCAGTGCGCCAGCATGCTCGACACTGCAGACCTGGGCAGTTAATTTTAACTATTTAACTTAACGCGAGTTTTTTTCGAGTTAACGAGTTATAACTTAACTTTGAAGCTTAACTCGCCAGGATGAAAACTTAACTCTAGCGCAACTCAAAAATAATATAGCGCAACTCGAGTTTAACGTAACTCTGGAGGTTTCAGTTGAAAGCAAAAATGAAATTAAAAAATAGAAAATATCAGAAAAAATGTTATTTTAACCGGGGATCGCATAAATTGCCATAATTACAAAAGTATCTGTACAAAATTTCTCGAGCAGACGTACACTACAACCGCCCAAGGCTTTGACTAGACTAGGAAAAATGCACGTTGGCGTGCATTTGACAGACCGGAGCGCAGCATTTCCTTTGAGTACAGTATACTACATTTTATATTACAAACTGTTTAAGTATTTTAATACTATTTTTATATGTTGAATAATGAAATTTTATATTATTTTGCAAAACGACTTAGGAACATAAGCATAGACTTCCAGTTACTCGTTGGAAATGGCTTTCGTAACGACCTTTCGTAACGGACACAAATCAACGAAAGTATGTATTAATCTACCTTCGCTACGCTTCGGTCGATGAATATGCATCGGAGAGTCCATGCTGACAGTGAGTGTGATCGTTCAATTTGAGCTCAATTAACAGCGTGCAGAGAACGTAATTTTTTGCGGAGCAAAATTTTGTCAACGAGAGGACAAATCATGTTCCGCACCAAAATCACACGGGAACTGATCGTCTGTGCGCTACCTGCTACCTGTAATTGTTCGCTACCTGCCCATTAGGGAAGCGTAATAATGCGGTCAACGCTGTCAAACAGCTACACTAACTTCGGTAGCCATGTGAAGCGAAATCTTAGTAAAAAAGTTCAGCGTTGCCGGCGCTCGGCCCCAAAAGCCAGGGTCAAAAAGAGGGAGGAATTTTGAGAGGCAGGAATTTTTATGTGGTTAAAAAGAGGGAGGAGTTTTGTCAGATAAGAACTTCTTATGTTTGATTTTTTCTTGAGGGTGAGAGAAAACAGGCAGGAAAAACAATAAGAACAAAACACAAGCATGTTTTCTTTACGTATATGTTTCATTCTTTTGTTTCGTTCTTATTCTTTCTTATGTTTCATTTATATTTTATCTTCCTCCCTCAAGAAAAATGTGTCTCTCGCTCTCTCCCTCAGGAAAAACATGAAAAAGGAACATTAGAAAAAGCATGAATTTTAAAAATCAGATTTAAGAAAAAAATTAAATAATTGGTCTGTGTCTCAAATCTGGTAAAAGTGATATCGGTATGCATAAAAGACTACTTGAAGTTGATTAATAAAATCATGATTTTTTTTATTAGAAGTTAACTCCAGTTAACTCTAGTAATTGCGGCTAACTTAACTCGTAGCGTAACTCGCGAGCTGCGATTAACTCTTAACTCTAACTATGAGTCGAAATCTCGTAACTGCCCAGGTCTGCTCGACAGCTGTTGGAACTTGGAATCTCGGAGCCTTTCAAGTTTAAAACTTTATCTAAAAGCTGAAAACTTATTTTTTGATTCACAACTTTCACATGCTGTACTTTAATTATATATTTTATTTAGTGTGTTATAATGTTATTTGTTACATTGACGCTGCGTATTACGTATTCGCTTGCACGTGTCGCTGGCTGTCACTGAACTCAGTGAACTGGTAGATTCTGTTTTACCATCTGGAACCTGAACATGCACGGTGACAAAATGGTCGACGAAGCAACGAAAAAGACACTCAGCCAAATTCCATTGTTGATGACCAATGCAGGACCTCGGGAAAAGGATTTATGGCCGCAGCGGATGAAGGAAGAGTCGCTGTCGCTTATCAAATACGTGGAGAATAATAAAGCTGCGGACAACGACTGGTTTCGTTTGGAGTCTAACAAAGAAGGCACCAAATGGTTTGGAAAGTGTTGGTACATCCATCAGCTGCTTAAGTACGAATTCGAGATCGAATTCGACATTCCAGTAACATATCCTGGCACTGCGCCCGAGATTGCCATTCCTGAACTGGATGGGAAGACAGCGAAGATGTATCGAGGAGGGAAGATTTGTCTGACGGATCATTTTAAGCCGCTTTGGGCCAAAAACGTTCCGAAGTTTGGAATTGCTCACGCACTAGCGCTGGGGTTGGGCCCCTGGCTAGCCGTGGAAGTTCCGGAGCTCATAGAGCGTCAGGTCATTAAGAATAAAGAAGGAGGAGATGACGGCTTATCCGGTATGCAACGGAAAAGTGCTGAACTCTGCTCCATGGATAGCTTCTCGGGTGGCTACTCTGCTACCTCCGACGACTTGCTTGTGAAAACGAATAGTGATGATCAGGATTTAAAGGATGTTTTTATTGGTCGAAATCGTTTGATTGGTTGGCTCTACTATCCTTTTTTTGAGATTGCAGTGAAAGGCTGCTTCGTTAGATTGTCTTATTCCAAATCAGATATCGCGACATATTGTGACAATATTCGGGATGAAGAAAAGGAGACGGAGTTGACTTACAAGGTATGTCAAGAAGCCCTGATATCGTATTTGATTGTTTGCTTTATTATTTGTCAACAGATTTCACCGTGTCCGTGTTCACCTTTTAGATCGGGAAGATTCTTAGCGTTGTGGAGACTCGGTCACCGTATTCCTTTTTTCTTTATATTCGAACCAAGATTCCGGATCAGCCAAAACCGATTCAAAAACCCGTGATGCATTTCACATCAGTCTATCTCCAAGTGGAGTAAGTTGTAGATTTATTATTACTAGAGCATTATTACTAGAAATGCACTTTAGCCCGCCTTGGTTTACAGGAACGAATTTATAAAAGTTTTTTCAAGCAAAAAGTTTATTTTGATTATTAACAGTTTTTTTATTGTTTTCGGTTTCTTCTATGGTAAAATATTTAAAATGAATTTCACACTTGCACGGGCAGTTTCGTTGACACGAAAACTCAAATATTTAAAAACTAGAGTAGAATATGTTAACGGTAAAATATTGCTGCATAATTATATGACCATCGAAGCGTTATAAGAGAAGCAGCTAAAGTTATTAATAAAGGCCCTTTAACTGGTAGCATCAAACAATAGGGAGCATTGCACTAGTTGCATATGCGTCATCATTATTATTGTATGCTTAATTTCTGTTGTCACACCCGAAACTCACCCCATTGTTAATTTACGCTCTAATTAATATCATATTGTTCTTAATGACTCTTAATATTTAATATGGTTGTTCACAGATAAAATTTGTACGAATTTTCTTAGGTTTGAATCACTGTTTAAATTTTTTTTGTTTCCACAGAATGCCTAACGGCGAGCAGGAGAAGCTGCCCCTGCGGAATGTCTCCAGTGTCGCGCCGAAGGATAGCGAACTACAGCTTTGCGGTATGCCCTGGCCCAGTTCTTCCGTCTTAAAGAAAAAGGCAGCAGATTTGCAAATGTGGAAGAGTTACAGAGTGACAAAGGACGATGTCGAACATAAGGACAAATATATCGAAAAACTCGATCAGGGATCTGCTCGATGGGTTTCACTACCAGAGATGAAGAGCGATTTAATGAAACTGAAAAAGGACGCCATGGCAGCGGGTGACCAAAAAGCTGCTGAACGGTTTCAGCATGAGTTTGACGTATTCAATAACGTTTGTATCGGTTGACGATCGTGTCAGCCTTTCCCGCATTAACAGCCGACAGATCATGAGAAGGTGGATTAACCAAACCACTGGAACAGAGAAAAGCTGTTGTTAATTTTTTGCTGTACTATGTTCTTATATTTCTCTATAGTAGCGCTTTATCATGGTCTGTATATATATACAGACCATGGCTTTATATTTTATCGCATCTGTAACAAATTATCAGTTGAGGAGCAGAGCGGTGTTTGTTTGGGTTGTTAATGGTTATTATCGCTACTTTATGTGCGGTAATTATGGGTGTTATGATTTATTAACAAGAAAATTTTTGTACTGAACTTTAATTGCCCGCGGAATGTTACAAGTCTCTTTCTTCACTCCAATGTGCACTAATACAGCTTTAGCGAACATTGTAATGGAATGGTGTTTGTGAATATTTTTGAGTTTACTATTTTTGTCCGTTTGTAATCAGTTGTATGCGTGCCATCTTGTCCTATGCGTAAGGGGATTATCCCCGTAGTAGAAGACATTAAATTCATTATTATTAAAAAATTTTAGTGGTGCAAGTACAATTACGTTAACCAGTTTCTGATTCTGCAACAAATTACGAATTGTAAACGTTTTGTACCTTTTTGTGAATTTACCACGCACAGAGTATGTATGTTACCGAACCTCATTTAGGTTATTATGTATATAATTTGTACATACAGATATGGATGCAGTAACTTTACAGTTTACCGGGCAGTGATAAAAATATAAAAAGCTTTGTAAATGAGCATTTGTAAGTCAAGACAGATTTAAATCTTTGGTCCATTTGGAAAAGGCATCGAAGAAAAGGTAGAGAGACGGAATCACATTTATGTATCAGATCAATCAGCGCAAGCATTGCGCAGAACTTGCCGCGAATACAACGCATTAATCGGTCCCTTGAGTAGGAATCTGCTATTCTGCCCATTGCTATCGTTCTGCTCAACCTGCAAAGTTTTCGTGTTTATCAAAACTTGTAAAGAGTTTTCTTACTGGATAGCTTTTATACGATGGCGTTATTATTGAACATACCGAATGAAAGTGACAGCTACATCGACCAGGATGGAATTCGTTATAACGCGATACAGTCATGGCTAGAGTATCCACGAAAGAATAACTAAGGCGTTTTGCTTCTTCTTTTAATTCGTCGTTATGTTTCACAAGTGTTCCCAAATCGTCCTCAATGCAAAAAATAAAATACATTGTGGTTTTATAAAAATGAAAATTAAATTGACTATATAATTTGTATGAACATGCCTGTAGGTGGGCTTAACTGCAGTTGCACACTAATATTGCTTAGACTCGGTCATCAGATTTGCTTACTTGCGTTACAAACGGAATGCCAGGTATACGAATGAAAAAGCCGGCACCAAGAGTTTTTACCACGACGCGACTTCGCTTCAGATTTTTTCTGGAAGTCAGTATTTAGGAATTAGCTCACAACCATGTGTGCAGAAACCAAGTATCCTTACCTTCGTAAAATTTTGTCAAGTTCTCTTAAATGAAAAGGGCGCAAAAATTGCACGCCTCCTATCACAAACACCACATCTTTGCTGTCATCCAGGTTATCGATCCTGTTAAAGTCAACAAAATATCAGTCAGTGTACATCATTTCGACCATTGTATTAACGATCAGCACTTTGTTAAATCAGCAAGACAGTTTTAAAAAACGAGAACACTTCACCAGTCGTCTATTCGTCAAGCTACGTACAACTGTGCAAAAAATACGTAAAGATATTCATATTTGCAAATATCATATATGCATTTTTTCATTGAAGATACAAATCTGCTAAATAGTTGTGCATATACGATCTAGTAAAGCCTTACGCTTTCGTCGCTTGCAACACAGTCTTTTTAAACGTTGGTCGGAGGTTTTTTGGTATCCAAAACTGTGGATAGTAGGCAAAGGAAAAGGAAACGTTCTGCTCCGGGAATGTGTACACTTTGATGGAATGAATTTTCTCATCACTCCATAGCGAGCCGTTCAACAACTGCAGCGCATATGCCAGTATACCGCGGTTTGTGGAGTCTCCAAGGAAGATAAACTATAAGTTTAATGTCACCGTTACCTATTTAGGCGCACATATGTGGTTGCCTATTTTATTTTCAACACTTACCCGTTTATTTTTTAGACATTCCGCAGAAAGGTCAACATAATCTGACTGCCTATATGCGCAGGCTTCTGCTGACCACGTGGCACCGTCCCAGTTGCACGAAGCCTCATTGCTGCAATCGCGACATGGCACAATCCAGTAATCTGATAGAAAACGCAGTCAGTCTATTTCCGGTTTGTAATTAACGGGTAACACTATTACAAACTAACCAGCTTTCGCTGTGCACTGTGATTCTCTGCCGTGTCTTTTAATGTTGATTTCCGGTTGCAATCCGCATGATTCGTTGGGATAAAGCCGCATTTCACAAGCCTAAAAATCAGAAAGCATGTTGTTGCTCTAACATGCAGTAATTACGAAACAGTGCATCAACTTCATTGTACCCACATTAGAGTAGTAGGTGCTCATTTTATTTATCGTACCTCGTATTACCACAATTACTGAGTATATGCTATAATTATACCTGGAGTAGACGGCAGTTTTGCAGTATCTCCAAATTTTTATTTTTCTCAACGGTCACTGGAGTGCTGTGCCGGGGCTCTCGTGTTATTTTAATGGTGTAGATTTTCAGTGTTTCGAAACTATTTTCCGCTGAAAGGTTTTGTTTAACCACGTGAATGTGCATCACGTTCAAGCCAACTCCTAACGTGAAACTAGAGTGCCTGAAAATGCGAGCCCACAATAAGATAGATAATATGTAATCATACAGGTTTGGGTACATGTGAACACCGGCAAAAATTATTATTGCCTACAAATAAAAAAAACAATTCAAACAAAAAGCGTCGTACTTAGCTGGATACGTGTTTCCCAGTATTGACACGAAATTACTGCAGTCCGCTGGTTCGAACGAAACTTCGACGGACATGACATCAAATGGCACAGCGGCGCTGTACAGTGTCGTCAAAGGATGGAACAGCGGATTCAGTTGGAGAGCGGGACGAAATGCCACGGAAAAAAGCAACGAGTGGAACAGGGAATCTGCACGGTAAGCATACAGATCAAATGTCAATAATTTATAAACAGTTAATATTTAATTAACTACGGTAATGTCAAACTAGGAGTGACATATGTTGGACAGTTGCAAAACTTTACTTTGCTGACACGAGCGCCTGGCAGTACTGGTATCCGCGTCATAACCGGCATCGAATTCTGTCAGATCCCATCCGGCAGAATCCATAGATTTAGGATGACATGTCAGGAAATTTTCAATCGCTTTGGTAAATGTGGATTGAGTAAAGGAATGTAGTGCGATGTATTCCATTCCTGCACTGCCAGAAATGCGAAATAACTCGACAATTTCCAAGGCATTCCGTAAGTCCGCAGTGGAAAGGCAGTCCGGTTTCAGGACAGTGTTCTCAAGATCAATCTCTTTACATTCAATCTAATAAGACACCATATAAAAGTGATTTATAAAAATAATTTCAGGAGTAATACATTATTCCGATGATGGCAAGCTACTTTATGGTTTTACCGATTCGACACTTCGTAGCAAATCCAAATGACCAGACTTTGTTGATTCTTGAAAACCATGTGTCAGAAAATCAAACTGCAGAAGATCTATTAGAAGACTGTTAGGTAGAAACTGTGCGTCGGTATGTGGATAAGGAGCCACCTGTAGCAAATGCGAAAGGTCACCCATATGGTCAGTGATCGGATGTTTAGCACTACTTTTGCTTGCTAGCAGGGGCTATTCGACACCCCCATCGACCATGTACTATTTTTTTAAGCCAAATCTGACCACGTATTATTAATTAGCGAATTTTTCTAATCTAGAAAGTATTTTTCAAAATTTTTTTCGGAACAAAAAAATTCTGACTGCCAGCCCCCTAGGTCCCCCACAGTATCATGGGCGGTAGCAATGGGATCAGGGGCAAAAATTTTATTTTTATGTTTTTTCACTGTTTCTAGGTAAATAAATAACGCTGAATTCAAATTTGATGATAAAAAATTGATATAAGCAGTGTGGAAGAACTTTATGTTGAGAAGGGTTTCGATAATCGTTGTTAGATCAGTTGTGAGAATCCTTGTTTTTTTTTTAAGTAAATCTTTTTATCCTCAGCCCATATCACATTTTTAATGTCAAATTCGAATTCAGCGTTATCGATTTACCTAGAAACAGTGAAAAAACATAAAAATAAAATTTTTGCCCCTGATCCCATTGCTACCGCCCATGATACTGTGGGGGACCTAGGGGGCTGGCAGTCAGAATTTTTTTGTTCCGAAAAAAATTTTGAAAAATACTTTGAGATCAGAAAAATTCGGTGATTATTAATACGTTGTCAGATTTGGTTTAAAAAAATAGTACATGGTCGATGGGGGTCTCGAATAGCCCCTGCTTGCTAGTGTTTGATAGTATTACTAACAATGTGCAACAGCACTCACAGATACAACATGAGGGGTCAGCGCTTTTGTTATGAATATCGTAAACTGTGCAATATGAATCTGGTGTAGCCTTGGCCAGTTTTCTTCAGCACGTGGTGATTCAGTGGCCAAAGGCGCGGGTTGTTTGTGTCGTGCGGCTAATTTGCAGTGCGCAAGGAAAACATCAACAGCCGTTCTAACATCTTGAAAAAACCTTTCAATTTCCAGTGAGGTGTATTTTGATAGCAAATATTTTCGGAACTGCTGGATGCTCCATGTCAACTGTGAACTGCTGCCCTACAAACACAAGAAAATCAACTAACAACTAGCACAGTTTTTTGGCTATTATTTTTGTTACACTAACAATTGCTGCCATTTTTACAAAAACTAAGCACATTTCCACTTTTAATGATATTTTAACCTTTCCAACCGCTTATTCAAAAAGCACTTTAAAATAATAAGTTGGAAGATTGTTCAAAGCGCAGTTCGTTTTTAATAATGACAGTTTATAACTGCTGCTACAGAATAACATCGAACACAATAAGGAAGCTCAGTTAATTTAACGAAATACTTGCCTGATAAGGACTGCCTAACATTGGATATTCACCAATTTGAATTAAACCGGATTTATGCAGGAAATACACAACAGGGTCTTTTCCAACTGCTACCACATAAACGGACAACCAAGCTGGGCGATCCAAAACTGTGAAGGATTCTTGCAGTAACATTTTCCCGGTTATAGTTTGAGTTTTGTGCATTTCGCCCAGAAAATACGGCAAGGAGATAGCCGGTACAGTCACAAACGACGGGCTACCATCTTCCTGAGTGACAATCCAGTTGGTCGATGCGTTAGATGCAAAATTCACCGGCATGCTTTCTGCTGTGTTCAAATGGCGATAAACATTTTGGTTGAAAAGTCCTGCAGTTTTCGAGAGAATAATTATTAGTTATGCATCCATATAAGTCTAGTAGCTTTACCGGAAATTTACTTATCGTATTGAAAAACCATTGGAAATTTTACATGATTACTTTAGTATTTACCTGGAATTTCCGCAAAAACTGTATTGAGTAGCTCCCGCTCCAAAATCAGCGCAGGTAGCTTTTCGGAGATGTAAACAACCTGGACAAAAAAATTTATGTATGCGCAAGCTAATTCACGTAAGCGGAATTGATGCTAATGAACAAATAAATGGACCTGCATTATAATATTTGAAATGTTCGGCAGTTAATTTGATCACCCTCCTTGAATCGTCGACTTCAAAAAATTTTCCTCAGCAGTATATGTGCAATGATTGGTTCACATTATAAGTTCACGTTGGTAGTTGCACAATTTTTATACCTTGCCGGCATCGTAATCAATCATTTCCGTCGAGCACGGAGTAAACAAGCACAGCGTCAAGTCCGAGCGCTCCTTAATAAGCGGTTGTGGATTAATAACCGGCAACGCTGTATGGACATCCACCACATAGCCCAGCGTGTGCAGTGTCCGTATGCAGTGTTCATTGTACACATCCATGCCCAGCGTGGAAGACAGGAATATTGTCACAGTTCTCTGTTTGGTTTCCGGTCGCACAGTGCCGGCGCTCCGCATCACTCCCGTCCTCTCCATTGATCCAATGACCTGGATTGATGGGGAATAAGGCAAACAGATTATACGTAAATTTATCTCATTACATTGTAAATACACTTTTTATGCATGTATAATTGGCATTAGTGGTCAATGTGTGCTGCGTTATAATACACAGGGAGATATTGTTCGTGCTCGATTGTACGTGGGATGTTGGCCGGTCAGTCGATGGATGTCGTGCCAATGTGGCTTTCTGGCTGACATGCGGGTATATATTGCGTTGCGCATGTGTACACACATGCCGGTTGTAATGGTGGATTAGTAGCCTTATTTGCGTAAACGAGATCTAATTTTCACCACTTTCGCTTCACTTGGCAGAATGGCTATTTACTTCTGTTTTTCACTAACGTAGCCCACGCGCTATACACTCGGACGTAGGTCAATTACACTGCCAATTGAGTATTTCGTGCCACTAGTGGAAATTGCTGTGGATATCCGTTAGCGAGTGATCGATGATCATAAACAAGTAAATGTATGCACCATATGCATTTGCTCCGGAAATAATATAATTTACTGTCGAATAAATTATGCTACCTCACATTTGAAATCAACTAACTTTCTTAAGTGTATCCCTTGTAGACTGCAGCAGCAGTAAAATTGCTGTAAAAAAATTTTATGGCAAATTTTCCCTGAGACGTGCAGTGAAAACCTGCTTGTATTTTTGATATGATTTGGCGAGCATTTTGCCTGACCACGTTTCGATAATACAATTTAACCAAGAGAAGAAGAGATTCCATAGGAACATTCTAAACGAGGGCTCATATGCGGTTATAAAAATTCTAATCGAGTATGGAGAAGGCTGTGCAACCTGGCAGTCAGTAATAATTGGTAATGATTAAAAGCTCATAAAGGTACAGAAATTGTCCGGAGTTATTATTGATATGGTGAATTAATATCTCCCCGGGGATATGAATACCTCAGAAACTTAATTACGCCAAATGTGTTTTAGTTAACAAGTGGGTCACAGCTCAACTTGTGGCATGGCGTATTTGGTCGATATATATATCACAAGTGCTTCTTTGAGATCTGCGAAAACCGTCGGATAATGTGCTTTCGACGTAAATATAAATGACATGTACTGCACAATATTCTGCTGCTTACAGAAATATATTACTCTACACTTCTAAAATACGAACACGATAAAAATTTATTTAACGTTACATGATTTAATGAATGTTGATTTACGAAGGCTGAAGAAATTTTAGTAATTTGAAATTCGTAGTAAAACTGTTTTGATAAGGAATGTGAAGCCTGGTTGGGTGTTGTCACATGGGAAATTCGTAACACTCATGATTAACAAACACGGCATGCTATGGTTGTAGAGCCTTAAATTACGGTTAGTAAGTTGTACTGCATGTACAATAGTTTTGCCATGGCAAACTGCTTTCCACAAGATGAGACTTAACGGTCGTGCCCGTAATATTAGATTACTGATAGCATCCTGGAAGGATTTGTCCGCAGACAGAGCAGACAATTTATTAATGTAATTCGATACGACTACTGTTCCAATTAAGGCACTGTGAACAAGAAGAGCTGTCTCTGGGATCAATCAGAAGGATAGTAAATGTCCTTACCAGGAACATCTGGCAAACATCGTCGTTTTCGGCATTTCTAGTCATTTAGCAAGTCGCGTCTTCCGGGAAGATTGCCGGGAGACACACACATTGCAGGACGTTATTTCGAGCACACTGACTGATATATTCCGCTACTTTAGACTAGATTAACACTTCATGATATCCTCATATTGTGAAGTGCACTTTACCAACGCTGACGACAGAATGCTTGGCCATAACGCTACATTTTATCACTACCGCTTTTAAGCAGTAACGGGCAGAGGATTAATCTGAAAGGGACAAATTCCGGTGCTTTATTTGCTGCTGCCACCATATTGTTTATGGTGCAATAATCTCGCAGTGCAGTTTACATTGTTGGTTGTTAAACAAAGAAATAACCCAATATTCACACTGGACATTTATCAATAAAATTCTTTTTAAAGCCGGATTGTTAATAACAGATCTTCGCACGCATTTAGCCTATCTGAATATTTTTAAACTGAAATAAAAATTTTAAAAGAGAAGTGTGTGATTTGCTCAGCTGGATGGGTAAGTTGCAGCACATTGATGTACAGATATTATTGTGCAGGTTTAACATATTATTGCCACTCCTCAGCGTGGCTACAGTTTTCAACATGCAAACATATTTCACTTGTTAAATATCCTAGACAGTTGTTGAATTGCAAACCATATATTATTAGGAAGCGCGATTTTTAAGCCAGCAGCAAATTATCTGAAAATTGGTATGCTTGTATTGCATAAGTGCATCATAATTTACCGCATAGTTTCCCGTAACCAGTTATCAATGGAGAAAAATATGTCAGAGCGATGACTGCCGAAAAACTAGCGAGGATCACAAGCCTTTGCCGGCTGTCATCATTCAGCCGCGTACACACACTAAACTCTGCGATGCGAGAAGTCTGTGTGATTTTTGCTAATCGATCCATTTGCTCGGTCAAGTCTCAGCTACATACTTTTTAAAACACATGAAAGATGTGATACAAAAAATGAGAATAGCCATTTAATAGCCCACCTTGTACAGTGCCAAAATCCATTTGCTGACAGAGGAATTGTTTATTTGATCGTTTTTTCCGCCACATGCCACTCCATCCGGCGTTTGATCACGGCTGTTTTTCTCCTGCTCAGCTGTATTCTCCACATCATACTGGCCAGGATACTGCGTCAGATAACAGGCCAGAAAAAACAGCGTGATAATTAGCAATTTGATTGGTATTTTATCCCGGCGCCACAGATTAGAAAATCGAATAAGTGGCATTGTGCGGACAGCATTCAGTCAACGTTGTTGGTCATCAAGCCATTTTTACATCGCTGAATGGGACCGGCTGCTCAGGATCAACTGGCGCTTTTTAACTTGACAAACGGATGAGCTGAGGGCAATTTAGACAATTTGCATTTTTCTTGTATGCCATTTCCACTCATCTGGAAATCAACGACATATATATAAAAGGCGGCCAGTGCGGCACTGCTTTTCATAGGATTCCGCCACAGTTATTTTTGCGAATCATTCTACCATAACTAGCGCAGTTTGGACAGCTGCACACATGTTGCACAATAATTACCGACTATGTCAAATCGCAAAAATTCGATTTCCTTACATCGATATAATGTTCCCGTATAAGAGCGTCGGCCGGCATAAACATTCAGAGCGCGTATACACCGTTACAATCTAACTGTTCAAATTTATTCACCTAGAATATCAAGCTACTTATTCCACACGAAAAAACTCTCAAGCATGCACAAGTAAACTTGAAACTTCCTAACGGCAAAAAGCATTTTTCAATTGTCGAGTATGTTGGATCGTGTCAAACAAGTTTAGTTGGCTATCGGATTATGTTGGTTGCTTCTTAATTTTAACGACACTATGTGTCGGTATGAATTAACCAGCGTACTACACCCAATTGTACGATCGTACGCTTGAACAAACACTACGTAGCGATAGCAGTATATACAGTAGATATACAACACTGTGATACAACGCCCAGTTTTGATATCTGCATTCTCGAACACATACAACTCAGATATTATACGGAAAGTAAATTACTGCAATAATGATGAATGAATTTACCAATATTACTCTATCACGATCGGTTAGTTATTATACATACGTATTTTCATAATATGACGTAAAACTCAAGAGAACCTTTGACAAATTGACAAACGGCTTACCGGTAGAGCGCTGACTGCTTTACTTATACAAGCATAACAACGTATAAACAGTGGCACGACGCAGCCGATTTGCAAACAAAAAACAGCAACACAATCCAAGTAAACCGGCTACCGGAATAAAGGAAAAACGACGAAAGTAAAGTGTGCCGGTTTCGAAGTGCAACGTATATTTGGTAGGATCACTTAAGCGCTGTGTGCCTATTTAACGTCAATCTTCTCATCATTCACACACCTTGGTGTTGACACTGCCAGAACATTGGGCAGTTGTTTATGTGTGACTCGGAATCTGATGAAGTGCACCAACCGCTTTTCTGACGCTTCCCTGTGACAGGGGCTCAGAACTTTGCTCTGGACAACAAGACTAAATGTTATAAACTGGTATCAATGCGCCGCTCTGCAGTTAGGATCGTTTCTTTTCCGTGTGTATATAAAACTCGCATTGCAGCCACGAAAGCGCTATATCGCACCATCAATAAATCATCATGGTGTGAGTCGGCTAGTTTGACTTCTTCGTCCGCCAAAATCATTAGTACAGCAGAAAGCGGCAGAATACGTGGTAATTTGTGAAATCTTGTAAATTACTAAAACAAATACTTTCTGTAGCGCATTTTAATACCCATATCTACGTATATGAGGCTGTCGGTATTAATGTGCAGCCAACGAAACCCTGAGGATTTTTTGCCCAGGCATGTATCGTACAACTCTACTGGACAACCAACCGGCAACCATCCGGATCGGAAATGCAATACCAATCATCACGGCACCCGGTTTAATAATTGCTGCACTGTGCACATCAAGTTTTTATATTTTTAATTAATTACAGATTGGCTCACGTTTCACAATTGTGCACAGCTGATCACTTTTTGTACAGATAAACTATAAATGGTCTTAAAGCTGCAACTACTAAACACATGGCCAGAAATTCAATCAATTTGATTAAAACTACATTTTTATAAATTTTACAAATTTTGGGGTAATCATTAAATCAGCCAAAAGCAATACGCTCGACCTATCTGAAAACACCATTACCATGTTATGGAGTAAAACATTCTTTGGTGTTTTATGTTCGATCGATTCAGCCTATCTAGCGCCGAGCCGCTCGGTGGAAATTGCTTTGCAGTCAAAGATAAATATGGTATAAAGTTTGATTAAAAGGATCGAACAAATAGGCTAAAGATTTTGAAAGTAAGTAATTGACGCGTGAATGATTTTGCTTTTCGTGTCAAAATTCGAAAATCATAAGCCGGAGATGGGGTGTGGATGTGGATATATGGCCACTGCAAGGCTGTATTGACAATGAAGTAGCCGTGATGAAGCCGCCCTGCCGGCCAACACGGCAGGGATTATTCCTGACCAAGCTGTGTTTAAAAGAGGTCGTTTACAGATTCCGGAGGCTCATTCAGTTGCGTTATGGCAAACAATCCACATCGACAGTATTGCTATCACATTATACACGCTCTCAAAAAGAGTCAATTCGCCGACGAATGCCAAAAATGATGCGGTACAATTTACGATCAGGAGTCTCTAGTAATTTCAAGTGTTTACCTAACTACACTTGAATACACAGGTGCTGTTAAATTCTTAAAATGGGTTAGGTATCATCGTTTTGAGATTACAGTCGTGCGACCAAACACAGCAAAGTGTGAATGCCATCTTGTAAATGTACAGGGTGTACTACCGTACTCCCTTGCTCGCATGGCATAATGAAACAAAAACACCGGCGTCAAATGAAATTTAAAACAGCAAAGGACTGTTTGTTAATCGAAATCGCATAAAAATGGCTAAATGTGCTACTGCAATAAAACATTCAGCGGATTCTCGAAAGTAGCTAGTGACTTCCAAGAACTGTCTCATTTGTAGTACCTATTCGTTCTATAAAATTAATGTTCTACATTTATAGATGCGTACAAGTACTCATATACGTACCCTGTTAACAGAAGAAGAAATAACGGAAAAAATTTTTTCTGTGTTACTAGTTAAATTTACTGTATTGTGCACTAGTTCATAATAACTTGTAAAAAACAATGCGGCAGCGAAAGCTGGCCTGCATATTTAAAGGTCTGATGGCTTTACCGGGTCCCAGTCCACTTATCACTCTGTATCGTACTGACCTTTTGGCTGAAGGTCTGGAACTGCACTTTGTTATCGACCGGCATCATATGGATCCGGTATCAGATACTGCACATACCGCAGTTCGCTACGTATTATGGTAAGGGGGGCACTGTATATTCAGAAATATTTGTAGTATTTGATGATAAAATATCGCAACCCCAGACAAATAGTTTTTGTAAGTCAGGTTGCGGTCTTACCAATAAGATACTATTTACTGCTATAGTTTGAACCGTTTTTTGTATTATATATGTATGTATAAATTAAATAATAAAATTGTGTTAGGTAAGGCCCACCTAACAGGGCTCGTGCTGGCATAACGTCGCGTACATTTACAATTTTTGCATTTTACTCCAGGGTCGTAGCAGCATTAATCGTAATACGAACACATTAATTTAGCAATAATAATTTAATAACCACGGTGAAAACGGTACCGGTGAACGTATGACTGCAGCTGTATGCAGAAGTATTTATTGCAGGCGTATTTACAACACATGCACACAGTAATGGCCATTCATCTTTACCAGCGCCCAGTGTTGCCCAACAAACTGACAGCAACTGTGTTATATTATTGACAATGCGTCACAGTCTTGAGGAATACGTTGGCCTCATAACAACATTAAAATTTCTAATCTTATAACAAATAACCAGTACCAGCCCAGTAATCTGCAGTAAGAGTGTGCCGCCAACAATGCTACTATAGAAAACATACATTATGACATTGAGCTGGGTTTCGTGCTCGGCTTGCTTAACATAACATCCTGTGTCATAGGCTTCCAGCAAGCCAAATTGGGTCGCATTGGGCGACTGCTGCTGGAGCGATTGCGCTCCCAGATGGCCGCAGCGTTCGGTATCGTTCCCGTATTTACAGCACGATAACGGAATATATCCTCCGGCCACTAGCCAGTCACTGGCCGACATTGAGCCACAACAGCGCAGACTCTGCTGTGTTTCGTCGAAGTAGTGCATGCTACTGGGATCCTGGGAGTATCCGCTCTGCAGTACAATGAAATCGTAACTCTGCCGGTAGCTGTTCAAGCGACTACGCTGATGGAGCATGACATTGTAGATAACGAATGCCAACAAACAGAAGCATCCCAGAGAAACGATGACGCTGAGGATGTACAGGACTATAAAACAGGTCCGTGTTCGCCAGAAGTACACGGCGGATAAGCCGAACAGTCCACAGCAGAATAATGCACTAGACAGAATAAAATAGCCACAGGATACCAGCGTGTAGTTGTGTTGCGGCTCCGTTCCGAACAGTGACTCCGATGTATAGTAGCCTTCGATGAAAATGTTTTCAATCCAAACAAAAAATATGTTGAGGGTGAACAATGCTATGCCGGCACATATCTGGAGTATGCATATAATGATGAACGTCCACTCTATACAGGAAAATACCCTCATTTTGTAGATAACCAGTGCAATGGCAAAGTTTATTGTATTAGAAAAATGGTACTCAAACGCAGCGCCAAGCTCTTACATGTCGTAATGTAAAACAACATGGATCATGTAAATTCTGGCACTGCAGAATGGTGATAGCATTATATGTGTGTTCCAGCATGGAATAAGTCGCCGGAAGTGCAGTGATGAGCTAAAAATACAGTGAGTCAATGGACTAAAAATTAGGTTGAACTGTTTCTAAAATCCAGATGTTGATATGTAATGCTTACGCACTATGTCACACAAGTTACATTACGTAATCGTCGGCCAAATTTAATCTAGCGGACTATCCATGATGGAATCCATGATGCAGTCTAAATATTGCAATTGTATGCTACAAATTACATATGTACTATAAAGCTATGTATATTATACGTTTTTAGAAATGCAACGATCTGCTGATGTCCATTTGACGATAACATACGAAGAGCGGTAAGATACACATAATTTCCCCAACTTTACCTGTGCAATTAAGCGCATGACTCGTTTCCGGAAATATTTTGCTCTCAACTACTTGACCGGGATCGTCTGCTTGGATACGGAGTTCTCTCTACATTCAACATCTGAATTACCATCATAACAATAATATGACACTAACCACTGCGACTCTGAAGACCACAACGAACAACGGAGACATTTGCGTTTGTGCTCTTTTAGCACTACATATGTCCAAATTCATACGAAATTCTAATACAAAATTAGAAACGAAACAGGAAACGAAATTTTAGTGTCATACAAATATTTTAATCTGAACAGTTGTGTACAGCGGCGTTACCGGACGTTTTGGAGCTAACCTAAGGAAATACGAGTAATATCGTGATTCTAGTCAAACTCAAACTTCACACCAAGCAAGAAATCAACACGCAACTTACGAGCAAATTTACACAAACATTAAACACAGGTTTTCATTATAACAGAGATGCAAGCAAAAAAGGGAAAGCATATGGAATCGGGAAAAAAGACTGATCACAATATACGAAAGAAAGGCACGCTAATTCCACGCTAAATCATGCGGGTTGCTTATCTTTCTCGAACGTCACCACTTCATCGTCCAATACAGCCGAAACAGCCACATCCGAGACCGAACCTTCACAGCTTTCAGGGCTTGTACGGCGCGGGAGCAGAGTGAATACATCCTTCCATGTCATATCTTTGCCAAAGTCCTCCGTTTCTTGCACTGTTTCCGGCAACGAAACACCACCTGTTTCCGGCAGCAGAAGAACGAAAAAGCTTCCGAATATCGTGATACATCCGTAAATGGCCAGCGGCAATGCGAAACTTTTAAATCTGAAAGTACGCGATAACTGGTCCCAGGTTAGACACAATAGAGGATACCTAAACAAAAGATCACCAAATTAATAGTTCAGTACTGAAAATGAGCAGTAAATTTGATCGCTTATGAAAATGTAGTACAAGAACAAACTGTTCTACAAGAACAAGAATGTAGTACTTTACAAAACTTAACATGAATTAATGATTCATTAAAAAAGCTGTCCAATTAAGGTTACAACTGCAGGGGATCTTCGCCAAGAAACATTCATGTTTTACCATATTTGTAATTCCTACGCCTTCTCCGCGTACAACTGTAGGCAATAATTCACAGACCATCAGTTCCTGAACAGTATAGGCCGTGGTGTTAAACATCCGAGCAATTAAAAACAAGCTTAACACAGCAATATAATGATCAGTTTCCGAGGGAAATGCCAGAGTTGCCAGACAGCAAATTCCGCCCAGAATTAAACAAGCAAAAGTCGTCAATCGGCGACCCAGTCGATCAGCCACTGTTTGAGTTAACAAGGATCCTGGGAGTTCAACAAGATTAGATAAAAGGAAACTTAAATGGGGATCTTTTCCCAATGAAGGAGCGTAGTAGTTCAGCCCACAATACACAATGGTCACATTGGCGGACAGATACATTAAGAGCAGCGTTTTTCGTCGAATATTCGGTTTGCTAAACAGTTCCGTAAATGGGAAGGATGTCTCATCCATACTTTTCTTTTCCTCGTATTCTTCAAAATTCTCCACAAGTTTTATGAATTTAGTTTGTAACTTCTCGTCATATTCCTTCCCATTCCATTTCGCAGCACGACGAAGAAAATTCTCCACTTCTGCGTAGCGCTTTTGTGTCAAGAGAAAACGCGGACTTTCCGGCAAGAACCACCAGTATGCCGCAAAGATGACAAAGGGAAACGTGCATATCAACGCGATAGATCGCCAGGCGCGGACAAAATAAGCTACACCGATGAAACCAATATCGCCTACGGCCAGGAATACAGTGATGAATACTGTGAAAGTCGCTCGGTAGTCTGGTGAGATAATTTCCAGACCTGTCCAAATCAAATCACATAATCAAGCAAAATTATACTGAGCATCCGCGCTTTGATAACTGATAACCACTTACCCAAAGTAAAAGGAACTGCATATAAAGGATTAACCTGCAAACATTATCGTTATATATTCTACCGGTCAATTAGAAGCAAAGATGAAAACGCTTACCGCGAGCATTTGAATCGCCGTAAGAATCAAGAACGTCCAATAATTAGGAGAGAATGCCGCTGCTCCGCCAAAAACAATTTGTATGAACAGAAAAACAAAAAACGTTTTCTTGCGCCCATAGTGGTCGCAAAAGTATCCTCCTACAGGAATTCCAATAAGCATTCCTAAAAGAAACAACAGCAATAAGTAAAACCAGGCTTGTTTTTACATAATTTCAAGAGAATATTCACTTATGTGAAGAATTTTCTGTAGTAGAACTTTAACAGACACACAAATCACATTACCACATAAAACGCGAAAAGATTTGCATATACAAAATCTCCATAATTTAACACTGTTCAGTATAAAGGCAATTTACATAATTTGATAACGATACACAGGAGTATAATATCTAGACGACTAGAACCATACCTAAGCAGCCAACCATGTACGCCACCGTGCTTAAAAAATCCGCTCCACAAACCAAATTCCAATCCGTGACTATGGTCGAGTGGTACGAAGTGCGTTCGAATTCCCATTCCTCACACACTGTAGTGCTAATATTGCCCAACCGAGAAGCATTGTTCAAAAAGTACTCCGCCGCCTCAACCGAAACATGATCGTTCAACAATGCTGAATAATTCACATCGTACATGGAGCAGTACGCACGCTGAGCGTCGGAAGGAGACTTGCTATCCGGAGGCGGAAGCAGCCTTTTCACATCTGACTCCGAGACGTTATTCACCGGCAACACGCAGCCGTAAACATCGGGAGTCTGGATCAGGAAGATCTGTAAAAGTGTTAAAACACATCGGTAAATTATTCCAACTGCAAAATTATCCATTACTGTCGTTATAATCAACTGGCTATCAAGGTTAAAAAAACTTATTAAAGACATCTTAAGTTACATCATATTGTTTGGTAGTTTAATTTTAATTTTTCGTTTTAGCTAGTAATACGTATGTAGTTTCGTGTGTTTTACCAGCAATCTGACAACAGGCTTCGCTAACTGGGTCGTAGCGTTTAAAATAAAGTATACAAAAGCTTTTTTAACAATAACTAAGCAAGTAATATGTTAATTGTTAACTGGAAACTAATAATTATTTGCAAAACTGGTCGAGCCAGGCCAAGAATAAAGCGAATTATGACTAGCCATATAGCATATTCATATGACACCAATAATCAACTTTTTCTGATTGCATTCCACAAAGTCCAGTAAACCTTTTGCCTCCCGCCGCATAGAACGTTTTCGTCACTACAGTACTTGAAATCTTAAACAGTTGAGCGAAAACATTTTGCTATCTCGCCCTCTTTGCAGAAATACACACCAAATTACCACACGTCAAACTTGCACCACTCGCCGAAAACATCTGCACAAGCTCGGAACTCGGAAGCAATTGCATCGACAACAGGAAATTACTAGCGTGACCACAAGTATCTTGGCACAGCCGCATACACATGCTTGTCAGCCAAACCCAAGAAAATCACGCAATCTTATCAGATACACTCGAGTTTCGAATAAATGAATACTTCCTATTATCATCCATTGCGAGTGTAAAACAAATTTATTTCTAAACTGTTAATGGGCAGCAAAACAATCCTGAAATTAGTGAAATATAAAAAGCCAAACTCAAGTCACTCAAATGGCAAAAAACTCTGAATACCACGCTAAGTATGCACATTTCACAGAAAATTCCAATTACTTCCATCGTTACCACTCACCCAAGCAGATGAGGAGGCGAAATTCAGCGTCATAGGCAGTAGGACGCAGAAGATGAGAATCTTCTGATATCTGCCGAAATTCCCAATGCCCTCCAGCAGCTCATCGAACTGCGCCCCGAAATCTACGGCCCCGGGGCGGCTGGCGTTGTCGTCGGCAGCGTCGTGATCGGCCAGCAGCCGCTTCTCCGTCTCGGCCCCGGGACTTCTTCCCTGGCCGTCTGCCTCGAGCATTCCGTCGCCCACATGTAATTCGGCCGTCTCAAGGGAGCGCATGGCGTACAGAACGGACGCATTGGTTAATGCGATGGGAGATTCCCGCAGCTGATCAGCCCAACACGCACGCTGTCGGGCGAACCAAAGTTTTAAATTATCCACACACCACCCGACAACAAGGCACAGCTACAGATGCAGCTGGCGACGGGCTGCCAAAATGTCCCACACAGATGGGTAACTCAATTCCTCCTTCCTTCTCTGCCAGACGGACAAATGGTGGGCAGGTATTTTAGGATTTCTGACGTACGTACACCTCTGGAATGTCAACAAATGTGACCAGAAATAAGACAGACAGTAACCACAGCGTCAGTTCTAATTATAGTGCCCGATAATATTGGACCAATATTAGCACTTCTACAAGACTAAGAAGACTAATGACTAATCCTGAATCTTAAATGCATCAGGATAAGTAAGTACCTATGTGTATCAGAAGAAACTTATTTACTTCAAAACTGAGTTTAGCAAGATCGCGAAGAAGTCACCAGGAAACTTCCAAAACTGAAGAACGGATGAGATCAATGAACTGAAGTGTCTACTTCAAAAGTGGATTGCAGTCCTGATCGAGTCTTGACAATGACGAATGATGTGTACACTGTACAGTACTCGTATCAACCATAAACCAGTAAACCCAAGCAATGCTTAATATTGTTCCAGCCCTGGAAAATCGAAAACGTCCAGGAAACAAGAAACAGGAAAACTTCTTAGCACGAAAAGAAGCAAATGTGCTCAGTGGAATGCAGCAAGTCAAAATCGAGGGTAAACGAAAATGCAACCAACAACAACTCGAACAAAAAATCGCACGAGGTTTGAGATTGAATTAAGCTGACAGGTTCAACGTGATCCAGTGAGTCACCCAGACTCGTGCTGCTTTAAACTGTACTCGTACGTACAGTAGGAGTCGGTATGGCCATTTTCAAAGTTTCTTACATTAATCGCTAAGTACTATCTATAACTTTCTCCACCAAAACTTTTACAGTAACTAACAAAACAATCACTTATTAAGCATCAATCGAGAGGGGTGGCCTAATCACAGATGAAATTTGATCTAAATTTGCTCCCATCACCCCATCGGCGCTGTCCCCATGATCGATGCCGCATTTCCTCGTTGGATTTCAATGCTGATCCGCTGGCGAAGATATTGAGTGGCTCGTTTTTCGCCGGTTTCCAAATTTAAAGTAAAAAAAACCGAAAACTTGTGCAGTATTAAACCAGTAAGTATTTAAAATTTTACAAATTTGGAAGTACCGAAAATATTTACAGATGGTACATTTTCGTAAAGCATAGCATGGTCTGATAATTGATATGTAATAATATATTTGTGACATATAGCAAGTTATTGCTACTTACTATTTCATAAAAATTAATTATAATAATTTTATATCTAAGCAATCGTGCGGTACGGGTGTGTATACGTATCTGGCAGTTAATTTACTACGAATTACTTTATTTGATATTTTAGTACATTTCGTTGTTCTACCAGGTCACATTGAGATAATATGACTGCTTGCTGGTCTGCAGTTGTTGTTATTTTAACAGTACAGTACTCAAGTAAGTACTGTACAATACAACTAGTCAGTGGGTGGTCACACATTAATTTTGTCACTTGAAGTGATCACCAAAACTCAATACAAAGGTGGAAACATTTTTAATGCGACGTAAATATTGTCGATGAAACATGATCAAACAATAAGATACTCAAAACATACAATGAGAAAAATAACTCACACTTACGTTAGGTAACCAAACAGGCAATGATTTACAAATAATAAAACATTCAAATTAAAAACAAAACAGAGTTGTTTTAGCAGTCCACAAAATAAATTAAAAGTACCGGTAAACTGCAGTCCTTAAGTTACCCAAGCAATTTAGTCTCTGTCCTCGGTAGAGAAAAACGCAGCATCCAACATGACATCGTCCAGAATCAAGGGACTTGTCCGCTCTTCACCTGGACTGCGAGCCAAAATCGACTGGATGCTCGGCTCCGTTGGAACGTCCATATGCGCTGTGTCCAGTTTCGACAGCGTTAATGGCGCTGGCACATGGGGACGTTCCAAGATTTCCGGGCTCCCATCCAGAGGAATATCCGCTCGCCGCGATGTCGAAGCGTTACTGCCGGAAGGAATTTTATCTTCCTCACTGTCGCTGGATGAATCTCCGCTGGAGTACGGCACTAGCAGCCTCTTCGTTTTATCGAGTGCAGCAATTTCCGTGGTATGCACTTGTTGGCGCATGACACTTTCCAGTTTCTTTGTGGCATCTTCAACTGTCATGGAATCATAAATTATAGAAGCACTAATATCCAACGGCTTTGTCGCCGCTGTCAGTGGACCTGAAAGAAGTCAAAAATCAACCTGCAAATTCTGCCAAATTTTTCTAGTTACAAACAGTGGTCAAATTTTTGTTTTTTGTTGCAAATTTAACCTCGAATGAATATTATACGAACTGTTTTTTCCAACTCCATCTAAAAATTAGGCAGTCGGTACCTGGATTAAGCGGTTCCGAGATTCCAGCATCTCTGTCTCTCGTCCCATCAGGTTGACTGGCAAATACCGAAGGTGACGATAAACTGGCATCTGGCAAACTCGCATCATGAGTCCCATCAGAGGATTCCACTCTACTCTTTAATTTATCCAGAACTGCCGAGAGTGATTTAGTCCGCACCTTTCCAGCTTGGGTTGCAATCGCTGGATTCTCACCCAAAATATTAGCTCGCTTGTCGGCCTCATCAGGAGCCGGTTCCTCCATAACGATAACACTTAGCGGTCTTTCCTTTTCCGGCAATTTCGGTGGCGGAATGCCAAACGGGAAATATGACGGTGGAGGCATGAACCGGTGCATCAGGGAAGGGCCAATCAATTTGCTTTCCTCCCTTTCCTCCACTATGGGCAAGGGCTCCATATCAGGAGTCGGAAGAAGAGGCGGTCGTGGCGTAGGAGCGGGCTGATTTAACAGCAGAGCAGCAATCGTACTTCCTTCGCCGCCGCTGGTGGTGACGACAGGAGGCGGCATCATGGTCATTGTGGATACCGGAAGAGAGTCTGCTTTCACTGGTGGCGCAACAGCAGCAGCAGTTTTCTTAGGAATACGCGGCAACGTACTGAGGGAGGGTGTTTTCGGAATGCTAAACAGCGGAGCAGCGGCTGGAACAGGAGGTGGCAATGGTGATTTGGAAGATTTACCCGGTGAATTTTTCTCTCTGGATTTAGGAGCGCCGGCCATGCCCGACTTTTTGGATGGCGGTTCGCTGTAGTATGAGGGTTGCTTTGGAGACGCGGAAAGAGGAGATTTAGCAGCCGCCGGCGCTGGTGATTTTGGTGGCGCTGGAGATTTGGGAACGCCGAACGATACCGGAGCAGCTAATGAGGACTTGGTGCCAGCCGGTGACGCTGCTGAATTGGGAGCTTTTGGAAAACTACCGGGCGCCCCAAACGGTACGCCGGATTTCTGTTGTACAAGTGAAAACACAGTTGGTGAGGAAATCTTAGCAGAAAAAGAGGAAGTCACCGGTATAGTCGGAGCCGTGTACTTGGCAGCCACGGAGCTCGGAACATGGTATTTTGCCGTGGTTTTCGGCGGGGACGTCGTGAAACCTCCACCTTTCTTTAAAAGAGTTTCCAATTCCGTATCCTTTTTGGTCTTTTTTGGTTCGGCATAGCGTACTTCCGGCGGCGACGGTTCGGCAAGTTTAGACCGCTTTTTCTCCTTCTTGGATTCTCGATCCTTACTTAGTATTAATGATTGCAAAATAGGAGCGTCCGATGAATGCGACGGCTTATTAACTGGTAATTTAATCGTTATCGTGGGAGAACCATGAGGCGAATCTTCGGAGACATTTCGAATCTTTATGACACCCGGCTCCTGGCGAATGACCTCTGTAGTCTCCATGGAATCGCCTTTCCCACTGGAGAAAACGAATGGCGAGTTATACAGGGGCGACTCTAACGACAGTTTACGCTTTTTCTTAGTAGGGGGTGCTGGCTCCATTAGCAGGTCATCGTCGTATTGTCGATTCGCTCGCGATTTTTTATTTTTTTCATACAACTGCTTCATCTTCATAGAATGAATGTCCGCATCCATCGGCAAATCCTTAGCCCGGTGCTTAGGCCCCGATGATAATAGCTGATCAAATGTCGAACGAGGCTTCGGCAATTTCATGGACAAAGGTGGATTGGGCGACGGCGGTGTCAACGTCGGAAGAAGCGGGCTTACAGTTTTTTCTGGGAAAAATTCCACTTCCGGTATCACCGGTGGAGTGGTGACAACCGGCAATGATTCCACCGGGGCAACTGGAGAATTTTCCAGTGACGACGCATGCTCAGCGGCCATTTCAACGACACTCTCGTCTAAAAGACGAGGCACGACCGGGACATAGTTTCTAACGAAATGCTCCATCATAGCACGAAACATCACGGGAATCGAAAAACTTCTGAAATTGCAAGCGATATACTGCACAAAAAATCGGGCAAACTCTTTACCTAGAAATTTTTCTTGCTCCAGATTTTTTTATAAGCGTTCTACAGCATAACCGACCGTACCGTTTCAACCACGAAGACATCAAAATATTTGGACACAAGGCCATAGCAATATCGCTGAAAGAGCATGTCGGAGATGTTGGGTCCACCAAACTGATGAAGACTGTCAACACAACCACTCATAAAATCGCTGAACGTATACGAGTAATTTTACTCAGGATCAATCACGCAAACTTAACACGCAGACTAACCTTGGCAGACAGAAGTGTTGTCTATCGGATGAAGGAAACGAACCTGAATTCCGCTATCCGAAAGGATAAGCATGTGAAATTCAAACGGAGCCACAATGCCTGCCAATCAAAATCATATGGTATTCCCGTAAGTAGAACAAAAATTTCACTGGCTAAACCTTTTTGATTTGCATGGCGTATACAAGTAGAGATCAGTTTATTAAGCGCTGCCTGCCGACGAAGAAGACGTATGCATCCTTCCACTTGCGTCGGGTGCGTAAAAGGAATTTCTTGAACAGCTTCTGCCAGAACATCCGCCGAAGACAGGACATATTTGTGATGATGATCGGCAACAATCTACGTGAAATTCAATTGTGGAAAATGTTAAGGTAATGCCCAAGCATCTCTTACAGCATAATAACTGTGAGATTCGCTGAAGTTGTCACGGAGAATAGCTTTTTCCAATACTTCCAACAGCAAGGCAGGCCGACTGTCACTTTTAACGGGAACCTCCAGCCCTAAAAATAGCATGAGTAAGTCACTGCATTAATGCTTCTTAAGCTTTAATTGTTGTACATACATACAGGTCTTTCGCGAGTTATTACTTCAAGAAACATACCTTAAAATAAAGGCAACAAAACTAACCAGTTAGCTTTCTCACCTGTTTCTTGCGCAAGCTCTTCCTTAATACTTCTGCATATATACATTGGCTTGTCCAATTCCAGTGTGAAATGCGCATTTATCTTTGCCGTGGTTTCTCGACCACTTTCATTTGTGTAATCAAAAAGCAAGACTCCATCGGCTGACTGTAGAAACTGTCGCGCCAACAGACAATTCGGTAAAACATGCACAGAGGGTGATTCCTTAATATTGATAGATGCCCACAGTCCAATGCGCCTTCCGGAAATCACTAGCAAATGTTAACAGTATGGCAAAGACACTCTCAGCAGACGTCAACCGTATTGACCTCTACCTACCACAAAACGATGACTCGAGCATTTTATTGTTATGGTCCAAAAAATCCGATGACGTGATAAAAAAGCACAAACTCATAGGTATTCCTGAAAAACAAAAGAAAACCTGTAACAACACTAAGCCAAGACATTGAAGATCCGGGTGATCTAAACGTTACCGTCTCTTCGTGGTGAAAGAAGGCCCCACTGCCCCTTAAGTATCTGAGGCAAACAGTCCAAATTCAACCTAATTGTACGTTTCAAGATTCAACAATTGCAAGCAGCAGCAAAGTAGTATGAAAAACCAGAACTCACTTTACAAACTGCTGATAAGCACTTGTCAAATCCGTTTCCAGCTTCGATAAACAACTGAAGAATTTCGACCGCTGTGACCTGGAAAGATGCAAATGCACGAATAATTCGTTAAAATGATTTCATAACTACAGCGGACATTCCGAAACACTTCGCAACTTTTCTTCATAACTGTCGTTGTTATGTGTGAAAAGCAGCAACACTGCATATCTTCAAACCAGTCACCAGATTAAATGCGCACCAGCAAAAAGGAACAAAAGTACAAAACGTTCATGCAAACGAATCGATTTCAATCACGCAAAAAACGAACAAATATCGAATTCAAAGCCAATACTTACTTATCCTGAACTGAACCATACATCCTCAAAAATCCAGTCATATGCTTATCCAATTCCGACAAACTTTTCGACCTAAGAACCCGGCAAAGTTGTATTATGATAATCATAACTGAGAAAAGAAATACTAGTTACCTCAGCGCCCTGGCAATATGTGGACAGGGCTGAAAAAGTCAAGCCAGTATAAACACCATAACATTGTAATGCAAGTGAAGTAGCGGAAATATCAAGTTTGAAATTTACTTCTAAATGGCCGCCGCCGAACTGATGGAACACCCACACGTCGCCGATAATGCCATGAAGAATATGAACGTCCACTCGGAAGTAGTCTCCATGCACATGATAAACGATCCGCGTGCAATTTTCGCTGACTTCTCGGTTCCATCGCAGGCTAAAAGTAAATATTTTCTTGTTCGATGTATAAATCCATTCTGCCTCTGACAACGCATCAAGCTCAATAAGAAATATTTATCCCACCTTTTGGTAGCACAGTAATTTTCCAGTACCGTCTCATAATTCTCCCTTGGAGCTAAAAGCAGTGACATTAATATAACAAATTAGACGTGAACACGCGGCATTTTTACTGTCACTGTGCACAGTCAAGCACTCACGAATCCTAGCTGATGTATTTCTAGGACGAACATCCTGAAAAACCTTCAACGAATTCTTGAAGGCTTGCAGGATATGCGGAACGTCAGCCGGGGATGCCATGGTAGCTCACCACCTGCAAATAAAAACTTAATATTTACTGACATTAGAATGAGGCAACGCAGATGTCTTTTTTATCGTAAGCGCTAAGCAGTTTACACACAGTCATCCACATCGACAAAATGTAAATGCAGTCATGTAGTTCGCATTACAAAGGCGGGAATAAACAGCAACAGCCATGAGCTATCAACTGACTGTAAATGAAATATAAAACTCCACTGACAGCAAGTGCCTTTAATCTGTTTCAGCCAATGCACCACCTAGTACAGTCAATGAAAACTAAATTCTACGAAGTACAAACACCAAAAGTTTCTTATTACTGTATTACAAAATCACATGCATAGACCGATAAATGCATAACTGCAAAGCCGTGCTATGCAGAAAAATCTATAAACATTTTCAAAGGGAAATGCAATTAAAATCCCAATTTTTGCAGCCCAGTATCAATACTTTTTACCGCTTCTGCTATCCACTCTTTCACTTGACCACTTTCTTTGTCGGCAACATCCGTAAGATACCAAGGAGCAACGCTGTCCTTTAATGCATTCAGCGCTCTGCGCTGTTCTATGTAGGGAAGGTTTTCAGGAGCAACCAGGCCCGACTTGCCAAGAACGCTGAAGAAAACATTCCGAAGCTTTTCGTTTACTGCTTGGTCGTCCATCGTCTCTTCCATTTTCAAAAAATCACAATTGCCAAACTCCTCCTCCGGTAAATGCGGCCCGCACCACTCCCAGTCCAAGATCCCGTTGATGACGATTGAATTATTGGTCTCGTTTGGAGCAGATACAATGACATTAGCCATGGTAAAATCTCCATGAAAGAACAGGAAATCATGTGACGAAGTGTCCGCAACAACAAATTCGGAGTTTGCTGTAGCCTTTAAAAAATTCTCCAGTCTGGGAAGAAATTGTTGTTGACTTGTGAAAATACCCTGCACGTCAGCCTTCACCGTTTGAATGTTTTTCGATAGAGTTTGCACATAATAATCCACAAACGAGCAAAACGGTCCAATACCGGATTCGTGAAGCGGCACAATATGACAAGATGCAAGCACATCACTCGGATCGTCAATCTGAAAATTCCCAATACAATTGCCTTTTCCGTGCAGAAAATTTTTTATCGAAGGCGACGTTTTCATTTGCACGATGACGTCCGCCAACTGTCGAACAACATCCTCCTTTTGGGCCGATGACAATAATAACCACATGGAATCCAGCGGCACACCGTCCACTTTGCTCATGATGATGTACTCCGCGCCGACTTCTGTCTTGTCGGAATTCCAAGCCAGAACATCTGGCACGGGAATGTGCGTGAAGGTTTTAGCTAAAATTAAGCCTACCACCTCCGTATCGGTTTTGGTGCGCTGCCAGTAACGCCCACACACTTTGAGAATGTACTCTTTACCATTATCAGCGGAGATGGAGAAGACGCGATTGTTGTAGCCTCGTCGGATGTATTGGATGTGCTTAACGCTCACATGGAGATGTCGGGCAAAAAGATCGCATATCTGCTCCAGTGAGATGGTGATGCCCTGTTTAGGTCCATTGCGTTGCAGAGCGTCTTCTTCAAACTGATCGTCAAAGTCCGCGCAGGGATTTCGTATATTCATCTCCGTCTTCAGAGCGTCACAATACAGTTTCGAGACTACTCGCAACCTCCCAGTTATGGAACAACCCACAGCGATGTCAGAATTTTTCCACAAACTTGAACAAGGTTAGCGCTACAACACTATCAGCCTATCGCACGCAAACAAATAGGATTTCAAAAAAGATAACTCACATTTAACACATCAACACGGACGACACTGCAGCAATTTACCGTACTCTGTACTTGTAGTATCACGAAGCAAAAAGGACGGGCTATTAAACCACTAACCCGTGGTGCACCGCAGCCGTAGCAGCGCGTATTTAATTATTGCACTTACAGACGACTAGAGCTGGTACGTTTCTGCAAGGTTTTTACGGTAAATTTACCAAATAAAGCCCTTAGAACAATAAATACCCTACTATTAGTGAAAAAACTAGAAAGGAACATAAATGAAATAAATGCTTACCCAAGTTGCCCAACCCAAGAGCAGTGAAAATACTTCCAGTACGGGTAGAGCTCCTCGATAAGTATTCAGGTCCCAATCCTCTCCAGATTCATAACTCAGTTTGACGTGCTATTCAACCACATTACCGCTTTATCAATAGATTTCGGCGCAGAGATTCCAGTGAACACGAAAAATTAACATACAGAAGGAGAACTAAAAGCTTTTGTTTTGTTTCTGCTCATTGCAGAAACTGGAGATAAAAATAATAATAATTAAACTCATACAGTACTGGACTGTGTGCTACAAGGCTACAAGCTACTCGTGAAACAATATTCAGCCTATTCCGCAGTACAGGCAGCTGTCTCCTGATGGCCGGATGAGGATTTATTCGTAAGTACAAGTAATAATCGTAAGTACACAATTCTGCAATGCAATAAAATTGCAAGAAAGTAGAAACCAAAATTATTACTGTACTCTTGTTATTCGTGAATCTACTAATTACATAGTAGTAGTTATTACATAGTTATTCGCGAATCTACTAATTACATAAAGTCAAACTAGAGTAGTATAGATACAACGTATAAGAGTAACAAAGAACAACAGATGCATGACAAGCGCGTTTACATCTAAAGCATTCGTGCAAATGTGAGAAAAGAAATATGAACGTCCAGAAAACCTAGTGAAAACAATTCAGTATTTATTTCGCCTATCAGGACTACGCTTTCTGTTGTCCCGTCCGTCTCGACGATATCTGTCCCTGGAATGCGACCTGGAACGTCGCCGTTCGTGACCCTGTCGGTCGCGTCCGCGTCCGGGCGACTCGCGCCGGCGTGGTAGTGGCGATCGACTTCGGCTGCGCCGCCGAACGGTTACTGTTGGTTTTTTCCGGCGTTTGTCGTCTTCACTAGAACTGGAAGAAGAGCTGGACGAACTGGAAGAGGAGGACGATGAGCGAGCGCGTAACGGCAGGGGTCCGACGATGGGAGGCTTTTTGGGAATGGGCGGCCGCTCCAGATCATCGAAGCGCTGCTCCCGCTGTGCCTGCAGCCCGTGCAGCTCATCGTCCAGAGCGCTGGCCCGCGGTTCTATTAAGTTGTTCTCTTCCAACACGATGCGCTTCTGCATTACGGGAAGGATTACGTCGCAATAGCGCTCCATGTGCAAGAGATTATCAATTAGTTCGTCCATATGTACAACCTCGAACTTCCCCATTTTGTCCTACAAAATAATAGGGAAAACTTAATTCTTACAAAGATAACAAAAATAAGAGACCGACATCGTACAACTGATTATTAGATATATACTTACCATGTATAACAGTTTTCTGTAGTCTTTGTAAATCGGTTCCAGTTCTTCGTAGACTTCCTTCGAAACTCCCACAAGTCTCCAGTAAAATACTCCCAGGGCGCGCACATACTTGAATTCCTCATTCTGTATGAATTCATGGATGATTTCCTTTTCGGGCTGGATTTGCAGCAGTTTTAGGACCAGGCAAAGGAACGGTGTTGGCTTGGCGTTTCCCGAATACATACCACCGATGTATTGCAGCGCCATAGCCTTGTCCACAATTAACTCCGCAGTTAAGGCAAAGCATTCCTCCTTCCAGTAAACTGAATCATAGATTCGCGTACGGATAATGTGATCGATCAGTTTCTGCGGATCAGTTCCACGAATTGACACCGCTTCTTTGGCTGTCTTGTTTGCCATGGCCAGCTATCACCTCCTAAAGCGAGGGCTAGTACAAAAATGCGTGGACACTCGTCATGCAAAGCCTACTAACTCGCATCGGTGGACGAGGGAACCCACTGCTAGCCACCAGGACCAGATGATCGTCTGCGACGAGTCGACGGCAGCTCCGAAAACACTGAGTGAGGCTCATGTGAGTCCCCTCAACCACCATAGATAGGAAGTCGAAACAGAATAACCGGTCCACCCCACCGTGCGTTCTCTCGGCTTACCAGGTTAGATTACAAACTCTGAGAAACTGTTTAATCTTCTAAAAATAAGTTGAATCAAAAGATCCCGAAAAAATTCTAAAAATTTTTTCTAATTTTTTCTATGGTACTGCCAGAGTGCCAGTAGGCATCGTAGACTGCCAGTGCCTGTTAGTGTTGGCTGTTAGACTGTTAGTTAACATAGGAAACACCTCAGGGCGGTATGCCTTTGAGACTGCTTAACAATCAGAACAAAGCTACGGTATCACCGTATCAGTACTGTACTTTTAATAAGTTCTACGGAAGATTCCTGTTTGGATGCAATAATAAAACACGTTTCAGTCTGGTACAAGCCCGCCATAAAGGGAACGGGAAGGGGTGCACCGGCACTCGTCCCTTTCGAGAATTTTCGACCGGCGAAGATTCTGAACGGTCGCAGGCAGTAGACAACTAACTTGTCTTGGTAGCTTTTCGGAAAATTTTAAGTGATACTGGATAAAAATATGCCCAAATTCCCAGATGTTACTAGAAACACACAGAAGCCGTTTTGCTGACACCATGAATTTTTGCCATCACAATTCACAAGCATCTCCAACCATAACAATCAATCAGCTCATAAATCAATCATTCAACCAAAAGTAAATACGTGCTAACAAACAACAACAAAAGTATCAAAACTAAAGCTCTGTACAATTTTCGAGATCATCATTACCAAATTTGGAGCATTTGACAAGGCCAAGGAGATATCAACAAATACAGATTCGTCTCAAATACTGCAACAAATGATGAAATCAACTAAAGGTGCTACTGTCCTGGAGGTAGGAGCCAGTTTAGCCAAAATCACAATCATTTCAGTCACCCAACTGAGCCATCCTGACGGTCGTTCGGCGCTTGTGGATCGTCCAAGAGCAGACTTTTGCGTGCGATTTCGACCTGCTGTTTCAACTGTTTGTTATGGTTGATGTTGGTTTCCAAATCACTGATGCTTACTATGAAATGACCAAGTATCTTCGAAAGCTATACCAGGGCAACATTAAAAGCCGCAAAGACACTCACGCTCCGGGCACTGCTCCAGAAACTTCCGAACATCGTCCGCCGAATCTGGATTGGCCATTATACTTTCAAACGTAACCGAGTCCTCAACAACACATTCAGCGGTTGTTTCCTGAAGAGACACAAGGGCGACAGCGACATTATCCACAAATACCATTTCCGACGCGACAACACGCACTTCCCCGCTGGAAGCAGGGCTGGACGATGGACGAGTCGGAACAGCAACTTCTTCCAAGAAAACACTATCATCCATGTCTGTAAATATTTCCATCGTCGTACGCTAACAAAACTATTTCCATGCGTGGGAAATGCAATACGAACCTGATTTACCGGCCGTGCTGCATTCACCAGAATCCATGGAGGATATTTCAGGTCCACCAGTACCATTGACCGAACTCTCTCGGGAAACGGCTCTTTTCAGCTGCCTAGAGTGGGAAGCCAATTTGCCTCTTGCTCGCACGAACTTTGTATGAGGTGCCGAGCTAGCTGTGGATGAACATGGCTCCTCAACCTTCATCTCCCCAGAAATTTTAGGGGACGGGAAACTGACCAATCGTTCCTCATTCGGATCCGCCACTTTCTCTTTGACAGTACAATCCTCAGTCTTTTCCATCGGTGAATCCGAATCCATACGCGCTTTTTTAACGGTATCATCGTGATCGTCTTCTTCGTCGCTACTATCCGATGAGATAAACCCAATGACTTTCTCAACGTCCTCTCGCGATAACCGCCGACTGTACAGAGAAGGATCAACAGATGGTGGCCGAGTCGTTTGTGAGCGATTTGCCGGATCCATTTTAACGCTTTCCGCTGGAACACGTAACAAAACTATTCATCATCATAATTATATTGTTCATCGGCCCCTTGCCACCAAGCATCGCTGACTTACCACCTGAGGTCACAATATCGGTTTTTTGATAATCTGCACTGGATTCCCCAACACTTGCGATCACCTCCTGAGTGGATACGGAAATTCCGGCCTGTGTTGAAATCGTGTCTTTTGGCACATGAACCACCGAACAGACACCATCCTACAAAGTCCGATTTAGTTAATTTTTGCACTCACAGATTGAGATCATCATTATCCAAGACAGCATACCGCAGAAGACGCGCCAAACGGCTGGGAAGCAGAAGGACTGCTTTTCACAGCTGGAACTGATGAACTCTGAAACTCGCTGCTTGGCAGTGGCGCGATTTGTGCCTTAATGTCTACACATGCAAATAAAAAATTATGAGAGCACACACACACAGCATCTTTACTACTCGTACTTAAAAAAGCAACGCTTTTCCTAATGAAGAAGTAATCGAATCACATTATCGGATTATCCAAAGTTTCGCAACCAAACAGAGTTTCAAAATATTTCTTGTTTTAAATTCAATACATAAAATAAATTTCTTCCAATCCAAAGCCCATACATGATACACTCTAATATACTGTTAGTCATTAGTGCTCCATAAAGTCAAATCATTTTACTTTATTTGTACAGAGAAAGATTCAAGAAGACGGATTTAAATAAAAAATATTTACCTCGACAAAGCGGACAAAAATGCGGAGGAGCCAGGTTTATTTCTTGCACTGTATGGAGATTAATACAGCGCGCATGCACCCAGCCACTTCTAGCGTATGACCCAGGTTTACCTTTACAGAGAGGTCCTTCACATAATCTGTAAAAAAATTCTGTCAAAACAACTGTAAGCAACTTTACGAAAAGCTTTACGCGCATACGAAGACTGTCTTACTGAATCGTCCATCTGCCTACTTACGACTGCACTCTTTGGGATACGATTTTGAATTAAGTACAGTACGCCATTACACTGAGTACACTGTAAACTAGACAACAGAAGTCAGAATGAATGGAACGCAGCAACGTACACCATCAGGTCCGACGTTCCAGATGAATTCCGAGTTGGATTCTGGCCACATACTGAACAAGTATTTACGTTTGGGACGTTTTTGTTCCAGCTACCGCGTTTATGTCGAACATCGGGCTTCTGACTTTGAGACATGAGGCTTCAGCAGCATTTTAAGAAAGCAATGCAAAAGCGTCGACAGTCGACGGTTCCATTTTGGTAAACACAATTCTTATTATCCAACATCCATTCCTATCCTGATGGCCATCAACAGGTACGGTATTTTAACGATTGACGCGGATCCAGTAGACAAAATAAAACTTATCTTCACTCCAATCTGCCGCTATTTTCACTATTTTCCAGTACCAGAAAGCCCAGCTGCAGAATATGAAAAATTCAGTCCCTGAATTTTAAAGTTTGAAGTCACAAACAATAGAGAAGTTTCTACAGTGTATTGTACACGGACAAGCTGACACAGCTGACAGGTAGGTCCAGAACAGGGAAGTCGTGCATATCGGTATGGCTTCCAAACTACATACCAGAATTTGCTTTTAAAGATTATTAATTTTTATCTTAAACTTAAACTTATTTTAACCTAAATAGTTAAAACGTGTTTCTACGTCTTTGTTAGTAAAAATGGCACCATCCACTATTTTTTGAACATGGAAGTTTAGCTGTTGCGGGCCGCGGCTTGCGGAGATAGTGCAGGCTGAATAAAAATACCTTAACGAAAAATGAATAAAAATATTTTAAAATACGAGTACAGGTAGTCAGGTACCTTAACTATTGTAAGAATACAGAATACAATAGAATAGTTAGCGTACATACTTACTCGTGTGCATTTCATGTACAGTACAACATAGTCAACAATTCAACATACAGTTACATACTCTACTACACATAGTCTAGAATAATTTTGGATGCGTGTTTGTTACATAAACAAAAAGTGAAATATTTGCGCAGAACACATAAATCTTTTCCCACCAACTTATTTTCTAATCTATTTCAGAATGTGTATTCAGCCCGCGCATTTCTGGCATCCCACATCATAAATCACGCATCCCGTGTGCGTGCTGGCGTTATTTATTACAGTAAAACAAGCAGATCCAAGGTTGTCAAATATCTGTACACTTTAAGTATCCGTAATACGGCTAAAACCTTACACACTACGAAACCGTGTTGCAGTTTACCATAATCGTCATACGCTTACTATATATGTATTGTATAAAATGTGTATCCACAGTCTTTAACGTTTGTAATACCGATAAAATATAGATATATAGATATTGCATACGAGTATACCTAAAAATTAAAAAAAAACACTGTATAACAAATGAAATTACCCTATCAGGTTTTTCATGTTTCGCCTTTTGATTTTGGCTGGCGCGAAACTCTTTGTTGGCAGCACTCCAAAAGACCTAGACGACACTGAATAATCGTCAGCCTAAGGGCACGATGATTTTCGGTACGATGTTGGGAATTCAGCACGTGGTATACTTGGTACGCACCAGAACTTTAGTTATTTAATAGTATACTAATCCAGTCGTTAATAATTATAGTATACACGTGTTTTGTCGACATGATCATGGCAAGTACAAGTACCGTACAGACGATGCGTTACACTAATGCGTGTTTCTCTTCCGCTGTGTACTTCCCACGGCGCACTACAGTGCGTCTACTGGCGGGGTTTCCTCTAGGATAAACTGTTTAAACACGGGATAACTAACCATAAGCGCTGTACTCACAATATGAATCACAAGCAGTATAAATAGTGAACTTGGCACATTTCGTTGTCTTAATCTGCCGACTACAGCTGTCCCGAGTCAGCTTAATCGACACTTTTTTGAGTGCAAGGTTAATGCTTAGAAATTACCGGAGCGACTTTACAACATCGCCATTATGTTTCGGCTTGACTATGCATCGTTGTTTTCATACTTTACATCCAAAAGCTACTTTTATTAACTCAAGCTTAACTCATATTCATAACTCTTAATCCGAATCCTTATAGTTATTAATGGTCGAATTTGTGGTCTTCTAAAATCGCATTTATTATTTGCCGCTACGTTTATAAGAAATATGGACCAGCCTTCGTTATATTTATTGTTTTCATATGGCTGCATATTTTGGGTTTCCTTCTCATCCGCTCAGCTGGATTATCACTGCTCGATCATTGAATCCAGCTGCGAAGAAGAGCAGCTCCTGGACAATCTTACGGACCGTGCCATGAATGGTCGGCGTTGCTTCTGTGACGAGAAATGTGCTTTGTTTGGGGATTGTTGTGATACACCCTTGCAGCCGATTGTAACCGTCGTCAACACCACTCCGGCTACATGCATTAGCGTACCGTTCTCCACCAATAGCCATGTAGGAATGTACGTGCGTGACCTTTGTTCCGATGGAACGCAGTGTGCAGCTAGCGACACTGACCTTTTCACGGTTATCCCGGCATTAAGCAAACGCAGTCGGCTGGCATATCGCAATATCTTGTGTGCTTTGTGTAACGATGAAAACATGAAGGATTTGCAGTTTGGTCAAATTGACCTAAGGTGCAGTAAAGATTTGAGCGGACTGAACATAACTGTAACCAATCCTCTGCCATTTTTTGCTCCGGATTATCCCGATCCTCTCGTGCGAAAGAGCTGCCGGTTGACCTACAGCTTTTCGTCGAAGGCGAATATTACAAAATGTGTGCCGTCGGTCGATGCATGTCCAGATGGGACAAACGCGACTGCCGCAGCCCAGTGTCGGTCGTATATGCGGACCGTGACTTACAATGAAACTGTCTACAAAAACCCAACTTGTGCTGCTTGTAATGGCGTGGACATCAAAACACTACAATTCAATAACTGCATGTCCCCGCTATTACTTGACGTTGAGATTGATATTCCTCCGATTACGGTCAACGGCACCGATCTCATCGCCACGGATGTCTTCAAAATACCAACACTGGGCTATTCCATGACGATGCTGCTGGATCTGAATTTGGACGATGGGAATGTGGTGGGCGCCAAACGGAAGTGTGCGGAAGGATGGGTATTTGATCCTTGGCAAGAGCGTTGCCGTAAGATCTTCTGTCCTAATCAGCAAGTCTATGAAGATGGATTGTGCAAATTCAAGACCACAGCGCCGTCAACGTCCACTGACGGGAATCCTGGCACAGTATTTCCGTCTTCGAATCAACCGATCACACTTCCCAGCGACAAGAATAATAAGTTTCCCGCGGATGCCGTTTATTGTCCACGGATCGAGTTCCTTCCCAACGAGTATCACGTTATCGGGAACACTCTCTATGTAAATTCATCAGGACACTCCTACAATTTGACGGATGTAATTTTCAACAACTCCGTTGTCGCCGTTTGCATTTCTGATGAGTAAGTGATTTACTATATAGGGTTATCGGTATATTCAATATCGGCAATCACTTTTTCATAAGCGAATCATAATGTATGATAAACAAAAGCAAAACTGCATATGCACAACATTTTTTTTGTGTCTCGGTTGATATCAGTTTTGTAATTACATACAGTAGTAGGTAGTACTCCTTACAATTAGGCTGGTATTATTACCCATTAGCTGCCTATATAGATTAGATCTGTAGAAGATTATACTTTATGAAATTCCGAATCCAGGTGAAACCACCTGCGGACTTGTTTTGTAGTCTTGTGAATGTGCGGAAATGGTTAACAAAGGATTTATAAAGATAATTTTAATAAACGGAAGACATACAGTAATGCGCATGCATTGCGCATTTCTTATTGCGCTTTGTAATTGTGTACTAATATTTTCACTTTTATGCTGCGTGCGCATTTTGCACACTAAAAATTAATATCTGTGTACTATTAAAACCGCATAGCGAGTCGAGTGCTCAGATAGTTCTATTATGAATATTAACAGTACAAAATATTATATTAACTGTACATTCCTAAAATTAAAGGGTTTGTTTGTTTTATAGGTATGACGCGTACGTCGCTGCGTTCTCAAATTCGGAGATTATCCTTTCTATTGTCTGTTTTGCCTTGTCGTTATTTTGTTTGATTCTCCATTTTGCAATGTACATTTTGGCCGGAAAAACCAAACTAGTCCCGGACTTAAACATGTTGAGTATAAGCGCCACAATATTTACCGTGCATTTACTGCTATTGTTGGCGCCATTAGTGCAGTATGCTCTTTCCTTGAATTCCGTTCCTTGCACGGTTATCGGCGTAGTTCTGCATTACATGGCACTGGCGTCCTTTTCCTGGTCAACGGTGATTGCCTTCGACATTACAAAGACGGTGTTGTCACTGGAGAATCCTTCCATTAACTCAACAACGTATGCCAATTACATCCGCTACAGCCTGTTTGCTTGGCTGGTGCCCTTAATATCCCTGATTCCTGCCATTGTGCTGGATCAAGTCCTGCCGGAAAGTGATTACAGTCCTATTTACGGCCGGAATATTTGTTGGATTAACCGTCGAAAGAGTTTGTGGATATTCTTCGGCGCACCCGTTGTACTCATCGTGTTCTGCAATGTGATTTTTTACGGCACAACTAGCACGGCGTTGTGGAAGAATCACAAAAACAAAACCTTACTAACCAATCTGGGGCCAAAATCTTCTACTGCCTCCAGCAAAAAAACTCAGTTCACACTGTACCTGAAATTGGCAATGATTATGAGTATTGCCTGGATAACTGGTTTCTTTGCGGTCGCCGTGTCGCCATTGCGCTACGTGAGCATCATTATGAATGGCCTGCAAGGGATGTACATATTTTTAGCGTTTTCCTGTAAAAAAAGCATGATTCAGCTGATCGTTAATCGCCGCAAGAGGATCGGCACATATATACTGCGAATCAACAGTTTGAAACCTACTCTGTCCGGAAAATCTACCGCGTCGACTGGATTTTCGCATGATAAATCGCCGGTCACAAAATCCCTTTCGGGAGTCACTGTCACAACGAAGCTATCTTCTTCCTCGCAGAAAACCAATAAGCGTCTATAAAGATATTAGCTTTCTGGTGTTTAATGTTTCTAAACGCGGATCTCACTTTCAAGCTGCACGTGACGAAAATCAGTTGTTATTAGTGTCTTGTTCCTTCTAAATCCTGTGATTATTTCGAACCGTACATAATTGAACATAACTATCTCCGCACGATAATTAAAGGTCACTTTGTAACTTTTATGTATATAGTCGTTACTGGTTAGTGGTGCTTGGCTCGCTGGTCAGGATCCATTAATTATTTCATTGGATGTCTCAGTACCTACATCAGCACTGTTGCTTACGTTGATGAACATAATACGAGTACTATCGAAAACGATTCACGCAATAACAATAAACAATTGCAACCGTTAATTCAGTATGTTCTTATGGATTGTGTAAAACTATCTATTCATGTAAAAGTGTAAACTATTGTGTTGCAAAACAGTATACGATACACAAATCTGATTGTTTTTGGGGCGATGCGCGCCTATATACACGGATCTCTTTAAAGTACTGAGTAAAATTATTTGATATTCTCGCATAGTACAGTAGTATATTAGTCGTTAGTACATAAAATAATTTATATTCTGTGCACTACGAAGTCGTCTTAAGCTGCAGTGTTTTATACAGGTTGCATGAACAAAGCCGAAATGTATAAATTCACAATGCAGAAAAAAAGGGTTGTTGATACACAATGTGCAGAAATCAGTATATCTACAATTTAGTCAAATACAGATAAGGAGACGAAGAATAAGTCTGCATAACCATTGACTGATATTTGCAAAATTTAGGGAAAAGGAAGCACATACAAATGGTACTGGGCAGATTAAGGATACTCAGATTCATGAGATCTTACATTATACGTGTGGGTAGATTTATAACGAATTTATGGTGGTGCTAAACAATCTTTTTGCAACGGCATCAGGCAGCAATAAAGTGATGGTCAAGCAATCACCGCCTTAAAAGCTGTCAAAGCTGGCTTTATTTACGAGTTCCTGTCCAAGATCGAAGAACGGGAAACGGATTAGGTAAATCGGCAATCGCTGACACGGTTCGTTCAATGTCCACATCAACATTGGTTGATACTGATTTGACAGAGCGTGGCTTGTAAGGTATAATTATATCGAATGTTGCTTCCTGTGCCACTGGGATTTCACACGGGTCACAGGGATGGGCAATTACTGCCGGCAGTGCGCGCTCAACTATTACCTCGATTTCCTTCTCCTCCAAAACGGGTTCTGCTTTAATGTATTCGGGATATGACGGACTCCTGTAAGATTCATGGCGCGGGTAGTCGATATAGCTTCCAGAAGTTAAAGGATAACCGTAGGGATTAGAGTTCACGGTTGGCGCAGCAATAAAGGTTGCCATAATGCAAGCAAAAATAAGATTTACAAAGGAATGCATATTAGCTTGTCTGTTAAATGTGATTGGTACCAAGTGACAGCGCCGAAAATCGGGATTAATTTGTAAATCGAAACGTTCATATGCTAATTACATATCCGCGGCAGTATCATCGATACACACGACTACTAAATTGAAGACGGTCATCCGAGCCGGCTTATATGCAAAAAACAAAAATACCATTTCTTAATTCACGGTGCAGTCAAATTTGAACGCATGTGGTAAAAAGCTTGTCACCTAATGAATAAGAATACGACAATCTACGTTAAGGAACTAAATAGTCAAAAACGTTTGCTAATATTGATGTCGATGTGCGAATTTTGCATGTACTGTATACGGGGTGCTGCAATTGAGTTAAACGAGCCATCCAACACGTACTCACTTAAAAATCCAATAAGATTATAAGATGTCATTTATCAATTGTATCTTGCATGCATTTAGCATTACGGAGCCCGCAAAATGCGTAAATCTGCAGTCAGAGCGTAAGACTATAAGCTTATTTATTTTATTTTTCTGTAATATATTGCATAAGATTCGCAGTAGGTACTGCACATTTTCGACACTCAAGATACGCTTGCTAGTTGGCTTGATGCACAAAACTGTAACTTATCGTGTTGATTTTGTCTTGGATCATTAGTAAGAAAACTGTAGCAGCTCTTTTTAATCCCAACAAACCAATGAATCACTTGTGAAAAAACAAATGCGATTATGCGGCATGATATGGTAATAAGTAATAGACGTTACACATACACGATGTTTATTGACGTTACGTGCACATAGGCAAGTATCGTAACTGCAGGTCGCTATAGCTAGCACCACTCGCATATTATACATGTAACCATAATTATAAAAAAATGTAAGGGTGCGCTATAGCCTTAGTATAGAGTCTAGACTGTAGCGCATAGACTTCTGCGCAGATTTTTTTAATGTCTGGCATTTTTAATGTTTTAACATGAAGTCACAATATTCGCAAACTTATCAAACGTTAAAACACGATGAAAATAGGGATAAAATCTGGACACTCGACCGTTTAGAGTTACAAAGACTAAACATGTGACGTATGTAACGTACACTGGGCTGTGTCAAGACATCGCATAAAGTGGCTACAAGTAACAGACTATACCCGGGCCGAGCGTATCGGCAACCTTTCGTCTTTAAAATCGAGAATAATTATTGCAGACTGTAGATGATCATGGGTTGCTAAATGTCTTTTTTTGCGATCTGTAATATTATGATTGTAATACATATACATTATTATTTTTCCTGGACTGGCAAATGGACACACTGCGATGCAGTGATGTCCTTGTTTCCGTGACGGAATTCTCTTTGCAGCTATATTGTGCCCACACCACTAAATATTCGTAATCTCTTAAAAGCGCGCCACTAAATGATTCAGTGTATGAGCTTGTTCTAAACAATTAAGTAGATATAATGAAAAGAAATATGGGCCATCGGTGCTGCATGTGACACGAAAAACTGTAAGGTTGGTGGTGTCAGTGAGAGTAATTGTTTTGTTAGGTTTTTGTAACAACACAATCATATTTACCATTATGCGACAGCAATGGTTTGGTTTCACCCGATTTTCTGTGTGATTTACACGTTATTGGAACTTTGTCAGTTGCACGAAGCGGTAGATGCCTCAGTTTTAGCCAATACCTTACTGTATCCCGTATCTGTGGCTGCGGCCAATTATTCCAGTGTAAATTCTGGATATATTAATGGACTACCAAGTATATTTTTCGGGCCGGTGAAGAATGTCAGCGTTAATCTAGCATACAATCCCGCCGGAAGCGGTGTGATCTCCGTAACGAATTCCTCCAGTGGTGTCAGCATAACATTCCCTTTACCGCCCAATACACTATCCAACGTCTCACGGGTGCCCGTATACGGATTCCCGCCATACGCTCCTGCACCCACGTCTTCCTATTCGAATTACGGCTATCCCGGATATGCTGTCGCTGCGGACTCCAGCTATGGCTCACCGTCGTACAACGGATACAATTCAGCCTCGCCAAATACAAATGCTAATAACATACCACAGATTAAGTATGTATACGGACCGGTTAACTTACAGTACCAAGCGCCGATTTTTCCTGCTCTGGATTACTCACGGCCACAACAACCGGCTCCACCATATTCTTTGCCAGTGTACGAAACTTCATTCCCGAAGGGAGATCAGTACATAGCGCCGATGCCGGAAACCAATCGGCCGTACAGCAGCAACTCCGCATATAACCAGTATCCGCCTCCGAGCTACGACAGAGGGACGATTTACGACACCAAGTACCCACTACCGCCGCAAGTTAGTCCGTACTATCCAAATGCCCCAGCACCGTATTATCCAGGAGGAAATTATAATACAGGAAATAATCCCTATGCAACTCCTGCGTATTCTTGGAAATACAGGACAACGTACGGGCCGTACCCTGTATCCAATACAACGGTGCTGGCAGTTACAACAACTGCTGCCAGCAAAGTGAAAGTGGAACCTGCCACGGTAAATTATTTGTAACAACGCGGAAAATTAGAATTTCCACAGCTTCAAAAAGACTGATCGTAAATGCAAATTTTGGTTGTGGTGCAGTAATCTAAAAGTACTCTACGAGTAAAAGTACGAGTATTTTAGTAGTACGTAAATATAACAATAAAACTAGTTAGATATTAATTAATAAAACAGTATGTGCGGCAATCGAAGTTTGAAATTTTTTCTGAATAAATATCTCTGAAATAACTAATCACTCATAAAATCCAAAAAGAAATAAACCGTTTGTTTCCGGTTAGTCTACGCGTGTAAAGGAGCAGTTTTAACATTTTCAGTTTTCACCACTAGAAGCAGCCCGAAAAGTGAATTTGGGCGTACCATTCGAAATTCTACCAACACTAACTACCGCCTACAGTAGCATAATACTAATATCTCAGTATGAGCCGATGCTCTTCAAATTTTGCACGAAAACGCACATTACTATGAAGATCGTTTTGGTACCAAACCAGCTTTCTACCATTTTTTTAAAATTTTAAAATGAATTTCAAAAATTGTGCGTTTTCGTGCAAATTTGATGAGCATCGATTCATAATGAGACTTTTGGTACAAATCCGCGCGTTTGAACTTTTGAAATTTTATATCACTAATGACTCCCGAACCGGATGTTGCGCGCACAAACGGTTTTTTTGCCAATGTATACGAATCCTTTGGCTACAAACTATAAAGCAGTGCAAAAAAGTGTTTGGGAGTGCGCGATAGCGAAAGTTGCCGTGGATGTATATGAATTCGGTGCTATGTACCGGGCCAAATCCCTTAAGTAGAGATGTGGTCTTCGTAACATAATCGAGTACAATGTTTCGAAGGTTTCTCCTCCACCAACCGCAAATCCTGGTACCACAACACCTACAACGAAGCCAACCGAAAAGACCACAAGTGCGGTAGTCGAAGCCAACCCTCCGCTTTCGAGCAAAATTGGTGCTATCAACACCACAGAAGGTACAGTAGATTACAAAACCTGCATGGCAAAGCGACTGATTATATTATTTTTATTTCGGTAGAACCAGTTTCTAATTTCTGTTGCTTTTAATTCCCCCTTTTGCCCTGTAGAAGTTGTTGAGGACGAACTGACTGACATCGAAGGACTGAATGACACATTGTCAGAAGACGCCAACTCAAGTGACGACTCACTGGTGGATATAACGCTGCCACCCGAACCAATAGTAGAAATTACTCTCCCACCGGTGAAAGTTCCCATCACGACAACGACCCGAAAACCAGCCGCTACGACAGCTAAAAGCACCTCTCGCCCTACAACCGGTGCTGTAATTTTTAAATTTGCTGCTGCAGTCGTTACCACCCGGACGACTCCGCGACCAACGACAGCTGCAAAAACTACAGCGCGGGTGACCTTTCCCCCGGCCAAACGATTCCTAATTCTTGGAAAAACGCTCTCACAAAATTCAACTCTATCTTCGGATACGATTGAGACTACAGAAAACAAATCCGAGGCAGAGAAAACAGGTAGAGTAACTAAATTTTCCATGTCACATAAAATATCAGGAATGTGTTGTTTTATTGGCAATTTAGATAGCAGCCTTAGCGAGATGGCCACCGAAGAGGCGGTGCCAGCTGAACTGTTCGAAGATGATGTAACCGAAGCAACTACGACGACACCGACAACCCGTCATAAGAAATTCCATCGGAGAAAAACCACAACTCGGCCGAAAGCGGAAGAAGATGATTATCCGGAAGATGACGCGGATACCGTTGATGAAATTACTGAAGGACCCCGACGAAGACGGAAAAATAAACGCCGCCGGCTGGTGCTGATTAGCACAGCTGTTGATGTGGATGAAGGAGCGCTAACAGGATTTGATTACGAAGATAACGATGAAGACGAGCGCCCACGCCGTAAGAAATCCAAAAGAAAATCTCGCAAAACCACGACCACCGCTCCCTTGGAAAATGACACCGATAATGGGCCAGAGGGCGATGATTTGTCGGAGGAAAAAATTACGGATACGACGATTTTGCCAGTTGTTACCAGCAAACGAAGACGTACATTTGCCAGAAAAGTCCCGAGGTCTACTGTAACAGCAACAGGAGTAACCGGAGAACCCCTCACCTCAACCACGACTACGACCTCAAAGGTCACACAACAAATTACGGCGACAAAGGGCACGGTGGCCAGTACCATGGCCACTGTACGCAAAGCTACTGCAAATTTTAAAGCAAAACCAGCTATAACCACAACGTCGGCATCCTTGGTTGGGGCGTTAAAGAATACTTCAGGTTTTTCTGGAACAACGCCAACCACACCTGCTAGTACACGCACAACAAAGGAAATGTCCACGGCGATCACTGCCGGCAGCACACTGAATATGAGTAATATTGCCACCCCCGCGCCAAGTGCGGCAACGCCAGTATCCGGCGCCGCGTAAGTTATTTAATGCTGATGTCATATCTTCAAAAGTTCAATTGAATAAAAAACAAAAGCTTTCTTTTCGATTTAGGGTAACGTAACGTTATTGCAGTTTGTTTAATTTATATTGGCCGTACGGCAATACGGTCGTAAAAAAGGTAACTATGCTTTTAAAATTTGCGCTTTATTAAGCTATTCGGCGGATGCTTTTTCCGTGCCAGTTTCTGTTTTCGAACTCGAAAAATTTTAAAACTCGACTGGTTTCATTTTAGTGCAGCAACACAAGCTAGCAATTCAAATGGAGCGCTGACATTGACGACGAGTTCCGATCGCATTAACACAAACACTGAATCTCCTTTGCCTTCGATAACTGTAACCGCCCAATCCTTCCAGTCTACTACCGCAGCAACGCAGTCGAACGGTAATCAAAACGTAACGGTAACTGCTGGAGCGTCCACCAACGGCAGCATAACCAGTAATGCAACCGGCGGCGCACAACAGGAATCAGACGTGATTTCCCCAAAAACGGTAGCTCTGCAGGACGCGCTGATACAAGTAGACCAGACTACGAGTACTGTACGACCACCTTTAAATCCCGCTTACTTTGGTCCTAGTAGCTTGATAAGCATGTTTAATGAACCGACAAATTTTAATGCCCCCCATCGTTTTGTACGCCCGGCGGAATGGGGTATAACTCCAGCGAGCACCGGAAGACTGATGTTGTCCGCTTTATAAGTAGCGAAAAAGTACAAATTATTAAAGAAATTGCATCTGCATGCTTTTGTACACCGGATCGGTGTTACGAGTAAGTACGGTACAAACAATAACCGGAATAATCGGTAGGTATTGTAACAGTGGCCTATCTGGCTACTGTTCTAGTGGGGTGGCGATCAGCCTTTACCACGATTAAACGGCTGTTGGTGTGAAAGGTGGCACGGCCGGCAACGATGCTGGCCGAGGACGCTCTTACTGATGTACACAATTACACAGGTGGCTCCGATTGGGATGACACAGGTTCATCCCAAGCGGTCAAACACAACAACGTCACTCAAGGCATGTTTAATGACAAGGCGTTCAAGAAACGGAGCAAGGTTGTAAGCAAGGGTTTCGGCAAGAGGAACAATCAAGTAGATGCAAGCTGTAGCAAGCTGAGCACAAGACTGAATTCTAGAAGTCCATGAGAAAGGAAACTAGCCGGTAAAGTGGACAAATTCATAACGCGATGGAATGATTCATCATAACTGGGCGGTCTTATCGTTCGTACAAATACTATCGCTACAGTATAGTAAATTTACTTTCGTTAAAAAGGTTTTCACGGCGCATAATACTGTAAGAAGGCGTAACACCGAAGACAAAGTCCACATAGTCGATAATGACTCGATACTCGATATCATGATAAGTCTGATTGCAAAAGATACATAAGTTTCTTTTCCTTCAGCTGGTTTTTGTTTGGCTGACTGCCAGTTTTTCGAACGTACGAAAAATTTCCGAAGGTGTAACAAACATTTGGTTCATCATAATAGAATGCATTAAATTTCTTGTCTGGGCTTTCAACGTGTTATTGTTGGGATTCCGTATAAACCCATCAATTAACTTAATCCAGTGTCCAGACTTCGGCAAATACCGTCTCAGTGCATTTCGCAAGGTCATGTGCAATCGCAGATTTTGTGCTGGCTCGCTGACGTACTGATCAATTTCACGTTGCACCGCAGCGGAGATATAGTATTTGGATAACGATCCTGTAGAAACATCACCATGTCCAGCGTTGCGCGAAGCGAGCGATAAATTGGGCAGTGCGGCATGCGAATATTCCAGAGTCTGTGGTAGCTGCGTATCACGGATTTGTCCATTCTGACACGTCATATCATTGTCACCGAGCACCTGTTTGCCCTGAACTAGTTGCTGTGAATCTTTTGGAATTAGCAAACCAGAATATAATTTTTTCTTTCGGCTGATCCGCCCGCTTTCCCAGCGCCTGATCAGCGTTATGGATTTCGGTTGCGCTAATTCGTCCAGACGCAGCTTGTCAACCGCACGGGGAACCGGTGGCGAGGGTGCTTTCTGAACTGCAACGGTACTAGAAATCATTCGTAGCATTGTTCTTTTTCGCAGAGTCATGTTTTGCAGTCGCTGTGCCTCCACCCGGTCCTTTTCTGATTTTTCGTTATCCAGATTCGATTCCAGCGATTCGGAATCTGGTGCAGCCGTGGTATCTGTCGCACTGTCCTTGGATGTCGAAGTGGACGAACTGTCATGGTCAGTGCTTGTCGAGCTGGACCGTCTGACACACGCATTGCTTTTTCTCTTCCGTGTTTCGGTCGAACCTTCCTTTGTCCCAATTTGCATTTTGACCAAAGCTCTTTTCCTAAATCTCCGCATGGCTTTTATTCTTCTCAAATTTTTAACAGATTCGCGAATGAAATTGTAGGTAGAATAGTGTTCAAATGGAAGAGGTTTTGCAGCAGATTCTTTTGGCTTCGGCTTATTCATTTCAACCAGCGTTCGAAGGATGAAATTTCCTGGCTTGGTGATTTGGAATAGCATTCTTGATTTGGCTATGCGCTGGCGGTGGCCACGAATTGGTTTTAGCGCCTCCAGAGGAAATGACCTTACTCGAAATGCTTTGCCATGACGGCGACTGTAGTTGAGCTGAAAAGCCAAACGAAACTTGCCGGTGTCTGGAGAGCGATTTCGCAGATTATCAATTACCACTACAAAAGCACAAATTGGTCAAATTGCACATAAACACAGAACAGGTTATTATCTTTTATGATCATCCCGTTAATCCTTTTTTGTATTTGCTTCTAACTACATTTTTCAGTTAACTTTTCCGATGAAAAATTTTGTTTTTGCAACGACAGAAGAGAACTGACACTAAAGGTACGGTACTCGTATTGTGATTATTCAGTAGTAATTTAGTTTACATACGAGTACTTATATGAAATTGTAAACTAGAAGTTGTAGGCTTGTAGCCAATTTGCCGCTGTTAATTTTTACCTTTTATGCAATCTATAATCACTTCCGGGCACAGCGTCGCGGTAACACTGGTTGTGGGATGCAAATCTGGTCCTGAATTAATCTCGATGAGCCAAGGTTTTAAATCTTCGGTCACTATAAAATCGGCTCCAAATAACTCGTACCCGTTGATCTAAAATATCGATAACCATGTACTTGGTGAAAACTAATTTACGAGCTGATGTAAAGTAGCATCAAGGTACGACTCGTATTTAATGCGAACTGCGAAATACTCCTTACAGCTTTTTTGTCCATCTGAACTGCAGAAGTGACGAGCGCTAGCGTTAGCAACCGTGTAATTTCTGGGAATATTTTTTCGTCCCATACGGTGTGTCCATCTAAACCTTGCTCGCTCAAATACGTTAAGAATTCATCTTTTCGCCACATGCATTCCTTCGGTATTTTGGATTCTGGGGATATCGCGTCAAAGTACTTCCCTTGAACGGCATTATTGGTTAAGTGGATTTTCTCATTGAAATCAGTTAAGGAAAATTCGGATGAGCCGAAGCGAAGGTAACAATCCTGATACATCCACAATTTTAGGGGATGCCATGTGACCAAAAACCACTGCCGAATATCGAATTTCGTATTGTAACACAGGAAAGGCCTTTCTATGAGAAATAATTCACAATTAATTACTGATATTAAATTTGTTACCATTGTATTAGTGAAAATATTGTTGTGTTCAGACAGCTTACCGATGTACTTTTGCACGATGAAATTTCTCATATCTGGGTAACCTTGATGATTATAACAAATTTCGGTGATTTCTTCAATTAAATCGGAAACGGTTATTTCCATGCCTCGGCTTTTGCTACCCGGTTTGATAATCCAAATATTTTTCTGGCCTTCGAACTGGCACTGAGGATTAACGACGTACAGGCAATCCAACAGCCTCCGGCAGTATTTTATTTTTTGTGCCGTGTGCTCTATCTCTTCCAGTTTGATGGATGTGTTACTTGAATTTCTGAACAAAACGGATAAGTAAAGATAAACTAAATGTTAAGTTAATTGCTTTATTCGTGCACAATAAAATAAAACTTATCGAAACTCACTCACTGTCTTAACTTCATTAAATAGGTCCAATGGATGAAACTATTCCAACAGTCATCATCAGGTGCAACAACGAAAACCTGGTTATTAAAGAGGTCATTAGAGCAAAGCAAACAATTTGCAAATTCTTTCAGCTACTAATTTCCACGCAGTAACCCACCATTTTATCCAAGCGATCGGCATAAAGTATTTCATCCTCTACTTCCAAATAGCAGACTACATGGCAAGCTGCCATGCGAACAACCTCGTCCGGTAAAATCATGCTGGTTTCTAAGTGACCTTTCTCCAGATCCTTCACTGGCGGTATGTCAAAACTCGTTCGCGTTAACCAGCTGGTAATTTCACTTGAAAATACATCTGGATGACAGCTGTAGCATTCTGAATTCGGATCGAAATTTTGTAATTCGGGTTTTTGCAGTCTGGAGGAAAGCGGAAACTTCCGCGGTATCCCACGTCGTCTTCTGCAAGTCCATGTTAACGGGGACAGGACACTGGGCTCGTTCGCCAGCTGTCCGGATGATGTGACAGTTTTTAGCAAACTGCAGCAAGCGGTGAAGAGGTAATCTCCTACAATTTGGAAATTAATGATGCCAGATCCTGCATAAATCTATTTTTGCTTGTAATAACAGTAGTTAGAAAATATTGACAATGAATAATGATTTACGGTAGAAGAGATTGGCTTCTTTATCACGGTGCATCCGATACGTTCTCGGAGAGACGGTATCAGGATCCGCTGCGCATATTTTTGGTATGTTCTGGACTACTTGGGCCAAACAGCTTTTTGTATTAAAGTTCAAATAAGCCGGTGATGCCATTATGTGCTGCGCATTGTCAAAAGGTCTTTTCTGACGTGACACCCGCCACACAAAATCCGGTGCCTTGTGACGGACCAACCTCGACTGCAGATGAAAATAATTTACAGAAGACAAAAGCAGACGTTATATTATGGAAGAGATGACGCATATTTAAAGTAAACGTAATATGTTATTGTATATATGTATTATAGTAAAGCAGTACTAATAAGTCAAGGAAGGCGTACTGTTAGTTAGAAGAAACCCTATGTACCGTACAGTATGTGAGTACTTCAGTACGAAAGTCGATACAATGCGTCAGAGAAATATTTTTATCAACTGCATGCGCACTTTATGCTTACTTAAACGTACATATACTTAAGCTGAAAGAATGCTATTAACGAAATTAAAAGTAACTAGGCTGAATGCTGGAATTATTTCGGGTTATTAAAATTTGCCTTTTGAGCTTACAACGATACCCCATAGACCGTTGTCGGAAGCTGCCAGTTTGTCTCGCTGTGGATTGTTTTCCAAATTCTCCACCCATCCTCGAGCTAATAATTCGGATCTGACCAGTGGAAAAGTTCCTTCAATGGCAAAAACCTTTCTATGCTAATAATGAAACAGTAGTCAGAAGTTTGCTGATGTTAAAGGAAGTGGCAGATTTATTTCATTCTTGTTCATGACCAACTTGTTTGGCGTCGGACGCCAAGCTGCGTGCGCGTATTAGTTGCTCCATACTTGGCTTTAAAACTGGTTTGGATGAGTTTTCTGGCTAGTCCAGCGTCGCGCGCTGGCCAGTTCCTTATGTAGGGAACAAATGCAGGATCAAGGATTTTGACGAAATACTGGTGGGATCAACTGGTGTGCGACGAGAAAAATTCGCTTAGCAATGTACGTGCAGATCCTTCATACAAGAAAGGTCGCACTCACTTTCTAATTACTATCATCGGAGCATGTACCCCTTAATAAGCAATCGGTTTGAATCAGACTGTAGCGAGCAGGCATCATTTTGTTTGCCAGTTGGTTCAACATCCGACGTACAAATAAATTGCGCACAGTTTATGCTACACGTCATACACCTGAAGAGAATTTTTCAGACCTTCTCTTTATCAACAACAACGCTGGCTTGCCTGTGTCATGCTTTTCGCTTTGGAAAATACTCGTAGCATAAACGCAGAAGATGAGAAGTCAAAATAGTATTCGGCTGTTCGGACATTCAAGATAGTGGCAGTGTCACAACGAAGCTAAACAATTTTCCCGATCAGATTATTTTGATTTAGTTCATTTGACTTATAGGTACACGAATTTGTAGCAAAATTTTGTCTAGGGGCCATTGGTAGATACAGTTTAGTTGTAGTAGCAGGGAGACAGTTTGTTGCGTTCTCGTACGCGAATGTTGCTAGGTCATAGACTGCTAAGTACAATACGAGTACAAGAAGTACGTACTACTGAATGCAGTTGAATGCCTCAAAATTTCGATTTAAACATCTCTGTAAAGCTTTTACATTCCGCAATTTGGAAATTACAGCTCTATTTTCCCAGTAGGGAGCCCGTAGTATGGCGAATGAAAGTTCGTGATTGGGCCATCTATATAAATATGCGCGCGGTTTACAAATTTACTTACGTAACTTGTCTTTCTTAGTTTTTGAAACAATAATTTAGTGGAATTAATAGCTACGCCAGTATTGTAAATTTGGTCGCACCATATTTTATGTGCCCAGAACTTGTTTTGCTTGTGCCTTTTCAATGACAGTGGTGACCTTTTTCATGACAAATGTAAATTTTACTAAAAGAATCGATACTTTTTCCGCAGGTCAGCTATCTTTAATATTTTTCCATTCGTTTTGCAACTTTTCTGTAAGCCGGCGCACCAACACTGCATGTCATTTAGTTATGGTATTCGCTAACTCGAAAGACAGAATTTGATGCTAGTGTGCGCAAGAACTTGCGATTTTCAATTTTCAACCGACAGCACTTTTCCAGTACTTCAGTACGATCGAGTATCCATAAAGTTTTATTGTACGGTTGCACGCTAAGAATAAAAACGTTTTCCATTTTCCACTTTCAGTCTTTAAGATCAAGTTTTTTGTAATTGTTTAGTACACAAAAGTTACTTTGAAGTTGAAGCCACTGTAGCAGCGGGTAGGAACCCAAGGTTTTTACCGTTTTTAATATGGGAAATGGAAATCGTTAAAGTTAGATCGCCTGCACGCAAAATTTCGATCATGCGTACGGCAGATTCTGTGGCGATTGTATTACTTCGCTCTAATCGATCAATCCTTATAAAAATCTATAAATAACCATATACAAAGGCGGTGCAGCGTAGTACTGTATGTGAGAGGAAGATTCATTTTATAATAGACAATAGTTTGGTGCGCACTAATTAGAGACGGTTAAAATTGTGACAGGCTTAAAATGGTGCATGTGCATTTTTGTTAAAAATACTGAAATTCACCTTTTAGTTTTGCGTGAGAATCGCAGACTGTGATTTCGATTTTAATTCCCCGTGAAGTACTGATAGTACCAGTTCTGAGCGCTCCTTTTGTAAAATACGGCGACTCTGTTGAGGCTGTTGCAATCGACTCAATCGTTAGGCTACCCAGAACGAGTAAAATAATAGTTGTTTTTGTGTCAAGTATACACTGACACTGGACACTATAAATTCACCTAGCTGACATATGGTTTAATTAGATGGTACTGCTCTCGAAGGAAAAAGACACTACTCAGTGACTTACTAATATTATATTTAGCATAATTATTATTTTCAAAATTATTTATGAAGCAGTTCTGAATATTAGGGCAAAAGTTGAACACTGGTTTGGTGTAATTAGGAAATGCGTTACGTTATTGTCGACTGGTAAATCCAGACATTGTATTTTAACAGTAAGTATGCCATCGAAAAGGTATCCGTTTATTTAGAAAATAGTCGCAAAAAATCGCGAGAATTCTTTTCGCAAACCATGCACCACAAAGAGAACTTTGTAATTGTAGCGAAGACCTAGCATCGCAACGGTGACTGGTGAACCCGGATCGGACACTCTGAAGATCCCAAAGTCAGGTTAAGGACCGGACGCGGAATGGGTTCGAGTTAATGGGAAAGTTTCAGTTAGCCTGAGCCAATAGGCTTATCACTTATTTTGCGGTAAAGTCAATGTGACATATCAGGAAGAGTATTTGGAAATGACTTGATTGCTTGACGAAAGGCCATTAGGACTGCCGGGAGGCGGCATAGAAAATGAGACCATCATTTTTAACTGAGGAGGTTGAAGTGGTTAACAAGCTGAAGTGGCTTATTTGACTAGCTTTCTTTCTTACGCCTTATACACTTCCCCCCTATCGATTGTTTTTCCCAAAGAAACGAACGGTCCCTAAGCCTTCCTGGGTAGTGAGTACCTTAATTATTTATCGACGGAAAAGATGAAATATGGTAACAAGTTTCAAAGTGATCTGATGTCATGCCCCACTGGCTTAACATTGGCTCCCACTGTGCTTCCATGAATTGGTCGGCTAACTAGGCAGTTATGCCTGCTATTCGGCGCCTGCTGCTGCACCGGCAACAAACGCATCAGCCAACGGGATCAAGCGAGTGGACATAGTATAGGGGGAACCGCCTTTCGTATCAACAAAAGAGCCCCTTATGTACATGCTCAGCCCAACGTCCCGGACACATTACTCGCTTGATCGCGGAAGTTGTCTACATGAACTATGGTACACTTAACACTTTGTCGGCGGGCTCGCAAGGTTATCCTTAGTGGAGCCCTTTTGTCATCGCTATCCATTTTTGATTTATTGCCTCAATATGGACCGGGCGGCCTTATAATTCACAAGGATTAATGTTGTTGCCATTTGCATAATTGACGCCGATACCGTAAACAGAAATGATGTGATATCCGATACTCCGGTATCCGGTAGTTTGGCATACTTTCGCTATTGGTCAGCCATACTTATCGTTACCGGCACAACCTGTCGGCAAAACTTGACCACAGGGAGCATCAAGTTGTGCTGTGGTTGTGCATCAGGTTTGCGACGCGGTGCTGTTATGATTACAGAACATTCAGGTATGGATGCCGAATTGTGCCTCTATATCTTGAGAAGATCGTTTAATTTTAAATAATTCTCTCCCGCTCACAAAGATTCTCAACCTCACAGACAGTAGCTTTGGGTGTTTACCGATTTTATTTTCTGATGGCTTATTGCTTATTGATATTCCATAAAAGTCAATATTTTTGAATTAGTAACTATCCCGATCGCTCCTATTATAGTTTTTCTATAAAATCTATAACTGCAGTTCTATGTTTCAAATAGTGCAGGGAAACTATAACACTGCCGCTTTTCGAAGGAAATTATAGTCGCAAGTGTGTCTTCCATAGTATGAACTAACTCCCTACTGCAAATTATTGGATTTATCATGAGATAAGCGTGTCGTTATATTATACATACCCGTCTGTCTGTCCAATTCGCGGTTATCATTTCAAACGACCAGCGGCCTAATGTTTTAATACATTAACAATTCCGCCAAATTGTAAACAAAATATGTTACATGCATTCCACTTAAACTTTTAGATTGTACAGTGAACACCGATATCGGTACTTACTTCTGTTAACTGTATTAATCACGGTTTCAGTTTAGACCTGTTCAGTGTTTCTTTGGTAAAACCGTTTGTATATATAACTATTTGTCGCGGTTGTGGCTAATTTGTTTTGTTTCAACAAAATTAATAAAGCGTTTTTTAGTATCGAGTAATGTTCTTGTCAAGATTTTTTATGTTGCGCATACTTGTCACTCGAACTGCAGTAAATCTCTACGGGTGAATGCGATTACGACACGGCAGCGTCCATACGCGCATAGTCTGTTCGCTAACTGTTAGAATAGACGAAATGCATAATATGTGCCACAAACTATTTAGTAAGCTAATCCCGGGAGAGTGTCGAAAACGAAATGGCCAATTTGTTGACGCGATTCAGGGTCAGTATTTACCGATGTTTTATGTTCCAGTCACTTGCAACCCCATCCCATGCATACCGTATGTGGAACGAACAAAACGACCATTATTAGCACTTGCTAATTAGTAATCCCTATGGATAGTCTAAACTCCGGCTGAGTTTATTTAAGACCACACAGTGTGGAGATATCCTGTTACTTCGATCCACTATGCTTGCACCATTCTTCCGTGCATTCCACTCTCGGATGTACGGGCTGCAAAGTTATACACTCCTGGTTCGCAGTTTCTCGTCCAACATGCACAATCATAAAATAAGAAAGTGAACAAATTTGCCTGTTGGAATATCACCCATACTTCTATTTATGCATCAATTCCGTGACAATTGACTTGGTTAATTATATTTTATTGTGCAACTGTGGATTACATGGCATTTTGCTGTGGTGCTCCGTTTGTGGTGGACATGCGTAACCGGCTGGGATGTGTGCTGTATGACTGAGATATGCGTTATTCGTTGTGACAATCGTCGTCCGTAATTGATAAAGTGGCGCAGTCTTTTGTAATGGAATTCCGTGATACTGAATTCACTCAGAGCATTTGGAATAACTTATCAGCCAATAGCAATTGTTGTGTTCTCAAAAATACCGGAAATACCTCTGACACTGATAATTTGGACCTAACCCTTATTATTCCACTTGGAGTATTCTTGGGTGTTTTATCTCTCATAACTTTTGTTGGAAACGTAATGGTATGTATAGCAATCGTAAGCCGTGTTGGAAACGCTTGGAAACACAAATTATCACAATTTTGCAGGTGCTCCATGCAATTCGAACTGAGAAAAAACTGCAAACGGTAAGTTTTGAATACCCTTATAGTAAACCTCTAATTATTCGTATGCCAGTACTTTAAAAAGGCTGGAAATATTATATTTTGCAGGCGACTTGTTGCGTGTTCGAAAAATAATTGAAGCGTGTATGCAGATTGCAAGACGTATCTGAAAAAATAATATAAACAACTAAGAATAAGAAGATAAAAACAGAAATAAGGATTTTAGACGTTTCCAAAGAAAACCGGTTATCCAACAGAGTAAACAGTCAAATCACACTATAATTAGCGTATTCGGTTTTAACTGAGGCGTTTCGCATAATAGAGTTTGCGAATACTTCTACGTAATGGCAAGCAAAAGTAGCCAGTTTAGTTACTTTACGTTCGATACCGAACGTGAACGAACATTTTGATCTATCTGTAATTATGTACTACTATCTGTAAATAATTGTAAGTCTCTAACCGTAGACACACTTTCTACTTGTAAGATTCGTGGATTCGCAGGCTGTGTTGCAATATACAGCATTAGCAAAAAATGTTTATATATATTTAATGACATAGTGCCTTTTTGTGGATCTTTAAATACTGTATACAAAAGCTAAAATTCAAACATATCGAGCGGTATCTACTGAAAATATATTTTTAGTACATCACAATCCATAGTTCAGCCTTCAAAGCAAAAAGTCTTCGTTGTGAATTTCATTTTTATGTACAGTATGTCTAGTTCTTCAACTTTGTAAAAATAACTAAATGTCCACGGACCCACTCTTATAATAGAATAGAATTGCATAGAATTGCATAGAACTACACCGGAAGGAATCGAAAATTGACTGAAGCATTCCGATACATGGAATCATACATGTAAACCTAATTAGGGATATTCGTGCCGGTTGCACATGTATAATGTTTAGCTCATTGACCGTACTTTTTTCACAACGTGGAATTATCGATTTTGAATTTACAGCTTATTATTTTCTGGTAAACTATCATGGGAAAACGTCTAATTGTGTAAAAACGGCGAAATAACGATCTATCTAATGGACAGCTTATAGTGATAGCAGCCTCAGCATGTGTATATAATTGGATCTTCAGCAAAAATTTTCGGTTATTTGGGAACAGGCGGTGGATATTTCCAAATACTTATTTCAATCATTGTTAAGATTCTCAAATAAATTCTGTTTTTCTGTTGTATTTTAACGGTAATTAACCTATAGCTACGTGAATGTACGCTGCATGTGTGGGTCCCGTAACACACACGCTGTCATTAATTTTTATTTTTGTTCGTGTTTAAAGGTCAGCAATATCTTTATTATGTCGTTGGCGATTGCGGACTGCAGCGTTGGGTTGTTTGTAATGCCGATCAGCGCGGTGTATGCATTGCTGGGATTCTGGCCATTTGGACTGATTGTGTGCAACGTGTGGTTATCGATGGACTACGTAGCATCCACAGCCAGCATCTTCAACTTATTTGCACTGGTAAGCCGGAAGCATCCTATGGCCTGCATGGTTTTTTTATCGGGATGGTGTAAACGATGTGTCAACTCTATCTTCATTTTGTTCGATCTTGTCAGCATTAAATCCACAAATCTCCTGGCCCAATGTGTACGCAACACCCCAGTTCGGACTGTGTGTACATTAAAGTACTCCACGAACAGAAGGGTGCGCGCCCAAATAAGCAATTGTGCTAACCGGCGACCTTTTAAGGGTGCTCTCTTTTCAGCCGAGGTTAGATGGTAAAGTACCTTCGCCTGGCATCTGGCTATTTGATCCAATCAGCCAAATAGCAATCTGCTGTTATCCATGTTTGTACTATGTCTGAAGCTTAGCAATGCCGATTCCCATTAGAGTTACAGAGTTACTAAGTGCTGGCTCTTGTGAATCATGTAAACGTAACACTAACTTAACACTCCTGTTTTTTAGACAATTTGGTATTTGATAATGTAGTTAGTTTTTAACGCGTTTTCCAGTTTGGCATGGCGCCATATCATTGCAACATACAAAAGTGCTTCTCGCTTTAACTTTTATAGCCCATAATTTTTAAACCGTTAATTTTTCTTTATTTTGTGCTCCAAGAGAAGTTCTGAAATAAGCAAATATGCAGTTTTTTGGCTTAAAATTTTGCTGAGAAGTCTGGCATGTTGATTGGCTCAACTGGGCAAAAACGTTATAGTTTAATTACCTAAATACTTGTATTTTTATTATCGCTTCTGAAAGTTAATTAGCTGTAAAAGGGTCGTTATATTGCGGCGTAGCAACTTTTCTAATGCTCTGAAAAACAAACATACTGCTCAAAAGAGATGAAATATGGAAAATGAAATTTTTTCAGCACTAGACGCATGTCGGAGTGAATCAACGCATGTGCGAAATAAGTGTGCCCATCCCAAGTCATTCTGACGTCTCATGGGTTTGGCCATCTACAGAAATATTAACAAGCACGGAAAAAACTGCTGTAATGATAAGCTATTATAGATGCTAACAAAATCAGAAGCTGCGCATGCCAACTACCTCAGTCGTAATGATAATTGACGATTGTCGAATAATACGTTTGTGTGCACGATGCGAGCAATCAGTGGTGGTGAACGTCGGGAAAAGCCGGTGATTTGATTTGGCCAGGAGTAGTCCAGCTGTCAAACTGGATTAATCAATATGGCTAAAAGGAGCATCATACATTTTCCCCTATCATACATCTACACACAACCATGGAGAAAATTTTCGTAAATCGATTGTCGCCTGCGTTAAGTTTACTTTAGAGAAAGCTTTTGCTGTAGCCAGCTCCATATACCGAAAATACGCAAAACTTGGACGCTGCTGTTTACTTTCGATTTGCATTTTGGCCCGTAGCGGTATTAATACTGTATGGCAGCTGTAGTCGCGTGCACATATCCAAAACTTTGTTCCTGTTTTCCCATTTACAGAGTCTTGATCGGTTTTGGTCGATCATTTCGCCACTAAAATATCTCAAGAAACGAACACGCAAGCGGGCCTTTATTATGTGCTCATCGGTGTGGCTGGCATCCTTCCTCTGGATTATCCCCGTTGTTGGTTGGCATCGCTTCTACAAAGACGGGAGGCGTGATTTGCCGCTCAATGCCTGTGATACAGAATTTGCCGATGAAGAAATCTTCAAAGTTTTAACTGCCACATTTAATTTTTATGTGCCCATGTTGGCAATGATAGGTAAATTAATCTAAAAAGCAAATAGGAAAGCGACATATCATAAAATAACAAATTATAGACGGGCTCATGCCATATGAGAGTAACCTTTTGACCTTATTGTAATTCGTATACTCTTTGTACAAACACCAAATATTTCCGCGTCAAAATCAATATAAAAACCGCAGTATTTACATGCTTACTTTACAAATTTATGCGTAAAAGATTGAGTGACCAAAGATTTACAGTTCCAAATTGATTTGGTTGTACCTTTTGTTAGTTGTTTTATCAACATAATCTTTCCCTGTGTTGGTAATTCGGTATGTTGGCTCTAGCCGGGTCAAATCGAGTTTGAGTGGTCACTAATATAAATCTAATCAAAGAGGAAGATGGTTTTATTAGCTGTAAAACCAGCAAGCAAAATTATTAATTTCTGCTATTCCTATTTTTTTTAGCTTTATATGGCCGTATATTTCACGAAATCAAAGTCCGCGCCAAAACCTTCGAGGCAGCCGGCAACGCCGTGTCACGTCCAGATGACGCTCTGACATCCTCCACGAAGCACAAGCGCCCACTCGCCGACACCGCCAACAACGTACTCCACACACCGGACTACGCCGTCAATGGCACACTCAAAGCCCCGGCCAACGAAGTGGTCCAGCTCCCGCAGATCATCGTGGAGGACGCCGATGATTCGCCCAACACGCGGCGGCGTCGTCGCATCATTGAGTACGACGGCATCACCCTGGTGCATCTGACTGTCAGCACGGAGAACATTATGAAGGAACAATACGAGCATGTCGATGTCAGTGTGGAGTTTGACTCGGAGAGTGATCGAGTGGAGACACTGCAGTTGCCGGAGCGCTCCATCGATGACGACTGCATTTCGCTGTCCGAGTTCAACGAGGATGAGCTGGACGAGGAACGCGTCGTGCCGGCACCCCGACCGGCGGCGGCCAAGAAGCGCCATTCCAAGACGCGCTTCCCGCGGCTGAGTAATCGCCGCAATTCCTCCCGTAAACCCTCAGTGGCCGAGCCGCTGTCCGGTCGCAGCGAAACGCCGCGACTGAGCGACACGGCGGTGCACAGTCCATCGTCCCGCAAGCGACTGACCAGTCTGCTGCAGAAACAAACGAAGCCAAAAACCGCCCCGCCCAAAACCATGCAGCCGACGAATAAATTTAAGCGGGAAAAGAAAGCAGCCTTCCAATTGGGTGTTATTCTGGGAGCGTTTTGTCTGTGTTTTATGCCGTATTTTGTCAGCTTCATCATATCCGCCTTTTGTCCGGGATGTGTGGATCAGCGTGTCCATTTGGCTTTCACATGGTTGGGATATCTAAACAGCACCGTCAATCCATTCCTGTATCCTTGGACTAACGCCAACTTCCGGTCATCCTTCCGGAAGATGTTTTGTATGGAGGAGAAAAAGCCGCCCGTGATTAATTATTTATTGCACAAAATGCCGGCTGTGCTGCCATCGTATCGGCGGCCGTTGAATGCCAAGAAGCAGGACGGCCATGAGACTGTCCCGGTACAGGCAGCTGGGCGCAACTGCAATCGGAGAAAGAGTGACATCGGAATATAAACTGTTTATTTTGTGCCTTTTTGAGCTTGACCACTGTTCCAGTTAAATTCAAACTAAATTAAGACTGCTTGGATTTAAAAACTGCGGCTAGTTACAGACCGGTACCGACCATGAAATGGTCGCTGCAATGTGAATTGAATCAGATTTTTATCCACGCACTTCTCGCACGTCTTGAGTCAGTATTCCTTTTCCGTGGCCGTGATCGATGTCGTCGGTATTAATAAACTAATCAGAACTTCTAAAAAAAATCTCGGTACGTTAGCAGTCTCTTTAAGCATGCATAATTTTCAAATTTTCGGCGCTCAGCAGTTGTTGCACTTCAACGATACTTCTATACATGTATGGAGACAACATAATGTGCAATACTGATATACAATATGCAGCTGTTGGAAATAAGAGCAGCTATAATTGTGATTTTTATAAATCTTAACAATATCAGCATTCATTCGTTCATACGTGCATAGTCCGTACATTTTAAATAATCACTAACGTTTAGGTGTAGTACTACGTAGTTCTATGGTTCAACCTCTCCCTTAGACTTTTAATTGATTTGATTTTATTTGATTTGGGTCCACAAATCGCAGTTACTGTATATACTATTAAGTAAATGTATATCTAAAACTGTTAAACGCCAATCAGTGCTGCCAGAATTGTGCAGCATAAACTTTTGTTGATAGTGCACGTTGATAGGGTGAAAAACGTAACAACGTGTATACTCGTACAACACTGTATACTACGGTGATACCGTATAGAACCTTATAAAGATTGAATTAATAATGCAATACTGTAGTAATACCAGGTAATGTGCAGTTCTTCAATGCAGTGTTGCACAGCGTTCTATTAATGTAATTATCCATTATTCAACTCTATTTCACTGGCAGCTGAATCAACAAATGTGTTACAGGTTTCCAATGGTGCAATCGAAGAAAAATTAATGACTAATTACCAATCGAAAATCCATAAAAAGCCTACTTGCACGTTATCAACTTTTTCCACAGATCACTTTCCGTTTTTAAGTACTGAAGAAGGAACTTGTAAGTGTGACCAATTCGTGCCAAAAATGTTGTCCCGGATGGCGTGACAGACAGCATTCTTTTGCATAGCGCCGTGCGTGAAAGATTTCCAAAATTTATGAGACAGATGTAGGAGATTTCCAGGGGATCGAAACTCATAACTACTTTTGTGTACGATTTTCCGCATAACAAGCTTGCCCACAAAAGGTGTTAAAAAATACGGCCTTGTCACATTGTAAATCGCACTAATTCAATTTGTTCTCGCATTGGCACATGTCGAATTTCGCAGGCAGAAAATACAAGTGACTCAGCTTCTACGCGGCAAATAAATACAATAATACTTTCCAATAGAATGGGCAAGTTGAAAGCATATTCTATGCGATATTATGGGATCCTGCCATAATGCATGGACAGTAGCAATGATTAATTGTGTGACCTTTTCTATTATCATTTAGAATACCTATACCAAACATTTTCATTTTTTAAACACACTACCCATGTACATTTTTCCAGTATTCAATTTATTCAATAAGCGCAACCCATAAATACTGTTCAAATTTCACCAGGCTTTCCGAAATTTCCAGGTGGTCCAAAACCGGAAGAAAACGGCCCAACGCCCAAAACAGTCAAAATTTTAACAATAAATAAAAACATTCTCCCATAAACGTAATGCATTAAAAGCTTCCATTCAAAATGCAATCGCTCCGATATCGCAGCGGCAGAATTCTTAAGCGACGGGGTTCTGACACCAGTATCGTCCATAACAGCCTGCGCTGCCAATCGCGCAAACATCGTATACCGATCGTGGGGGTTCCCATGGACAACACAAATGGCTCGCACAAGATTCATATTTCGCATCACTAAAAATAGCGACTTCGGCATCGCCTTTACGGTTGCTTGGATTTTATCCACCATTCCCTCCATTTCGGCCCGAAACGCCTCCATGTCAGCTTTGCTGAATTCCTTCTTAAGACCAAGTAAAACTTTTTTGCCCTGTCCTATGGGGCGACCGACCAGTATGGACGCAAACAGTTTGTAATCTAGGACAAAGGAAAGGGAAATTAAAGATAAGCGCAATAATTTCACGATTCGGGGCACAACGATTCTAAAGCAAAGCCGCAAAAATAAGCGATAATTTGCCGCATGAACTACTACAAACCTGGCATGCCAATCTTATCGCTGTATAACTGCATTTCCGTGTGATCCGCCAGAACTGTCGCTTTAAATATGTGACAAATACTTATGCGAACATCTTCAGGGATTGTTTCATATAGACCATGATCGAGTAGGACGATCTGTGCGTGGCCAGATTTATCCGGTCGGATAAATATGTTTCCGGGGTGTGGATCGGCATGCACAAATCCGGATCGGAAGACTTGCTCACCGAAAATGGTTAGGAAATTTTTATTCACATCCGCGACGGACAATCCCATTTTGCGTATTTTATCAACTTCCGTTATCTTAGCAGCATGATCAATAAACTCCGTAGTCAATACACGATCGCTGGTGAGCTGCCATAAAACTTTAGGAACATAAAGAAAAGGAAGATGCGAGAGATCTCTTGCACACTTTTCAGAATTCCTTCCTACGACACAAAAACCTCAAATAATGCCCACTACGAAATCATCGTTTGCTATTATCCCGCAAAATCGAAACTGCAGTGAGCTTTAATTTATTCCCTAGAATTATATCTACATAAATCCCTCCCTGTAAGCAGGCGATATGTAAGATAAAGACGCTCACTGATATTAATCTTTTATAAGACCGAATCTGCACAAAATATTTATAATTTTTATTAATTTTGAGTACCTTCGTTAACGAAGTCTAGCTCCATCGCTAATGTCCCTTTGACTTCGCCAAATATCCAGTGACCCATGAACTGCGGGAACAACCAGTGCAGAACATTGAACACCATTTCCACCGTGCGAATATCGCCGTCATAGCGATCGCGCAGATCCAAATACTGACATTTAACAGCCACATCCATGCCGTCCTTCGTCGTTGCTCGAAATACTTGCGCTAGACTGGCAGCGGCGATGGGTGTGCGGTTGAGAGAGGAAAACAAGTCCTCTGGCGCGGCGCCGAAATCCTCCAGGAATAAATCGTCCAGCTCGTCGGGACGCATAACGAGCGCTTGATCCTGCAGCACTTGCAGCTTTGTGGCGAACTCCTTCGGAACCATATTAGCCATTCCGGCGGCGCTGACAGCCTGGCCCATTTTAATATACAATCCGCCATTTCTTAGCAATGTGGCCAGAACTCTATCTGCAGCTCGCTCATGGCAACCGGCTATCGCTTTGTTATAAACTTCGTCATCCTAAAGCGGTAAAACCCAATGCTATTCTTTCGAGGCATAGAATTAGTACAACGAAGCGATCAGCGCACCTCTTTTAAACCCCACAAATTCCATTTATAGTCAATGGCGGTCAGGCTTCCCGTCCAAACGGTCCTATATAATCAGACTTCACGCTACAATAAAATTCAATCCTTGCAGCGAAACGTACAATTCCAGCAAATGCACAATGGCGAATACAGCAGCACAACAAATTACTACACCTGAAAAATCTCCGAAACCCGTCAAACGTTCCCCGCAGCTTTCGCTGGGTACGGGGATCCAATGAAGAATAATATAACGCACCACCAAGCGCAAGGGATGATATTACAAGATATTTCCCATAGCGATCGGCAACTTTCCCTGATGGTTGGGTGGAGAATTTCGAAACTCCCAGCCATTTCTCGGTCGTGGGTCTTTTCAGGCATTGTTGATCAAATAGGCGTCGGATTGTGATTGCATTCCGGTTCATTGCGGTTAAACCACATTTAAATGACAGTTATATCTGATAATAGAAGACAATGTATGGATTCTCTTGTGAAGTTCGTAATTATCGATCGAGTTATAAATAAATTTTTATGTTGTATCAAGAACTTGCTATAGGTAGAAGGACTGGGAAGCGGCTCTGCAACGGTCGACTACGTCATCACTGTCGCATACAGAATGCACTGCTGTGCTATTGCTTACCATAGGCCCACAGTTTTTCTTGTCCCTTTCTAAAGATATTCTCAGTTCCTTTCTGCTCTAAAGCTTTCTGATATTTTAACAGATCATACTGAATTTAGAAACCCAAACATGAGGGGCTAGAAATAGAACAGAAAAGAAATATGCTGAGAAAACTGACAAAAACAGTAAAAAACGCGCATCTGTCACCGTGGCAGCCGCCCTCCCGTGTATGCGAGAGTGATGACGTCAAACGGTAGGTTACCAGTCCTCTCACACTATAGTAAGTACTTGGTTGTATAAAAATTTTGTTATGAAGTGTCAAACAGTCAAAGAACAGAAATGGACTCAAAAAAGGGGCGGAAGTCAGACGTGATAAAATGAACCGGTATCCCCTGCCGGTTGCGGTATTTATGAGAGTAGGTTACTTACTTCCCACCCCACGGTTCCACAAACTATGAGCAGTTATCGTGCTGTCGTTTGCTGCGGTTTGCAGTGGCTTATTGTTGTTTATTTCGAATTTTTGTCCAATTTTTTTTTACACGAAACAAGACTGCCGTAATTTCTTTAGCTAAGTGAAATGTAGTGAATCGTGGAATTCTGGAAAAACTGTGGTAGTGAGCTTCGTCGTTGCTGTAAAAAGCATTTTCTGCCTGCTACACAAGCTGGGAACGTCTTACCAGTCGCGACTACGGAGCTACGAGATCTGTCCTGAACTATAAAGCACTTACGTGCAGCATATGACTGCGCATTGTTAGCGGGAACTAAGAAGTTGAAGCCGCGCTCCAGTCTTCCGGACGAACGTAATCATCGACCAAAATGAATTTTCTTGGATTTGGGCAGTCTGCGGAGATCGACATCCAGTTGGATGGCGCGGATACCCGGAAAACGGGCGAAATACGCGTCGATGAAAACAGGAAAGAAAAGCTGCTGTTGTACTACGACGGAGAGAATGTCTCTGGGAAGATTGTGATCACCCTTAAGAAGCAAGGCCAAAAACTGGAACACCATGGGATTAAAGTGGAATTTGTGGGCCAAATAGAGCTTTTCTATGATCGTGGCAACCATTTGGAGTTCATATCGTTAACTAAAGATTTGGCAAGACCCGGAGAACTTACAGGTGGGACGTGTTGTTTACTCGAGAATCGTAAAATATGTGACAAAATTCAGCGCAGATCTGAGAACTAAGAAACTTAAAAAGATGGGCCTGCAAATACTTGTGTATTTTACCTTTTTATAAATATGCTGTATGTTTGCCATCGTCATAGATATTAGGGTCATTTAAGACACTGAATTATCTGGTGATACAGTAATCTGTAATTCTGAAATTTTGTGTCTATAAGATTATTGCAATATTTCTGGTTGCATTTTACGGTGTCATGGAAAGTTTGAAAGTTAAAACGTCCTTGGGAGAAAATTGTGGCTGCTCTATTATAAATACTGATTTAGAATTTTAAACATGTTTTAAAATTAATTAATTATTGTGTTTATTATTTCAGAAAATACGTCGTACAATTTTGAGTTTGCCCAAGTGGAAAAGCCTTATGAAAGCTACACAGGAAACAACGTGAAGCTGCGATATTTTGTTCGAGTGGTAATTAGTCGACGGATGTCGGACGTTGTGAAAGAGCAAGATATCCTCGTACATACGCTTTCTTCCTATCCGGATATTAATAACAGCATCAAAATGGAAGTGGGGATTGAAGATTGTCTACACATTGAATTTGAGTACAACAAAAGTAAATATCACTTAAAAGACACGATTGTGGGCAAGATTTACTTCCTTTTGGTGCGCATTAAGATCAAGCACATGGAGCTGGCTATTATTAAACGGGAACTGAGCGGCAACACTCCCTCACTCTTCCAGGATTCCGAAACCATTGCCAAATTCGAAATCATGGACGGCGCTCCGGTGCGCGGTGAAAGCATTCCTATTCGGTTGTTTTTAGCGGGATACGATTTGACGCCGACCATGAAGGATGTGAATAAAAAGTTTTCCGTACGATACTTTCTGAATTTAGTGTTGGTGGACGAAGAGGAGCGTCGGTATTTTAAACAGCAGGAGATTATCCTGTGGAGAAAGGGTGAAAAACTGCGGAAAGGCCAAATCGCACAGCCTACCAACGCCATGCAGCAGTATAAAGCCACGGAAGTGGTGCGCGGGAGCCCTCAAGAGGATGAGGACAGCGAAGATGAGGATTCTTGAATTCCGTATCCTGCGGTCATCCGTAGTCCGCTTTGCTCGGAGGCCCTGCTGTTTAGATGTCTAATGCTTCTTGCTCAGAACTAGAGTTCATATTATTCCGGCTGATTGGAAAAATGTGGGCCTTAATTAATTATTCCCTTTATGTTAATTTCCGTTCAACTCCCGACCTTCGATTTTGTTAATTTTTTAATGGTTACAGCATGCTTTCTTGTTAATTTATTGTAATTTGAAAACCTTGTTCGATGTTACATGACGTCGTTGTTGACAACGTGCATGGAAATGGATTTGTAGTTTGTGCTGTTTCATTTGCTTTTAACCACAGTTTTATCGCACCTTATCAAGGCTATCGTGATTTCGTTATAAACCAAATAAAAAATATTGGGTACCTCAAATTTGGGCTTACTTTGAAATTGGCGATTGTCTCGACCTGCCGCGGCAATAAGACGTAATGATTTTATCGTAGAAAGAGATGGTGAGGTCATCTATACAAATGTTTCTGCTTAAATTACTACCGTAGTAAGTAGTAAGTACTTCGCTCATTTTTAAACAACCTCTTTGCTACGAAATTTTAATTATTTTAGTGCGGACTGATTTTATGAGCATGCCTAACTGACCCCAGCTGGTCGTTGTAAATAACGAGTACCTACTACCTACTGTACCTAGTACTACATACCTACCCAGTACCACTTCCCAGAAATATGTAATATCTATACATTGCGCTTGCGCAGTTGCACTACTTTGTACGTAAATGTGATATTGCCATTGTTTGCATGCAGTTCTGTGCTTTTTTACGGGTTTGCCTATTTCGCTTTTGCCTGACGACATGTTTTAGTTCGAATAATGAGGATTTGAAATAATTACAACTATAAAGCTTATTTGTATCACGGTTAATATACTGATTAGTCTAATTAATTAGTTACCTAATACAGGATCCGCGTGATGGTGCTAAAGTAACGAGCAACGGATTCAAAAACAATTTGGCTGCGACAATATCAATGTGGCATTTCTCTGTCGGTGGTGGTGGTCAGTGCATTTCGGAAACCGGTTAAACCAAACCGTGTCCTTTTCCAGTACACATGTCAAAATGTGTTAAATTTTTTTATGTACTGACTTGTGAGTGACAGTGCCCTCTTCATAATTTTTCGTGCAAGAAATCTGTTTTTACGCTGCTTCAGTGAAATGTTGTAAACATCAGAATTTATTACGGCATATGGCGATTATTGCTGATTTATAGGTAACACCCCGGTAGGATCACTCATGCTCGATGTTTTCTGGAGCAAGACGGCACACAGCACCACCCCTCGCGTACCATACGTAGTCTGCTGCGCTTTTTCCTTCTTTTATCGTACTACCGTAGTACTACGGCGCGGTGATATTCATATCCTGCATTGCGGCCTGCGGCACGCACTGGAAAAATACAAAATAGCGCGACTGGTCGACCCAGTGGTATGCTATGCGCTGCCAGGACTGTGGGTGATCAAGAGCTGCACAGGATAGGAGGCAGAAAAACTTATCCATCATTCTGTAACCTGCCAGAATAAAGTCAACTTGAAAACAAAGTTGCAATTGCAGTTGTATGGCATCTTAAAACGCGACATTATTCCAGCGTCTGCGCTCCACATGCAGTGGTACGAGTCGCCGCTGCTGGAGTAGCACTTCCGTTAGTGCACGCTACCGGCCGATGGGCAGCGGTTGGTAATATTAGCTTGCGCACCACCGGGCTGCAGCAACGTGGGAGTTTCGATTTGTTTTTTTTTTAATTATGACAGTCACTACCGGACAGATATCCAGCCGATTATCCTGGCTTTGGTGAGTTTATTGTTAAGCCGCGACTACAGTGACAAAGTACTGTACTTACTTATAGGCTATAGCGATCTTTAAAAGTACAGCATACACATGAATTGTGGGTCCAGGAATAAAATACGACCGCAGCTAACGACCAATTTGTCTTGCAGAGCCGATTGTAAGCACGTCGCTAAAATTAGCCGCTGTTATGTCTCAATGCATGTCAGGCTAATGGCAGAGCGCACTATTCAAATATTATAACGGTTGACCTGTGGACCACCCCGAGCTATTCCGCTGCGCTGGAGTAGGCATTGCGCAGCTCCAGTGGCTCCGATCACAACTACCAGGCCAGCTTGTTTACATCCGTGCCAGTATTGCCAATATACTGTACGAGCTGTGCACACTGGGAAAATATCAAATTTGACAGTTTATCCTGCCGTTACGGATGAGAAGCTGGCCCGGGATCATCGTTGTTAACGTGGGCCAATTATCTGATGCTGAATGCCGAGACAAGTTGTGCGTCGCAGGACGTCAGTTATGCAACGGTAAGCGTTAATCTTGTCCTCTTGCGTTTGTACCCACTCTGTTTTCTTTTATCGCCGAGTGCCGAGTGGCAAGCGTCAACTGTGGTCCCCGTCTGTGGGAGTTTTCTCAAATTATCCCAACAGAGCCCATTCCATGGGCGCTTGTTATTCGTAACTTGCAGTCACGTTTTGTCTTTTTCGGCACTATTTTACTCGTCAACTCAGGCGTTCATATCATCTAAATGCAAATATCTATGCACTTGTTCGTTTTGCGGATGTGCATTTTACTGCCAGTTATTTTCTCTCACATAAAATTAATACACTTTTGCAGCTTAATAAATGAGAACATCTGCATATACGTCCGTTCTGGTATCGGTAATTGTAAAAAAGTAAACCATACGTGAACACCGCGATAACGGAAAAAAATATTATACTGTTTATGAATATAACTCTGAACTTGTAAATATGCCTTCTAAATATCGTAAAACTATAATCATGCATTGACATGCATTCATTAGAATGGTTTAACTTTATACGTTCAAATATGGCTTTGTAGCGAGTAAAATATGGCTTATACAAAACGTCATGGAAATTTACCCGTGAATCGTGATTTCACGTGTATGTTTGCATTGTACCCTTCGTTCGACTGTAGGTTTTTATTAGCATTGTGAATTCTGAATGTATGGTAGAACCTATGGCATTACCAGATGAACTTGAAAGTGAGATTAGATGCTGGATATATTATTTGAAAAATCTTGTCATCATCCAGGAAGTTCAGATTTTTTCTCCCAACAATCGATAAAGTGCTAATAAACGAGAATGCGCCATTCAGCAGATCTATTGTAATTTGTTTCGTGATGGTAAAAACTCTCACGGTAATCATAAAATTGTACGCGAAATCCATATTAGACTAGTTTGATAAATGGTGGGAACACAAAGAGGGACTTTCCCGGAAAGTCGAAAATGAACACGACCTGAAAGCGATCTTAAGTGGATTATTGCGATGGTAAATTGACTTCCAGTTGGTACAATTCGATCGAAGTAATAAAGATGCGGCAGCTGTCTTTCACGTATTTTTCTGGACGACTAAACAATAGTGACAAATAGTGCTTTTTGATCATTGCTGTTTCTCGTTAAATTCTCCCATCAAGTGAGCAACCTGAAACTGTCCAGTTAATGTATCCCAACTTATAAAACTTGTGCAAACAGATAGTCTTTAAATCATTTTTTGTGTGTACCCGCGCAGTGTGTGCAATGCATGCGGTTGTGCTTCCGGCAAAGTTTTTTTTACAAAATGCAACAATTCACTGCAGCGACGACTACAAAAACTAAACAATAACGATATAAATTGTTAAACCATTCTATCAAAGTCGTTACTTTGTTATTCCGTTATTCCGTTTTTCATACGTTACATAAATAAGCAGTAAAATATTATTAAGTCTGCGTCTGGATTTCGGAGGTGCTACTTACGGCTAATGGAGCCTTTAAATTTTAAATGAAGGCTTCGTTCGATACTTTGATTGTGCATTAATGACTGTCATTAATTTTTTCCATGCCCTTCAAAACTTCCTCATGTTGCATGATTGGTAATAATTATCATATTCTAGCTTTATATACTTTCGTTCGTAATAAACTGAATAAACTGTCGATTTATGGTAGATATTAATTAGCTGCTAACAAGTAGGCCTGCTCTAGTCATTCTAACATTAAAACAGTTGGCAACTGACTAAAACTTTATTCGAAAGCCTGAATCTGAACGTGCTGTACTGACCAAGTACTCTGTAGGGCCTTTAAGCGTACAATCGCTTATACGCCACATTATTTCGAAAACGCCGGGATGCAGTTGGTCTGTGCAATACCAATACTGATGATTGCGATGGGAGACCAACACTGAGTAAATGAGAAATTCGAACTTGTCCAATTTGTTCCCTTGATAGACGTTAAGTATAATAATCAACGATAACGCCCATCTTTTTTCCCGTGAGAGTATGGATGTAACAGCGGAAGGCGAGTCTAGTGCTTTATTTAAGTCCAGCTCTCTTCTGTCTGCCCTGATCCGATTTGGCGGGTCTGTTTTTCTCTGGAAGCTAGCCCGTAACCTCTTCTTTTCGATATTTCGACTGTTTTTAATCTGGCTACTCAAACAATATCGTTCCTTTGTGGTGGCTTTTGAACTTAATCGAGTTTGAAACGCCGTTCTGAAGGATGAATCCACAGCGATCTTGTTGTTTTACATTCGCTTGTACTGTAAACAACTTAACAGTCGAAGGAAATGTTTCGATTACGAAAAATTAATTAGGAAATTAAGTTAAGTACAGTACGATCGTGAGTACGATCGTAAAACACATAATATTCGTATACTTAATTAAGTTGCGCTTTCTCCTTTCTCATTGCATAACAAATTAACAAATGCTACAAACTGGAGATGCTCGATATGAAGCGGTGTACTAACGATAAATACTGTATATGAACGCAACATGCCGGCACACTGGGTGAAATGATGTACTGCGTATTTTGCAATTATGTGCACAAATTACAGCTTTCCGGTATTCGTACTGGTTATTATTTTTAATGAAGGGATCGATTTTTGCGGACGACGCTACATACTGTAACTCCCAGCGGATATAAAAGAGGATGCTGTTTGTGTTCAAAGTTGGGTGTGAGCTTCGAGCAAGTGGGATTTGAAATTTTTGTTTTGGAGAAATAAATAAACTTGTTAAAATATGACGAATAATGGTTGCGCTTGTGTGTTGCGCACGCAAAGAGGATTACCTCTGCTTGGTGTGCGAAGTGGTTGTAGAGAGCACCTACTCGCTTTAATCCTATCGCGGGAGTATGCTGTTTTGTCCGTATGATTGGTACCAAAGTGTCATGAAACTAATGGAGCATGGAGACATCGCGTATAATAAAAAAGAAAAGTTAGTGAGCGATTCTTTCGATAGTATTATTGATTGCTCCCAAACATGTCGCCGTTTGGACCGCTCCATGAGAAAAATTCTAAACTCGGGATGCCTCCTGTGCTACTGCAATAATTCGATCACTGACTATTGATTTACGGTTGTGAATAAACTGCGGGATGAACTTGGGCCGCGGTAGCATATTGATGCGCTACTTATTTACCCATGTATTGTACTTACCAAAGAGAGATATGCCGTGGCAGTCACTATCGGCAAAAAATGAGAATAATGATATGTGCGAGCTTGTGAAAAGGATCTCCCGGCTGCAGATAAATCGCGTATTTAATAAAAGAAAAGTAAACCTAAAAGTGTTGGCGAATACACAGCGTGTTGTTCAGCAATACTAATTTTAAAGACAGTTTTATATATTTCTTTATTGTATTTTCAGCTTTTTTCTGCATCTGTACTATTTATATGTATAGCCACAACGCTTATACTCGTAGAACAGCCTCAGTAGACGATAGAAAACTAGCTAGCATGGCATCGGTTAACGTGATCTAAATAGAATACAAAAAATCGATACTTGTACTATTGGTAAGTAATTAGGGTATCTCTCCTCATACGGCCATATTCCACCTAGCAGCAACTATGTCATAATAAGTTTTCATCACAGTTATTAAGTATCTGCAAAACTTGAAATGCCATAACTGTAATACAGCACAAATATATGCATATGGGTAAAACATGCATAGATGTGCTACAAAGTGTATTTGTGTGTATGTTTATCCTCATGAAGCGAGATTGTGCATGTACCCACCGGCTACGGACTTACATAAAGCTTTTATAATTAATAATTTATGGGTTGTTGCCTTATTTATCACGGTATCCCGGGGCGGCCAGTTTACTACCAATCGAAATCCTGTAGGAAAATCATGCGTCATTAATAAATGTAGCATACAATTTTTTCCTTTTGCAGCTCTGCTTTCAGTTCTTGTACTTATTGTCTTAGCAGAAGGAAGCCACTAGCAGCACCATATTGTATACTTTTGCAGGTACGCCCAGTTCCTTGCTAACCATCCGTTCGTTGTGTTGTCAGCGATATTTGCCGGCAATATTATTGTTTTACTGGTGGTTATTTGCACAGACAACATCCCATCGTTCGACGATCCTCAAGCGGTACGATAAACTTCTCCGTAATTCCACTCAGAATGTGCATACTATATTACAAAGGAACGGAATCTAAGCCCCCCAGTATAAAGCCTTTGACGTCACCGCTATGCCTGCCAATATTGAAACTGCTTAATGATTTATTTTCAGGGATTCGTTGCGCGCGGAACTGCGATCGGTCAACGGATGTTGGCTTTTGAGAATCTGCTTTCTGAGCTGCTACTGGAGGACAAGACTTCAGATAATGTTATTGGCAATAGTCGTATTCCGGCGGCTGTGCATTCCCACAGCGGAGGTCAAGAGATCATCGCGGGATATCGCCGAAATAATACTATTGAGAGCCACCCAGCGGTGACACCAGACGATGATGATGATGATGGCCAATTGGCCAGCCGGAACAGACGCAGCACCATTACGTCTGATATGTCTCCAGTTGATGCTGGGTTTTTTTGCTCAAATCCAGGTACTTAATGACGGGGATTTGTGCGGTGTTATCCATTCGTTCAAGCCTCTTAGGAGCTATTTCAAGCCGATTACATCAGACCGTTTCAATCGAAGTTGGGAAATTGTTTCACATAGAATGACAACTTAGGACGCTTGGCGGAAATTAGACAGCAAGTAGTGCCGAGCGGAAGTAGCAGGGCGCATTAATCATAACCCGCAAGATGGACAGGAAGAACTCACAACTTTTATTTGGTCGTTGAGTACTTCCGTGACAGTAACACCTGTCGGACGTCTTTCCCATGTGTAGGATACGTTTCGCCTACATACGCACGAGTGCAGCACTTGCTTGAAGACTGTACAATTTACAGAAATTAACTGCACAGCTGTCTCAATATCGCTTGAGAAAAGTTTGGCATTTTGTTTGTATTGTAGGGCGTATTGTGTTTCAGCTATATATAAATAATAAGCATTAATTATGAGGAGCATCTTGGTAATTCTCAAAAATCTACACAGAAGGGTCATGTTTTGCAGCTGTCGGATAATTATTCCTTTCTTAAAGGAAAGCAAAAAATTAGGCGCAGAAAAGTAGAACAAACTAATACTTAGCCTACTGCAGCTGTTCTGCAGGATGCTAATAACTGTAAAACCCCTTGGTAAAATTTTGCCAGCAAATGTTTGTTATGAAAGACTTCTAACGAGATGTGTTTGACGGTTAGAAAGGAATCGCGCACGGCTGGTTATTTGCACCACATCTGGAGATAATCTAATCAACGAAGGAAAATTACGTGCAATTTGCGAGCTGGATAGGACTATTCGCGGCTTGCCGGAATTCCTTTCGCTGGCGGAGCGCGATGCTAATCAAAAGTATTGTCCTAGTTGGACGCTGACGAACTATCTGATGGCCCTCACCAACCGGAAATCATGCCACCACTTATCACACAACGACGTCAGCGAGTTGCGCAACATGAGCGCGGTGTGTGTGCCCTTCTACCGCGCGGGTCAACTGCACCGGCATTGCTGGGACGGTCACAACCTGTGTCCAGATGTGCCGGACATGTGCTGCCGCGAGAATTGGTTCTATCATGTACTGCATTACATCACAGATGACGACGCGCGTATGAGCAATTTTACCCGCTCCCAGTGTTCCTTGATGCTGCTTCCGGTATGGAGCGGGCAGGTGGCGTTGCCATTGTACAAGGCCCTCCACCAGCACAATCTGACAGTGGAAGGAGCGGGCGTGGTGGGCATCGAAATGGGCTTGAAGGATTCCTACCTCGATGTTCGATTGTGGGAAGATAGTGTGCTGATGTTGTTGGCACTGGGAGCGGTTCTGATTATATTGTGGATTTACGTGGCTTCCCTGTTTGTGACGATTATGAATGCTCTGGCTGTGTTCTTTCCGATATTGCTATCCTATTCGCTCTACAGTTTTATATTTCGGTTGACTTTCTTTCCGTTCATGAACCTTCTAACGTGCGTTATCATGATAGCAGTCGGTAAGTCATATTTATTCTTGAGGCGTTGAGTTTGCTTTTAAATCTTGGTATGTTTAATGCAGGAGCGGATGCGCTGGTGATTTATGCAAGACTATGGACACTGGCAAAATCTGAGAAAAACGATGGAAAATTTGAGAAAGTAAGGTTGATGACAGCAAAACAACAATATCATTGTCTTCTCCTAATTGTTTAGTGTATGATCAGACTTCCAAATCCATCTGAAACTATGTATTTTATTTAGGTGGTGTACGAAACGATGCGGCATGGATTCCAAACCATTATGATCAGCAGTCTGACTGCGGCCAGTGCGCTTTTCGCCGACGCTGCTAATCCCATCGTAGCGATTCGGTGTTTCAGTATTTTTTCTGGACTGACCGTTCTGGTCCACTATATTTTTGTTGTTACGTGGCTGCCGGCCACGGTCATCGTTGCCGACAAATGGGGCTCAAGCTTGTACAGTTGTCGTCAGGTTTTTCTGCAAAAATTCTGTGATAGTAAAGTGCCTTTATGCCAGTGGCTGTTTCATTGCCACTACATTGTGCTACCTTTTCGTCAGTTCGCAGAATATTTTCGAATATTTTTCGAGAAACTATTACCTTGCATCATTATTCGGTTGAAATGGATTTGGATTGCTCTGTTTGTTGTTATGACGGCTGCTGCGTGCATCAACGTATTCTATTTTCCACGGTTACAGTTGTCAACTAGCCGGTGGCTACATTTGTGGGATAAACGCCATCCTTTCGAACAGTATGGTATGCTGAAGGAAAGGTTTGACTTCGAAAGGGAGATCACGGATATCCAGCGCAGGTTGCCCATAAGATTTGTCTGGGGAGTCATACCTGGCAACACAGCGGCCATGCTGGATCCGTATGATAAAGGACTCCTGGAATATGACCACGAAGTTGATTTCCTTTCGGAAGAAAGCCAGTCATGGATGCTGCAATTCTGTGATGGTCTTAAACAGCAGCCATTTGTGTCCCAGAATACCGGTACGGGTGAATAGCACTCCTGCAGTTTTCTGTACACAAGAACAATGTTTTGTTCGCCTTGCTGTACTGCTCGTGCAGCCACACTAATAAAGTATTATAAATGCGGAAGAAAATTAGCGTTAATGAGTATTGAAAAACGACCGCGGCTTATTTCCGTATTGTTTTCAGATTCTTTTTGCTATATGGCGGCATTCAAGCGATGGCTGGAGAATGTGGAATGCTCCATTGCTCCGATTTGCTGCGGAAATCTGTCATTTCCGCTGAATCCGCTCACGTTCCATCAGTGTTCCCAGATTTTCCACCGCACGTTTCTCCATGACAGCACCGGGACCAAACTCTCCCATGGACCAAATTTCGATTCTCAGGGACGTTTTCAGTCGCTGATAGTCGCCACCGAAAGCGCACAATCGTTCTCCTACATCTATCAGGAGATAAAAACATTTTACGACAGTGTCGACAGTTGGTTCCAGTCACAGTTATCCTCCGCACCGGTCGGTCTTAAGAACGGATGGTTTACCAGTGAACTGGAATATTTTGACCTTCAAGATTCCTTAATTAGCGGGACCACTAGCGCATTGGTTATCGCGTTTATTGTTGCTCTCCTCGTGATGTTTCTCACAACGTTAAATGTCTGCGTCAGCATTCTGGCCATTGTGACCATCGCATGCATTATGGTGACCAGCGTAGCTGTGCTTGTTGTGATGGAGTGGAAACTGAATGTCCTAGAGTCGACTATTATCACGCTGGGGATTGGTTTATCTGTAGACTTTACGTTACACTATTCCGTGGCTTACTGTTGCAGTGAAGCCGACGAACGCGAATTAAAGACCAACCACCTTATCACGGAGATGGCCAGTCCGGTGACTGTGTCGGCTTTGACGACCTTTCTAGCCGGTGCCTTCATGGCGCCTTCAGACATACTCATCTACCGACAGATTGGCCTCTTTATCATGATCGTTATCAGTATTAGCTGGGTGTATTCCACTGTCTTCTTCTCAGCACTGTTGGCTGCCATCGGACCCCAAGCGGACTTCCTGCAGCTGCACTATCCGTCCTGCCCGCTCCTGTGCTGCCGTACGGATCCCTCTAAACTGGTGGAGAAATCCCTGCAGTCCTCCATTGAATTTACCACCCACATGATCTCGCCCCGCTCAGAGAACGATCTGCCGCGGCGGGCCGTCCATGTTCCACCGCTGCCGCAGCCGTTGTCGGTCGCCTCGGTCACATCGGTGGCCGAGACGCCGGAACCGGCGCCCAAAGTCCTGTTGACCCTGCATGTTGATCCACAGGAGGCCGAGGAGGATCTGGATTCCGTCGGGGAGTTGGGCTCGCTGCCCACCTCGCGGGGACCATCGCGTGGCGCATCGTTAGTACGGAAGCACAGTCGTGGATTGTTTTCCTGGGATTATGTCATGCAGAAACTGCCGCTGACCCGGCACTTCTCCGTGACCAACAGTAGTGTCATGTACATTGATGCCGATGTGCGGAGTAATGTCTCCGATAATAATCCTGATATGCCCGCTGTGATGCCCAACCTACGACCGGATGTCCCGGAAGTCTGGGTTAGAAGGACTGATTGAGTGTTTAAGTTATTACTCCAAATTTGACCAGTTGTTTTTTTACATGAACATACGGTGTTGTGGACCGGATTGGCGTATTGCGTTATCACTACCTTTCGCAACTGTTTGTATTAATTAGGTCACAACTTTAACATAATAATGGCTGTTTTAGTTGGTTTTGATGAACACTTTTACTTTGTACATTACAGTACATACAACTAAAATTATTTCCATTCTGTTGCGAAATTTAGTTAGATGAAATACGGGAGTGTTGCGACCCTTTTTGTTTCTTTGATATGCTAATAAAATCAAAGCGTTGAGCGTTTGTTGTTTGGGGTATCGTAAACCTGTTTGTTCGTCATGTTGGTTAAGCGTTTCATCGTTTCACCAGGTAGATACAGTAAATAGAAAACGTATGACTCAACGCATTTCGTAGACGGAATGCAACAATGATTTTCGACATAATGCATTATCATCGAATAAGTAGCAAGCGCCACTTGATGCATTAAAGATTTCCACGTTTGTATTCCTCCATATCCATTCAGCAGCTGCAGGTAGCGCGGGAGTTCGGTTTTGTTTTTATCGGCATTCCATCTTTCAACCGAATGTCCTTGAGGATACCAATGGCTAGCGGTGATGATCGCTGCTAAGAGAAAATTCCCTGATAATTAATGATTATGGGAAACAGATTTCTCGCTTGCGCCGAAAATGTTGCCATATATACCAGTAAGAGAACATGTTTCGGGAAATTTTGGCTACTTCTCTTCCTGATCTGCGTAAGCGTGTCTCGAACGTCAGTTAATGGTCATAGTATCCCTGTGGGGGCGGCATACGTGGGAAGTGGGTATGACATTTTAACGGGAAATCCAGAGGGAGCCAGTTTCACCAGTGGTGGCCTGGATCCGGGATTGAAGGCGGCCAAATTTGTTCTGGAAAAGACATTTGGCCAGGCGTCGGGTTATTGTCCAGATGAAGCCACCTGTGTCGAACTGGGAGGCACAATTTCGCAGGAAACCTTCACACTAACTGCAGACCTGCAACAATATAAAAGCGAATTCTCAGCTTTATGGGATATAGACAACGATGCGAACGTGAGGTCCTAACTGGCCATAATAATTCATAACATTTCATGCGAAGGTGTAAACCGTTTTGCAGTTTTATTTTTATTGCACTTTTATCGATGCAGTTTTAAAAATGCATTTCTACGAAGTTTACAAATTAACAGGAATTTGATAGTTTTACAACATGCGTTTCAAATTGCTGTAATACAGACGTCGCATACGAGCTTACATTATTTTTCTGAACGTACCGTTAAAAATTAATAAAGTTATTATAGTTAATGCATAAGCATAGTTATTATAGTTAATGCATAGTGTTAATACATAATGTATACGCTACAACTATTCAGAAATTTTCATGCCTGAGCAAAAATTTAAGAACAGTTTATTATTATTCTATCTGCATGATATTGTAGATACTCATTGCGTCATTTGGAGGCACGTTAAGCGCATCGTATAAAGAAGCGAAAAATCTTATTAAAGCCCAAGAAAAAGTTATCCTAAATGCTCATCGCATATCCATTGCCGGTGACATCACATATAATGTGCGCAGTTATCGGAAATTGGGATCGGAATTCCTGGATGCGCTGTGCGAGCTCCCATCCAACTACTCGCGGAATGATTACATAAATTTTCTTAAGGAATGGGGCACGCATGTGATCATTGGCGCCAAAATTGGCATCCGCGAATCAGTACGACAGGAATTTACAAAAAATGTCGTAATCAACCATCTGCAAAAAAACCAGAGTTATACAATCAGCAGTCGCGGAGGCGTGCTATCGTTTATCACATCCTCTTTGACCGGAACTGTGTCGGATCAAATTATTGACGATCTACGGTCCGGAAAGGAATCGCTCAAACGCTGGATTACGGCAATGGGATCGCCGGCTAATCCCGCGCCAATTTCACTAATGCTCCGCGGCATCGAAAAGTTCATCGTTGCCGGAAGTGTACTTAACGATTCAAGGTTACTAAATTAATGTAGAAATTCAAAGCAGAGTACAATGTAACGTCATAAATATATACGAAGTATGCAAACTTAGAAATAGTAATACATAGGACTACTCGGTATTATAAATTTATAATTGTAAATTTGTAATTGCCATAATAAGGTGCATGTTGCGCGCTGTGTATAGGTTATCATAATGCATTACTGTGTATTTCTGAGGCGTGTGCTGAACTTCTAACGGCAATCTAAACTTTGTAGTTGCAGTACGATACGAATAACTTATTTATCGAAAAAAATTATGCAAAATTTGAACGATACCGGAAGTGATACCTACAGTCAAAATGCAAGTGTAACGGAGCTTGTTGAGATATGGGTACACCGTACATCAGCCGTGCCTGGGATGTGTAAGAACTGATTGTAAGGACAATTATGCAGCAGAACACCGGCGTTATGGACAGGATGCGCAACTACCTGATATGTATGCGTGTTGCACATATCCCGTATATAATGTATGTGTAATACTTGCTTGTTAAATGCACAGTTACGCGTCAGTATAATATAGGTATATTTCTATCCACAATAAATAATAAATAATTCTGCTTTTGCGCAAGATAATATATCTCGTTAGCGCGTAATAATGGGCATTAAACCGATAGAAATGGGTGCCCCCGGCTGCAGACGGATGCGGATATTGCGCTATTCCGTGCCAACATCCAGCACGCTCTGACCGAGTATCCCGTTGTTACGGGGGCGGAGATTCCGGCGCCTGTCGTGCGCACAATGAAGCTGACGTGGCCGCGGGGTAACTATGCGCTGTTCATGGCTAACACCGGCTGTCCGGAAGGCTATTGGGCCGACGGATCACGCTACCACGACACCGTCGACCGGTTTCCCAATAACCAGTGGTCAGCACAGTTCGATACGCTGACCAGCAGTTCCTTCTGGTCCAACAACCTGAATCTGCAGTTTTGTACTAAACTGATAGATTTCGACGAGAATAGTCTGGACTGGCCGCAAGGCGCTTATTGCTTCTTTAAGAAAGGCGAATGTCCGGCCGGCTTTGACCTGGGCAGCTACTATGTGGACGATGAATTCTTCTTCAACCGCAATAGTTATTCAGGGACACTACCGGATGGGGAATATTACAGGAAGACCAAGTATTTTTTCTGCTGTCGGGATGATGGAGCGCTGAATAAGCCTATGATCTTACCCACGCAGAAACCGTTCTTTTTGTTCCCAGTTGGTCCGGCGTGTCAGACAGTGAACGGCATGACGTCATCGCTGCACTGGCTGAAGATACACACGATGTGGAAAGGTTGGACTACGATGACCGGAAAGCATCCGTTTGCCACAGCCGACACCAAGACTAGATGGACATGGTACTTCTGCTATTACACAGCTACAGAGTAATTGTTAAACTGTAGTCACGTTCAGAGTTTTTATGGCTTGCTGTACTTCTACTGGGAATGGGTAATACTGCAACAGTGTGATCCCGACTGAACTGAGACATATCTGTATAAAATAATTACCATACACGGCAGTGACGGCACAGTTCCCATCCGCACATTTCCTCGTACCAAATTTCAGCAAACACATGCAAACATCACTCCACGTTTAACAACATCGAAGGTGTTTTACGTGTATGCGCACACTTGATGTTTACGCACCTGCCTTTCTACTTCAGCATATAGAAGTCCTTCGACCCTTTTACTTTTGATTGCATCTTCATCAGTTTGTTTTACCAGATTTGCATAACAGATGACCGATAATTATAAAAAATGTACTCAGCAGCTTGGTCGATTTGATTCCACTGCCCGTATTGTGTACAAGCAATCATCACAACACATTATTCACATACTCAATTTTTCTTTGGCGCCCCATATTAACAACGTAATAGAATTTCGTAACTGTTTCTAAAGGTTAACCAAAGCAAATGCCAAACAATAATAGGATGATGTACATATAATTTAATCATGCATTAAAAAGCTGTATTTCTATTGTTCAAAAGAAACAGAACCGGCAGGCACTACACCTTACCGAATCGATCGATCGATTTTAGCAATTGGTCACACTATATATGTACCAGTAGGTGCAAGCTGCTAATTTAGCACTAAAATGCGGTGCGCCAGAATGCTCAAGCTGTCTGGATGGGCAATTTGATTGTTATTAATTAACCTATGTAACAACAAAAATTTCTTCTGGAGGCATACACTAAGGCAGGCATCTATAATTAACCACCGAAGTTGAGAACAGAAAATCTAAACGATAGCTGCAGTTTTTTGTCCACATAAAAACATGGTTTTATGCATAAAAATATCGGCAACACCTGCATAAGAATGACGTATACAACTTTGCTAATCGGAATTTATATTCTTACGGAACGGAATGCATATTCTTCGCACTGAATGTCTATGTGTATCATTGCGAGTAGATATTTCAACAGCAACATTTCAAACCATTCGTATTTGTTGTTAGATCCTTTTACAGGTGCAAACTTTAACATATAAAACTAATTACAGCTGTCAGTACTGCTCCTAAGCCCGTAAAAAAATGCAGAGAAAACTGGCAATCATCGTAGCAACTGGATTATGGGCGTGAATCCGATAGCTTACAGTTAGGTCACCGGATCCACAACATCACCTTCGTCACCTTTGAACGGTATATTCACATGACATTGGTTTATGCAGAGTCTCTCATTTTCACATGGCGCTCCGGAGCAGCGAACTCCTAAGTCTGTAAGTAAAGAATCATTTACAAATTAAATTTATCGCTTTACATTGTTAATTCACAAACCAGGATTTGTTTAACAGCAATTTGTACTATTAATTACAGAAAACTGACTGAAAACTGAAACTGAGTTACTGAAAACTACAGTAAATTGTTACTGAAATTGTACTATTAATAACAGAGAGAGAGTTGTTCGGCGTTTGAGATAAGTAGATTAAGATAAGTACAAACATACTTGGAAAGCGATTAAGGTAAGTGGCCAAGTCCACCCCAGAACCGGAGAAACTTTCCGTGTTTCCGTTTGTTCCGTCCACAAGGCAGGAAGAAAGCAGTCTCGGTCTTCCCGAGAACGCTAAAACGTTAAAATAATAAGTGGGAATTAAAAACATTTTTGACACAGATATTTTATGTAAAGTTAGCAACATACATTGCAGTTTCTGGATTGCCGCATTGCAGTCACACGGGCGCGCTCCGGTAGCTGAAACCAGATAGAATTTTTGTGTGGAATTAAGGCCGGTGTGGATTAATATAGTGAAATAGAGAAATAGCCAGGAAGGTACTAACTATTGTCATAGAAAATCTTGTTGGCTAAACTGGCGACATCGGGATATCTGAGCCCTTTGTTATCGCATCGCTCCCGAGGCTTTCCAGGAGGACATTGTGGCGGTACCGGTACCTGTCCGGGATAGCCAGGCGGAATCGGAGGAATGTTGCCAGGTTGGCTGTTGGGATCCTGAACGGGTTGTGCGAGGCTTATTGAGCAGACAAATCCTGTAGCAAATTTCAATTTGTTCGACACAGGATATTTCAACAATTGTGCATGCAACTAAATCAATCGGCAGAATAAAGCTTTAAGGCAGTAAAGAGTGGTACACAACAAATACGATTCAATACGAGTGTAAGGAGACTAGAGTATATTCCCTTGGAAGAACGTTTATTTAACACTAATCTATACCGCATTTTCTACCAGTAGCATGTATGGTCATTGTCGTCCTTATTAGTGTCAATTTTAGTGCAAATCTTAGTTAAAATTAATGTGCTGACCATCTAGTTTACAGGTAAAGGTTAAATAATGGCTTTTAAAGGTTAAGCTTTAAATGTGTTCTGCTGGTAAAGCATACCCGCATAGTTACAGCACTTTAACAATAAGTTTCTACAAAATATTTTATACGCTTATTAGGTAATTGGTACATACCGATCACCAGAAGCGCAGAGTACCGCGGAATCATTGTTAATTACTGAAATCCTAACAGAGACGTTGAATAAAAATTAGTATTCTGAAATGGTCAAATGAATAGTTTGGAACACTCGTTACTGATGCGTTTAATCACAACACAAGTGAAAATCACCGAGTATTTAGTAGTACACGACCATAACCTTAAATAAACAATTACTTAGTGTCAAAAAAATTATGGAGATAACGTCGTGATTAAGATAACCAATGGATTGTATCTGTTAAGTCGAGTTTTTGTATTACGCAACAGCTTAGAGTGTGCTCCACAGGCTTAGGCATCCGTAACAAGTAGTGCAAAGGTCACTAGTGTTAAATAAGTAAAAAATTAAATGCGCGATCATTCAGCGCGTTATCACATTTTAGTATAAATGTCGAACGATCCTGCACGACGATGTAGGGCAAAAAATGTGGTACAGTGATTTGCATAAATTCGGAGTAATTCCCATAGACTGGCATACTATAATATTTATTTTGTAAATCTAACTTTCTAAACTTCAGGTCATAATATCATATTTCATTATTTATAATGCATTTATTAATTAAGTTGCTGAATATTAGTACTGCAAGCAGTACGTAACTGGTAAACTGCCACAAGTAGGGCAATGCATATCGCCAAGGATACAAGGACAATCAGGTTAATTAAAAATTTGTGGTTTACACTTTTTACTACTAAGTAATTGAATAAAGGGCCATTATACCGCGTTTTCGATGTTTTTGAATTCTCATGTTAATATATTTTTACATTTTCTGTCAGTTGATAACGGACCACCTGTAATGCTCACCTAAAAAATACTGACAATACATGACCCGACGATCCATTTACATTGATGCAGCCAGCCAACGCACAGCTAGCAGAAATCTGTTCTTTCGAACTATGTAATCATTGTTATGTTGTGGTCGGTGTAGTGGTGTACTATGTTTTTTACTTACAGTATTAGCATTTGAACAGTATTACCAGTATTAGCAATGAAATATATTTATTTGCATTACCGCACCTGAAAATCTGCTTTAAAGTAAGTACTGTATACAATTGTATAATATTGACATCAGGCTTACTAATCAATATGAAAATTAATGATGATTGTTGCGTTGCATGTTCAAAAGACAGTATAAAGGATGTAGTCATGCATTGTAAAATTATTGTTAAGTGAGTCAGGTCACTCAGGTGTATACCAGATACCAGATGTACTGTATACCAGAATAATGTAAGAGTATACCAGATTCAAAATCTGTACGTACCGGACCGTCACTTCAAACGAGAAACAACCGAGAAAGATTAGCTGACGACTGCGTTAAATGTAGTCATACTGCAAAAATGCAATTGTTTGAGCCATGAATACCTGTGCCATATATTAGTCATAGTTATTAAAAATAATAATACCCGTCATTTCTCAGAGCGTTCCTCATTTTTATGGTGAGGAACGCACATGAAACAGGTACGCAGGTTCGGTTTGAACTATCTGCATACTAAAAACAAGCTATTGATAGGCACCTTGCTAACTGCGGTGCTACAAGTTTATTTGAGCGCAAAACATTTTCTGACTTCGTTTTGGAAAATGTGCAATACATTTGTTGCTTCGGACTGAAAACACCGCGCTGATGTGCTAACCGGAAAAATTAGAGTAGTCTCTCTTTGATTTTTGTCCATATTGATTCCAACGCTTCTCTCGAAAACATTAACTATGGCTCGACTTTTACTCCTAGTTAAATCAATAAAGTGGTATTCATTTGCCATGTTAAACTGGAATATACTCGTAACATTTGGAATTTATAAAGCCATTACAGGACAAAGTGTTCCTGCAGGAGGAGCGTATGTGGGATGCGGGTAAGTTGTGCAATGAGCACCAGTTACAGTTTTATATTTTGGATAAACGACCGTTGATAAAAAAGAAGTTGGCAACGTGTTTACAACTTGTTTTTTATCTCCGGTCGCTAACTACAATGCCCGCAATATACGAGTACAGTATTTGGGTATTGTCCTTATTCACACAGTAACTTTTTCAGTTTTCGCTAACCGGTTTTAAAAATTAATGCTGTATCGTCCTGAAATTACATATGTGCGTACAATATTGTGATACCTTTGTAGTCAGTACATACAGACTACAGAGTATTTAGTTATATACCTAATTACACAGGTACGATGTTCTCTTTGGAAATCCCGATGGGGCCAGTTTTACTAATGGTGGGGCGGATCCTGGCATACGAGCAACGAAATTTATTTTACAAAAGTCGTTTTCCGGTAAAGATTTCTGCCCTTTTGAAGCAACTTGTGTCGGGATCGGAGGAACTTTCTCTGAAGAAGTTTTCACTCTGCAGGCAGACATGCAGCAGTACAAGCAGGACTATACAGCTTCGCTAACTAGTGACAGCCAAGCAAATGTAAGAAAGGGATTCACATCAGCATTTCACCGGCACTAGCGTTGATCTTGAAAAGAATGCCGCCTCAAAAAGTATATATATACGAGACAAGAAGCACTTGAAATTATAAAGAAATTTCTGACCGATTATTCATAACACGTTTATTAACATTTATGCTTATAATTAATTTATAATCATAATCGGCTTTTTTGCCTCGTAAGGCGGTAATTCATTTTATTGCATCTGTCGAAGGAAGTGCTAACAATTGTAAATGACTTCGCTCGTGCCTGTCCTTTAATGCTTTTTTAATTATTCGTTTTGCAACTACAGATCCATATGCTTTTATGTTACTTCGATGGTTGTTGCTTAAAGTAATTTTGTGTAGATTTAAGGAATTTATACGAGTAGTTTCATTAAATAATCTCATTACCTTTACTTTTCAATGCGGTTATTCGTATCGCTTCAGTTGTTCGGTTGTCGTTTCAGATACTGCTTGCGTCCTATGGCGGCGTTCTAAGCTACTGTTCAAAAGAAGCCAAGGAAATTATTGAAGGTCAAGAGAAAATTATCCTAACCAAACGGCGTGTGACGCTTTCAGCAGAAGCCAGCTATCGCTACCGCGAAAACAAGGAACTGAATACGGAATTTCTTCGATCCCTGTGCGAGCTGCCAACGGAGTACACCGTGACGGACTACAGTAACTTCCTAATGGAATGGGGCACGCACGTCATCATCGCCGCCAAACTCGGGATTCGCGAGTCCGTACGCGAAGAGCATTCCAAGCAGACCATTATCAATTATCTGCAGCGCAATCAGAGTGGTGTTCTCACCAGTAAGGCGAATGTCTTGTCCGTGCTCAGTACGTCCCTCACCGGCTCGATTTCGTCCACGGTCATCAGCGATCTGCGCAACGATAACATTGCTGCGCGCCGCTGGACATCCGCAACCGGTTCGCCCATCTCACCGGCACCGCTGGCTCTGACGCTACGTGGCATGGAAAAATTCATCACCGCTGACTACATCAACAGTAGCCTATGCCCGGCAGTGCAGGGGAAAAGCAACATTGAACAGCTGCAGAAACGCATCATGCAGGCTCTCAATGATTATGCGGCGGTTAACGGCGCAAAATCTCCCGAAGCAATGGTACGCTCCGTACCGCTCGTGTGGCCCAAAGGCAACTACGGTCTACTAATGGCTCGTGCCGGCTGCCCGGCTGGCCCGTGGTCCACCGGCAGCCGCTATCATGACACACAGGATAATCGACCAAATAACGGCTGGTCCGACGGATTTGAGACGATAACCGCCAGCGATCTGTGGAAAAACAACCTCAGATTGAAGTTTTGCGTCAAGCAAATTGAGTTTGACGAAAATGCGCTGGATCTGCCACAAGGATCCTACTGTTTGTTTAAGAAAGGCACGTGTCCGTTTGGATTCACTGTTTCTGATGCGTACATTGATGATGAAGATTTTGCCAATCAGAACGATTACGACGGGACACTGCCCGATGGTCAGTATGACCGCAATACCAAATATTATTTCTGCTGCCGAAATGACGGTGCGGTTAGAAAGCCGTTGTATCTGCCGACTGATCGGCCATTTTTCCTAATGCCCATGGGACCGGCGTGCCAGACTGTTGCCGATATGACATCTGCACTGCACTGGCTGAGGATCGATGGAATGGGCAAAGGATACAGCAAAGTCTCGGAGAAAGGACCGTATTATACGGAAGATAAAAAGAATAACTTGACGTTTTACTTTTGTTATTACGCGAGGTCAAACCAAACTGAAGTGCCAAGTACTAATGCAACTATTCCATAGAAAACGTTAGACCACTTAAATTTTAATATTTATTTTAAATTTTCTGGTAAATATTTTAGTTTGAAAACAGATTGCTAAAATGAATGTCTCTCCCCATTAACAATGTTTACGTGAAACCAAAAATCTGTGTGTTTCGGGTGAGCGAATCACAAAAAACGGCATGTGATACACAAGAGTGCTCGTCGATTCATTCAAATCACTTTCGCGCCGACTGATAACGTCTGCGCAGTTAGATTTTATCTGGTGCAGCACGAAAGCTGTCGTGATAGAACATAAATTATTTCTTTCGGAAAACACAAGAACCGATTTCAGCTGACAAACACTAGCCGGCAATTGAGCTTTCTCATTGCCACTGTCCAAACCTGCATAACATGTCTTGCATTATGTGCTGTTTCATTATTTTATTTTTGCTTGTACAGAAGCAAAAATGCTCAAGTTCATACACCTTTATTGTAAAAAACAATTTTAATTACCGTTGCACGTTCACGTGGCATGAGCGTACAACGATGATTAAGCTATATGTACATTAATTAATGCATATGCATAAGAGCCTGATATGCACTTTACGTTTGCAAATGGCCCCTCTGCACTAATTAGAATGCATGGCGCAGAAGTGTTTATAAAGGATGAATTGTTAAAGACCGAACACAAAACTGTCAATTGCAAAATTGCTAATGGGGCGTTGCGACTGTTATTATAATCATTACAGCGAGCGATTAACTTACTACTTTACGAAAAGCATTGGCTACAAAGTTTCTTTTTCTTGATATAGAAAGGCCATGTACTTACTAATAATTAATTAGCGCATATGCTGCTGATATTCGTGTAAAGCCATGCGGCATGCAGTAATTGAGGGTGCAGTTTTTACGTAGGTGCGGTATATACTGTACGTTGCGACCGTGTACCTTGAAGATTAAGGTTTTATTATTCTTGAATATTTAAGTATTTTTACCTATTAATAATTGACTACAAAATCTGTTCTACTTGTTTTTCGTATTCCGGATAATTTAAAAATATCGATTTGCGTACTGGACAAAGCATTTTCCATGTTGTTCCACTTGACAAATAATTATCAAAAACTGAAGATGTATTATATATTAATTATTATTTTATGCAAGCTTGTTCATGAGATTGATAAAACCCCTTATCACGCTTTCTAATGTGGAAACAATAAAGGGATGCCGTATCTGTAGTGTCCGGTTCGCAAATCATATTCTCAAAGTGTCCGGAATGCGAAAAACATCGATTAGCTACAGAGTGCACCGAGTACAATATAATTATGAAAAAAATGCAAATTTCATGACCTTTGTTCCTAGCATCAAGCATGATAGCCAGAACCGCAACGATCATAATGGCTGTTTCACTATATTTTCCAGTAGTAGTGGCAGCACATAAAACTAAAATCACCATTTATTACTAATTAAGTTATTAACCTTCGAAAAGTGATGCGCACAATATTGCTTTTAACAAGCACCACTTAAAAGACGGCATAATTATCGCAGGCGCGCACGTACGCGTAAGTAATACTGATGCGAAAAAGCATCTTATCAGTAATTCACACAGAGTCGCGGCATAACGGCTGCGGATTCCATGCGCTGCTCCAATGCGCGCGGAAAACTTGTCAGTGGAACACCAAGTTCAACTTGACTTTTCAGTCGAACGCAATCTGCACCGCATTGCACCATATAAAATATTTTGTTAATCCGCTGCTTTGTATTCAGAATTTAACGATCCTGCAGCTAATAATTAATATGAGCTGATGTATTGGCAAATTCGCAACATTCTCTCCGACATTCAGTCAAAGATATTTACAATTTACTTCGTTTCAACCGTTCTTTCTGGGCAGTGGTAGTCGCAGTGCTGCTGTATCCCCTTGCTTTAACTTTTGATTGTCGATAAGTGCAATGCGCTTTTATTGCCTAATTGCATCATAATCCAAGTGCAGCTGTAGTGCTACCAAGTAAGGTTGTGCTGGATGCGGATGGATTGTTACCGGCCTAACGCACAGAAAACTGGGAGTTTGTTAAGTTTCAGGAGGAGTATTCCGTTGAAAATGAAATCAGCTGTATAATACAGTATGTTAATCATGTACACGTTCGTTACCGTTAATTTATCAATCGCGACTAGTAATTCGCTCAGACACAAGTAGGCAACAATCACACCTGCACTCAAATCGTCATTAAAAACTTTGACTTACCACAAAACAAATGCAAAAAATCATAATTAGTACTAAATCATGAGTAGTAATACACATACTTAGAAGACAGTCCCAACATTTTCTGTGCGACCAGGATTTATGTAATTTCTACCGGTATACTTCATGTCCGACTTCGACAAAATTTGTATCGTTACAAAATTTGTTTTTTCCACCAAAAGTGCTGATTTAAGGGGTACTGTGACCCACGCGAACTACGGGTGACTACACATATGGATACAAGTACCGAAATAAATATTAATCACCTATTTACTTTTAATGGGGTCTGACACTTCCAGTTCTGCGAATCGACGACCATAAGTGTTGGCATTCGATCGTCAGCTTCAATGCTTCATAGTTTTTTTAATAAAAGAAATCTTCTAAAAATATGCGCTTCGCTCATCGACTCAATGTCTTAGTACTTTTTTTACGATCATAGAACTGTTTAATCGGAATTGGAAACGGTTAAATTGCTAATACAAAAATCACCAAAAATATTATCAAATAATGCGAATGAAATTCGATCAAAACATTCCGAATCTATGTACATACATACACAAATAACAAAAACAGTAAAACAATAAACGACCATTCCGCAACAGCTACACTGCTACAGCCAGACCATAACATTAAGTAAGTACTGCAAATTTGCATTTACCTGTACATAGACCAAAAGCAGCCACGGAGCACATGATGCAAATGTTCTCGAAACTGGTTGATCACATTTTAATTACTGCTCGTCTGAACAGAACTAGGGAGCTTACACTTTACACTTAAAATGTTCAGTTTTAACGGTGAAATGTGCAAGGTTTGTAGCGGCCCAAACAACACGGCATTATGTAAACTTAAAGGAAAGGTCAGCCATGGATAGGTATGGTCGTGTCTTCTATTATCAATTTGGACCTCGCGTTCTGCCACTTGTGAAACTTTTATTGCAGAATGGGACTGGATTTCACTCGCAGCCTTTTGTGAACACACATTTTTAAATATGTACGCGGTCTCAACTAAACGGTCGTAATATAGTAGCATCTACCGTTCAGTTAAGTAAATTTTCGAAGAATGTATTTGTCTAATGCAGTTTTAAATTAGCAAAATGCCCCATACTTCGTTTTTGTATACGACACGGCAAATTTATCGACAGCGAGGAGCACATATGGACTCCTTCGTGCCGGTAAAAAAAGGGGTGCGTAACCTTCCGACCTCTGTATTTTTAGCCTAATAATTAGTAGCGCCTTCACAAGAAAAAACAACGTACATGTGTGTATTGCATTGCAGTTCAGTGATATACTGTATTTACGGTAAGCCCTAAAGCCCTTGCTCCAGTATTTCTCTCGTTGGTGAATACTACTGAATAGTAACTAGTTAAAACATTTTTATACCATTAAACACACTGACAACCAGTTCGCTGTGTTTTTTTGGGCAATCATATTGCCACTACGTACATTTACATAACAATTATAAGACATGTTCAAACATTGTTTTTATATCTACGCGGTGTTGCAACAGCGTGTGGCCATGGAACTTGTAAAAAACTTTTAATAAAACTTTAATGGGCGTTTACAATCAAATGAAGCGTGAATTTTGGTTTTTCGAAAAATCATACGCATCTACAGCGATATACGTAGTTCAGATCTTGTAACAATTAATAAATATTCATTCGACATGCATAAACATCACATACTTACGGATCGGAGTATTCCTGTGTGCACCGGCCGGTCAGTCGTATTTTCGTCCGGTAATCATCAAATGATCGTGCAAAATCTCATGTAGAAGAATAAACTGATGTGGAGCGAATATTTTGGCGAACACTATCTCTTGCGTGAACTTTAAGATATTGATACTAAAAACGTAGGCAGAAAGTTTTCCAAAATAATGCCAACATAGTAATTAATGTGGTTCCAAAACAACCATACAACCCGCATACGATGGAGATAAAATAATGCAAAATATGATCCTCGTGTCCGATATGATGAATGAGAATAATAATACGAATTTTTATGGCTAAATTATGAAAACGAAGACCATTAAAAGCCAGAATCTGAGCAATAACCCTGCATTTCACGCGAATTGGCAAACTGCAAGTGAGTAATGTCAAAGCTGCCAAAGATAGATTGTTTCCGTACGCAAATGAAGAGATGCACCAGAAGATGTCTATTGTTGCTACCAATGGTTTGCAATTAAGGTCACCAAGACAATTAACGCTTTTTGCACCGCTCGTACATTATCCCGAAAGACCATTAGCGGTTGCTTTTACACAAACCACTGTACTATTTATTTTCATCCTTCTATGCAGTGTGTACACTGTGCAGTGATCAGGGAAACATGTCGTAATGGAGCAATTTGGCTTTCTCGGTAAATTAAGTCTGAACTATCAATCTATGTCGAATACTTTATGACGGCTTTATTGAGACGACAAGCCATACAACTACAAGTACGGTAATAACCCAACAGAGCTATTCACTTGCTACAATGCGTACTTTTCTGCCACAGTGATCTGATTAATTAATACAGATAATCTTGGCATAAAATATACGTAGTTCAAATACGCACTCCACAATATTGTTTGCAGGAATAAAGTGGAGCGTAGTTAATTCCCGGTTTCAGCATAACTTAATACTAATTATCAAGTCGACGGGAAATTTAGCAACGCAAGATATGTTTGACACGGATATCCGCAGCTGTTTTCTGAAGATAAAAAAATATCAAAAATCCGCGGCGATGCAGTAGCGGCCGTATATACGTGCATAAGGGTCACCTGTATACACCTTTACCTGTCCAACAGATAATAACTGGTCAAATGCCATATAATATCAGACCATTAGCGATTGTGCATGAGCAGATGGACCTGGCCATGGGTTGGTAGCCCGGACCGGATCATGCAGAACAAGGTTTCGTATTGGTCGACGGCAGCAAGGAGCGGCGCTGCCCGTCATTCATTGATGACCGTTGCCCGTATC